TTGAGACGACCCCTTGGATCTCGTGAATTATGGGTCTCCCCAAAATCACGTTGTACACTGAAGGAGCGTCGATGACCAAAAACTCAATCATGACGTTCCGGGCTGCCTCATCGCAACCGATGGTGACAGGAAGTGTCACCTTCCCATCTGGATAAGTTGAAGCCCCATTGAACCCGGATACCGGATAGGGTACCGGCGTAAGGTGCTTGGGCTTCAGCTTAATTTGGTTGTAGGCCTTTCGGAACAGAATGTTTGCTCCGCTGCCACCGTCAACAAGGACCTTACTGACGTCGTGGTTGGCCACCGTGGCGATGATCACCAACGGATCCTCGTGAGGGAACGTAATCCCCCGGCAGTCGGCGGCTGTGAACGTCATGTTCGGCACCGGCGACTGGGGAGATTGAATGTCAGCGTTGTTCACCTGGTGAGTCAAAGCTCTAAGGTGACGCTTGTGCTCCCTCCGAGAGTATATTCCTCCCGAGATAACATTGATCGGAGGGAATTTCCCCTCCGGTTTTTTTACTGTTTTTCCGGGGGAAATCAAGGTCCTGCCGAGAGTCCTTTGCTAACCTCTCGGATTCTTTTTTCTCGCGGTGATCCGCGATGTATTTTTTCAAGTATCCCTTCCGGACCATGTCTTCTATCTGGTCCTTCAGCTGGATACACTCTTCAGTGTTGTGGCCCGAATACTCGTGGAACTCACACCACTGATTTTTATTTTTTTGCTGATACCACTCTGGGAGTGGTTTCGGCTTTCGGTAACTCTGCTCCTCCTTCGTCACACTGTAAATTTTGGCGCGTGGAAGAGAGAGCGGAGTGTAGGACTCGTATCTGCCTGTGTATGAGGCAAACCTGTCCTTCTTTAGGTCGCTGGCCGAAGATGGTTCCGAGGCCTTTGATTTTCCCTTTGCCTTATGGCCTCGGCCTTCAGACAAGGGTATTTGCCTCTGTTTCCCTCCCCCGGATTGAGGTTGGGTTTTTGCTTTATTCCATTCTTCGGCTCGGATGAACTTATCCGAAGCACTAAGAGCTTCCTCCAAGGTCTGCGGGGTTTGCATGACCATGAAGTCTAGGAATTTTCCTGGCTGAAGGCCATTCTGCATTGCAAAAACAGCTAGCCCCTGGTCCAGCTGAGAGACGCTTGATGACTCGTTACTGAAACGGGTCAGGTAGTCTCGGAGGCTTTCGGTTTCCCCCTGTTGCAGACCCACGAGCTCTGCGGTAGTCTTTTCTCGGCGGTTTGCCGTGGAAAACTTGCTCCTGAACTTGGAGGACAGATCATCCCAACCTGTTATGGAGCCTTGCCTTACTCCCTTGGAGATCCACGCTTGCGCGACCCCCTTGAGAGTGGTTGGGAAATATTTGCACCAAGTTGCCTCGGATCTGGGGCAAAGATGCATATGAGCCTCATACGAGGCCACGTGGTCCTTCGGATCCGTGGTCCCGTCATATGTGATATGCGACGGTATTTTAACCGTGGGTACGCGCTCTTCTAGTATCCATTGCTCGAATGGTGAACTAGCGGGAAGCATAATGGCCTTGCCCTTGTTCCTGGCCGAAGGGACCGCGCTCCGCCCTCTCAGAGAGGTAGGAGTGGTTTTCGTCCCTGGCTGGGAAGTCTGGGCCTCGGCTGCAGGGAACGTGAGGCGACTACGCACGCTCGGTTCCTGGCCGCCGAGTCGGTCAAGGACGCTTCTGCGAGCAGTCTCAGGTTCCCGGCGAGTAGATTCTGGCCGAGAAGCTGAGCTGCTGCTCTTATGCGCTGCTGGTCTTGAGGATGAGGATCCTTTAAATAATTGAGAGTTCTTCTTCCTCTGTTTTTCATTTTTCCAAGAATCCTCCTCCCACTCTTCCAGTTCCCGGAAGGAAGGAAGCTTCCCACCGTCATGGTCTAACTTCCTCCGCTGATGCCGGGTATGCGGAGGAGTTCGATCACGAGGCGGTGGCATATTCTGTGCCCTCATTGCCTCCATGAGTACTGCCAGCGCTCTTGCCACCTCTTCCGAACTGGGCCCCGTCAAAGGGGTCTCCGGCCGAGTGTGGGCATGAGGCCGTGCAGCCGATGGTTGGCTTCGGGACACTGAATATGTCCTATGATCAGACTGACCCCTGCTAGACCGAGAGTGGTCCGGCCTATATTGAGAGTCATGCATTATAGGAGATAGGGAATCCTCCTTGTGTGATCCTCCCCCCGAGCCGGCACCCTTGGGAGAGTTCCGGTCCGGCGAGGGCGATGGTGTAGGGGTTTTAGGCTTTTCGCCCGCTCCTTGACGGAGGCTTTTGCTCTTGCGGTTCTTAGCCATGGCTGCTAAGATAATTGCAAGATGATCTTGGTTAGGAATTTGGCTTAAAGATTTTTGAAAGTCTTCCCCACAGACGGCGCCAAATTGTTTCGGTTGAAAACAATGGGACCTTGCCGAAGGTCCACTAAAATGGAGAAGACTGGATTCGATCCAAGCTGTGTTGGGCCGAAGGTTTCCTGCACAGTGAACACACGTAAACTAGCCTCGGGGGTGTTTCCGAGGAAGGCCCCTCCGATGCTAAAGTCAGTACAATGTGTAAAAAGGAAGACACTATGCAAGAGAGTTTGTAGCTTGAGGCTTTTGTGGAGTATTTCTCAATGCAAGAATGAGCATATCAGTTGGAATAATCCGTGTATGAGATAATGTATGTGATGATGCATGTGTTGTTGTGTCTGATAGTGTATATGATGTTATGAGATGTCTCTTGAATGTGTTAATATGAGGGCTTTTATACCTCATCATATTTGGAGAGGTTGGGCTTTAGCCCAATTGGCTTACTTTGTGGGCTGACTTTTGACTTTTGAGCAATTGGAGAGTTGAACCTTGACCTTGGGCTTTTAATTGGATCATTTAGTGCTCAGGCCCAATTTTGACTAAATTGGACCCAAACACCATATAAATATAAAAATAATAAATGAGGTCTTCTTCAAGTCAATAATCAAAGACTTTATATGGTGCCACATTACGTACGTATTTCTTGCATGGGAATTACTCACTATCTAGTATGAACATCTATGAGTTGCATGCCTTTCTCCTCACGTTTTCTTTATCTAGCTGGTTAAATTTAGTTTTTACATTATTTATGTAATTGCAAACAAAAATTCGTTTATCATCTAATGTATTAAGCTTACTAATCATAATAAATACTCGTATTTTTTGAACTTACAAGTATTATTATAATATTAGTTAAGAACTGATATGATAATTTTACACAAAGGTTTCCCCTTATCTCCTTACAAGTTTATGCAATCTATGTATTTGGCGTATTTGCAATATATCCTTTTAAACCAGTGGCGAATCTTGGCCGAAAACATTAAAGGAGTCGGAATTTAAATATTTAACCTCTTTCTTAAAACTAATCACTGTGTCTCAATATTTTATAAGTAAATATAGGTTATTTTAGTTCATCAACTAATTAATTACAATAATTTACGGATGACCCGGCCCCATAGAAGGTCCCTCACTCCCTCCATGTTTCAAACCACCTAGCTAAGGCACAAAGAAACAAACTTACAAAATAAAATGAAAAAGATGTTTATAATAATATGTGATAGGACTATAGGTTATACTACTCGTAGTACTTACACAAGGCAAGAGTTGTATGCAGTAAATGGCAGCTATGCTTTTGACCTTTTTTGTACCATATTTCTCTTACACTTTGTCTCCTCACAAAACTACCCTAGTAACCCTACTTCATCAATCACATATTCACATGCCAATATAACGATTAACGCATATAGTATGGACAAAAAAAAAAAAAAAAAAAAGTAAATAAATGAAAGCTGTGACCTTTTGTAGATGACAGGCCAATCCTCACCTTTGGATCCAAAACATACAAAGAATCTCATGCATGTATAGTATTATCCAGAATCCCAATAAAATGTCATGCATGCATGATATTTATGCTGTAAAAGTTGTACTCATTACACATTTTTCCACAATTATTTAACTACTTATTATATTTGATTGATCAGATACATTTAAATTTAAAGCTATCTCAGCATAACCTTTGACCACTATAATTTCATGAATTTTGCTCAATTTTATGAATTTTGCCTTTTTTTTTGGGTGATATGAGCTTATTTCATTTATTATAGAGTAGCCGTAAAATTTTGATTAATGATATATACAGAGTACAATTTTTTGGATTGTAAGTATATATATACATATATTTTTTTTCAAACCCGTAATCGCAAGTATAAATAACGCTTTTTATTTTTAATTTTAACTTTTTACGAGCAATCTATAGATAAAGTTTTTTAGTACTTTATTTTTCCTACTTTGTACAAACACAAGTATAATGTTAGTATAGAGTAAATTATTTAATATTTTTGATAAAAAAGAAGCATCTTAAAAGGGTTATTAGTAGCACAAAATCCAAATTGAAAACAGAATATTTGTCTCCCCACCCAAAATTTTGCTCAGTTTTCTAAGGCTGGTCATCTTAAGAAAGAAAAAGGTGACAAGACGTTCATATGTTGAGGAGTACTTTATTTAATCTGCATGAACTTATGGAGATTGCGACAATAGATTGTTAATGTGTTTAATTTTTCATTTTTACAATTATATTAAAAAAAAAATTATTTTTATTTAAAAGGAAGAAGCTTGTGGTCCAAGCATATGAATTGGCACCTCCCTCCAACAAGGCAACATCTTGTGAGCTACGAGTAGAATAGTTTGTTTAAATTTAAACAAAATATGAAAATACTAACTCAAGATTTAAGTGTAGGATAATCACAATGTGTTACAATCTTCTTACTAAATGGTTAATTCATTATCTCATTTATCTAATGTTAAACTAACTACATACATAAAACATATTAAGTACTGTATAATACATCTTACCTTCATATTACTACTATAAAATCCAAGTAATAATATTCGTATTTTTAAAATTACAATATTTTTTTTAGTCAACAATAAAATGCCTATTGTCTCTAAATATAACAATAATATGCTTACTTCGGATTAATTTATTGTCGACCTTTTTCAAGTAATATACTCGTAGCAAACAATAGAAAGGAAAAGGCTTGTTCATTAAGCATATTACTAGCACTTAGCACATCATCTTCCTATACAATATTCCCTCCTTTATATTTCCCCTTCTTAAAATCTTGTCTTCAATTTTGTATTTTAACCAAAAACAAAAGAAGAAGAAGAAGCAAAGCATCTCCATTCCACACATTACACATGACAACCTTTGCCTTGCTTTCCATCCCATGCAAGTATCTAGCTTTTCCTTTGCTTACAATTTAGACCTTTTTCTTCTCTAATACTAATTCTTTCTTCTTCATATTACACAAAAACAATATTATTTCCCTAAAAAAAACCTCCCATTTTGTAAATCCTTAAATTTTTTGCACCAAAAAATTACAAAAAAAAAATTTAAAAATTATTTCCCACTTAAAAGTTTGGAATCTTTGCTCAATTTTCACAATTAAACCAATGTGGATTTTGGTTTATTAGTCATATATAACCCATAAAATTGCTTAACACCCCAAAAAAACACCAACTTTCTAGTCAAGTTTCATCATTGTTCTAGATTTCCCAGTTTGAGCTTTTTCTCTAGATTTAGTGGGGTTAATTTTTTTTGTGATTTTTTTTTTTTGGGTTTTCAAGAGCTTTGTTTTCTTCATTCATGGTTTAGTGTGGGAAGTGTTGAATGTTTGTCTCTAATAATATCTTCTTTCCAAATTCATGGCATTGAAAGACCCCCCATTTTCAATCCCCTGCTTTTGTAGTCTCCTCTGTTCTTGGATTTTGTTTCAATTTTTCTAATTTTTATCAGTTTTTGTTCTGAATCTTTTCTGGGTTTTGCCAATTTCTCCATAATCAATGAAAAACACACTATAAAAATCATTTCTTTCACTTGTAAGCTATCAAAAAACCCAAAATTTCCTTGGTTATTTCAACACCCACCAATTTGATTTCTTCAAAAAAAAATAAAAAAATCATTAAGAGTACCAAAACCCCCCTATAAAATCACAAAAAAATTGGATAAAATTCAAGTAGAAGACATAAAATTAGTAGTAGAAAAATGGGTTTTTTGTCAGGAACACTAAGAGCAACTTGGGAACCAGTGATTACAGGTGATACATCAACTTCAAAATACTGGCTAAATTGGAGGGTTTTGCTATGTGTAATCTTGGTATTAATCTCCATGATTTTTGCCTCATTTCTAATATCAAAACATGAAGGCCCAAGAAAATCTTCTAAACCAAATTTGGATGAAGATGATTCAAAAGAAAAGCCAGGAATTTTATATGCAGATGAAGTTTGGATGCCTTGTCTTAAAGGAATGCACCCTGGTTGGCTTTTAGCTTTCAGAGTTTGTGCTTTCTTTGTGCTCTTAATTCTCCTCATTGTCAATGCCATTGTTGATGGTGGCTCCATTTTCTACTATTACACTCAGTAAGTTTTCTATCCCGGGTTTTAATTCCAAGTTACCTCACCTCGATGAGTTCTATTATACACCCGAGTGTACCTGTGGTTTTTTTTTTAATTAAATTGCTATAATTAAAGCATGAATGTATATTGGGGTGTATAAAGGAATACATGCAACTTTGAGCATATGATTAGTGGGTTTTTTTAATCAAATTATGATTTTGAATTTGTAATTTTAAGTGGATTGTAATTACATGATGATGATGATGCTAATGATGATAATGGGTTCTTTTGATAGGTGGACTTTTACACTTGTTACCATATATTTTGCGGTAGGTTTTATTATCTAAAATCACACTCTAATTTCTCATTTGATTAATTTAAATTGAAATTTTTTGCTAATTAGCTTTAATTTTGTTGTTGATTGTAGTTAGGATCAGTGTTATCCATGTATGGCTGCTATGATTACCACCAAAAAATTAGTGGTGATAGAGTTCATAGTGAAGGAATTGATGCAGAAAGAGGTGTGTATTTAGTCCCTATGAATAGTGGAACTCCGAATGCAATTAAAGCCAGTTTTAGCACCCAACAAGTTCTTCACCGGCCTCGCGCTACTGCCGGTTTCTGGGGCTATGTCTTTCAGGTTATATTTCAGGTAAAATGAATGATCAAAGTATAAGATAATAAGAACTTATTGTATATTGCTCTGTTTCTGATGCAGGGGAGTTTATGTTATGTTGCATGATTTTATTTGTATAAATGAAGTAACAAATATTTATGGTATGTTTTATGTAATACAGATGAATGCAGGAGCAGTGGTACTAACAGATTGTGTATTTTGGTTCATAATTGTTCCATTCCTAGCAACCAAAAATTATGATCTCAATTTTGTGAGCTACTAATCTTAAAAACTTTGCATAGATTAAATTCAATTTGTCAAATTATATGATAAGAATGTGACATTATTTTCCTAATCTTATGATGGGCAGTTCATTATTAATATGCACACAATCAACCTTGTTTTCCTGCTTGGTGATACCGCGTTGAATTGCTTGGTAAGTTGATCCTTTGATCATCATTCTCTAATGAAAACGAGCAACATATTTGATCACTAATTCGTGTTATTTTTCAATCTTAGAGGTTTCCTTGGTTTCGAATTGCATATTTCATCCTTTGGACATCATTCTTTGTCATTTTTCAATGGGTCCTTCATGCTTGTATATCTATTTGGTAAGCCATGCTTCTTTGTTGTATTATGCTTCTTCATGAAGCAATAATTTTCGAGTTTCCTCCCTTTGTGTCTCATCCTCTAACGGGTTTGTTTTCACTCAAATCATACAATCAGGTGGCCATATCCATTTTTGGACTTGTCGTCCTCATTCGCCCCATTATGGTAAGAATTTCTTGTTCTTTTACCCCATCATCTTTTCAATAATGTTATAGTCGTTTGTCTCATGACCTCATGAGAAAAGTCGCGCATACTATTTTAGAATGTCCGCAAGCAGAATTAGTAAAAGGCACATTAGAGAGAAATTAAAGCCGCAATTTGGATGACATTATAAGAATCTAATTAGCTCAAATTGTGCAATGCAGGTATTCTTCAGTGGCAATAATGCATTTCCCATGTTATGGAATCTTCTTCTTGATAGCAAAGCTCAAGCATAATCTCTTGTCAAAACATTTTCCTACGTCTTACCAATGCTCTAGGTGATCAAGACAAGAAAATTACAGCCTAAACCGAAAAAGATTTCATGATTTTGAACAGATTTTAAAGAACAGGAATACAGGATTAATTTTCGTTCATTTCGATTGTTTAAGAGAGGTAGAAATTCAGGGTTAAGTATACAGATCAGGAGATATACATATACTAGATAAAATGTTGGCAAGTTTTGTTTTTAGAAATGTGGTAGTTTGAAATCAAGTAAACATTCACATATAGTGGATGTAACAATTGTAGTTACCATATTATAGGTTTTGTATAAAAATTGCATATACAGAAATGATGATTTTACAAGTATATATACTTATATTCTCAAATTGGTCACATTACTTATAAGTACCTTATTATATTTTTTGCATGTTCGAATTTGCGAGAGTAAAGGACTATGTACAATATGTTACATGTTCAAAATCCTTCTTCATCATTTATAATATGTTATGTCAAATTGTCAACTGCTTTGGAAAAAGAAAATTACTGAGTATAATTTTTTTTTATTATTATTTTTTTATATTTGGCGCGTCTAATTTTGTAAATACTACCTCCGTTACATATTATTTGCAATGATTAGACATTTTTCCTCTCTATTTTATGTCAAATCGTTGTAAATAATATGTAACGGAGGTATTATATTTTTATAAATGGTTGAAGCTTTAGGCATGGGAATATGGGATTATTGGAACTTGGAAGCCAGGAATTATTTTTAATAAAAGTGGATCAAATAAAGTGGAATCAGATTCTGTAACTGTTAAATCCTGTAAATAGAAAGGTTAAAGGGGGTAAGTAAGGTGAAGGTTAGGCATTCAAATAATCATGTCTCCAACTAAAAATAACAAAATAAGATTCTCATCATTTCAAAATTTGTATAACTGAAAGCCATGAAGATATCGTCAAAACATCAGGATGATCAGGATCAGGTGGGTGGTGGGTGAAAAGGCATATTTGGCATGCTAAAAGGAGTAAAGCCCAACCAAATTTCCTACATAAAATTACTCCTAATATAAAATTTTGTTACATCTTTACTTTTTAAAGATAATTTTAATTTTAATTATATCGACTAATAATTGTGTAAGAAAAGATACTTAAAACGTTTAATTGAACTATTACTATCATAGTTGGTTTACAACTAAAATCACATGAATGTTTTTATTCCGAACCTATTTGAATAATATGATTAAAAAAAACTCGGTATCATATAAATTGTAACATGTGGTAATTTATTGATATGGGAGTGTTTATTTATTAAACATATAGTATAAGTAGATTATTAGAAATAATGGTAAGAGTAAACTTTAGTGATTAGTGATTGGAGAGTTAACCAAAGTGATGGTAAATGCCTAAATGGGCCATATGATTGTCTGTAATTTCTGCTTTACATGTATTAATATAGTGGTGGAAATAAAGATATGTCAAAGATGATTGGAGAGTTTTGAGCTTTATAAAGTTGTGTTGATGGAGGAGAAAAGAAAAAAAGAAGCTTAAGATATCATGTTACTATACTGTGAAATAGTTATCACCGACAGCTTTTTTTTTTTTGTGTGTGCACTGCACAATGTACATGAAGGTTTATGGTTATATTTGGGAAGGAATCATGACATGTTTGAAGGGTTTTAGAATGTGATACAGATCATTTATGGAAGAAACGGGCGCACTAAGAACTTTTGTGGTTTTAAAATAGTTGCACGACTTTAATTTTTAATTTTGATTCATAGTTATAATCATTAATATATACGGAGTATATGATAATCGACTAGTAAAGATAATTTAATAAAAAGAAAATGTTGTAAATATGCATTGCGACAAAACATAACAATTTGATTTTTGAGTAATACTCTAGGTTCTAGTGTCATCAAGAGTTGTGAATAGCAATGAGGTATGAACAAAGGTTGTAAGTTCTTTACTACATATATTTTGTTATTTTACTTGTTCATAACTTCATATTAGTAGTTACTCCTTCCACCTCAAAACATTGTCCGTTCTATTATGAGATATCAAATACTAAGGATTGAATATGCTCTTAAACATAAAGAAGCAATACCCTTTCAATAATTTTGATTTTATAAATGTGACTTTGAAATTGGGTTCAATAATATTGTATGAGTATTAAGTTAGGTTATGTTTAATCAAATCAGACAATTATATTAGAATAAACCAAATCAAAAAAAAAAAAAAAAAAAATCAAATATGACTTATCTTTCTAAAAATTATAATCATAACACCTTATTTCAGATGAAGAGAACAACGCCTAACTAGTAGTGCTCCGTAGTATCATATTGCATTTAAATTTGATTCTCCAAGGCACTAGTCTAATGTGCTTCCCTTTCACCAGTTGAGTGGAGCATTATCATTTGATTGTGCAACACTAAAGTAGTGCAGTGTAAAAGTTGTTGACATCATGTCAAAGGTGGTTACGCTCTTTCCTCTTCGTTATTCATTTTTCTTTCCCAATGTTGATACAACTACGAGTACTTCACACTTTATACAAATAGTGAAAAGCTTAGTTACTCTTCAAAGATGTTTAAGTGACTCATTATTTTATTTTTGTCCGAATAAAGTTCTAAGAACTTTCAAATTACAAGACTCTTAGGCGTTTTCATGGATCAAATTGGTGGAAATATAGGATAATTACTCATGGTTTAGTTTAAGTTTAGATAGTTGGGTAATCCTCGGTCTGCTATCAATTAAATTCTTATGAAAAAGCGAAGAATATATATATATATATATATATACACTACATCCGTTACATATTATTTGCAACGATTTGACATAAAGTAGAGAGGAAAAATGTCTAATCGTTGCACATAATATGTAACGGAGGTAGTATACTAAAGTTACAAATAATAAAAAACAGAGGTAGTATATTTTTGAAAAGAGGATCCAATCTTCAATACTCGAGTACCAAAGGTTATAGAGGATCCAAAACTGACTATTCAACACAGCCAAAATAAAAAGAATAAATTATTCACTTTACAGCAACCATGCTTCTATAAATCACACTAAGGAATGAGATTGACAATATCAGTATTAATACTACAATTTCTATACAAAAGAATGGCCAAAATTTTATGATGTCATCTTCAGCTTTACATTACAGATTAGTGAATAATAGATTAATAGATACATACAAAGATGGTAATATGTTATAGTTACAACTTACAAGGGATCAAAGTGAGGTGCTCGGAAACGATCCCATCAAGATCACATTATCATTATCCTTGAGTCCCTTTTCTTGTCTTGAAATTGAGAACATACGTGAAAGGAGTCCGGATTTTGGATCAGATTTCTTCACCAACAATGACGAAAATCCTGAAGCACTGCCAGCGTTTGCAAGCGGTTTCAGGACTGCTCCACATGGGCACTCCTGGAGTTTGTTGAGGCAATGCTTATGAAAGACTGATTTACAAGACTCGCATCTCTGAATTTCCTCTTCCTGAAATGTAATTTACGGAATGACTAGAAACAGTAAGAAATAAAAGAATAAGGTATACACTCAATAAGAATAATAATAGTAAACAGTCATTTCACTTTTGTGATATCAGTTGGACAAGTCAAAGACACAAGTCTATAGATAGCGGCACTCTTACATTTTTGCATTGCTAGATCTCAGCATACTTTTCATTCAAGTCCTAAATAAGTGTTCCTAAGCCATTTACTGATGTCAAAAACCAATATTCAGATTGAAGTATACCTTTTTTTTTTTTTTTTTTTTTTTGTGGGGGGTAGAAAGATTGAAGTATACTTGAAAGTTAAAATATCACAAGATATCAGCTGATAAGTTCCTCTCTTAGTTTTCCCTTAGACTTTTATTTCCCCTTTATTCTTGAAAAAAGCGAGATTTCAGGTGTGGAGATAAGTTATTGAGTGCTTGAGATATAAAAGTGCAACAAACATTTATACCTGAAAAGGAAAGATAAGAGAGGATGGGTTATCACAAGCTTGTCGAGCACCACATGAAACACCAAGGTCGCAGCACTCAAGGCATAACTCTGTGATGTGCTCCTGGATTTTCTTCGACACAGCTTCTAGAATCGCCGGAAGTGCTACATAAGTGCAAAGTCAAATATCAGCTCATCTTAGTTATGCAGGGAGGATAGTAGACTTTCTATCACAGGTCACTTGCAGCAAAAATTAAACTATACAAAAAGAAGGGGGATAGAAGAAATTGAATTTTTAAAATCAGAATCATCCAGCAGGTCAACTCTTCAGACTTCAGTTATTTACTGATAACTGCATCTAGCCATGTAAGCAAGTGTCATCTCGTACTATCCAGTTTTTTAACAAAAAAAAAAAGGAAACCACACACACACACACCACACCATGCACGTGCGTGCGCCATACAGCTCTGGCCCATAAGTTGGAAATACTACAAACTTAGTAGTACTACGTATTTATCGCACAGCTGTGGCCTATAAGTTGGAAATAACACAAGCTTAGTAGTACTATGTATTTATCTTCGGAATGTGCAGCTTAATCAGAGCCTCGCAAGTCACAATGTATGATCAAGCCCAAAATTATACAACGTAAAATGATGATAAAAACTCAAAAGAGCATTAACCAATAAAAAAAACAGGCATGAGTAATAACATGCACAAGACACACAGAATTTGACTCATGTGAGATGGGAGAGTCTTGGGAGCTTAATATATCAGCAAAGACCTGAAATCAAAATCTCAAATTCTTGTTTCTTAATCAGGCAGGTGCTATTATTATACCCAAGTCGTGATTAGAGAAAACATAAATATTACAAAGCCAGAAATTTCACATTTTCCCAAAACTCCCAAAAGTACATTCCAAACTTCCAAAGAGAGAAATTCAAGTTTCCTAAAATCCTAAGTGAAATACACACTTAAAGATGATTAATATGACTTTGCTAAAGCTTTCGACCAAACCAATCTTTATTTTCAATTACTTTCTTTGAAAAATAATACCAATCCTCACACTTATGCCTTACATTCATCTTATCAGTCAGATGCAGAGTAATCATTCAAAAACTCCAAATAACGAGAATCCAGAAAAGGGTGAGACCTAAACAAAAAATTCACATAGAAGGATGCAGAACAATGATGTTGCTTGGAATCCCCATGGCCTCATGCAATCCACGTATTATGATAAATGCAAATAACAATTCAAATATCACAGTATAACATTATACATGTTGCAATAGTACCTATTTCTTGGGTTTTTTTTTTTTTTTTTTTTTTTGGTGGGGAAGGGGGAGAAGGTGGTTATACCTGCAAATGCTCCTTTTGAGAGATCATTAAGATCCCTTAGTGCAAAAAAGTCATTACTTTCAAGAAGATATTTCCGGTATCCAAGTCTTCTATAGATAGATCTACGAAAAGAGCAACGAATGTATGGAAGCATTGCCCCAACTTTCCTCCTAATACCCACAACATGGAGCAGTGCAGGGACACGAGAAAAGAGTAAAGGGTTTGCTGCACTCACACACAGCATTGGCTGACAAATGAAGAAAAAAGTCATCAAGCCCAAATCCCAATATTAATATACATAAGTTGAATAACTGTCAACCACAACCTGGAAGCAGATACCCAAGCAATGGCAACAACAAATACAGACAGTAGAATAGGCAACATAAAGCACCACTAGTAAAGAGACTATAAGCTTGATACAGCTATCAATAACACAAAATGCTAGAGCCCATTCTTAATCCATAATTTTATAGATCGAAATTTGGACAAATAAAATTAGTTGTAAGAAATACCCATTACCCAGAGTATTTAATGAAGCTCCAGGCAAGATTGATACTGTTGAAATTTATTAAGATTCTCAACTAACCTTGTCAACAATTGAATCCAGGAATGACTTGGCCATCTGAGAAACTGGGTATGGAGTAAAATCCCAGTTATGTAAAACTCTGGCTGGCAGAACTGCAGTTTCGTTTGTATGACATGAAGAACAAAATAGCTGGCCAGTATATTCACAAAGTCGTGGTTTACCCCAACCAAAGGTCTGCACAATTCCTAGCATGCGATTCTTACCATCACCAAAATGTGTATGGCACCCAGCACATGTATAATGCTGTGTATCCAGAAGCTCTTTTACGGACTTGTGGGATTGAATATTAACTATCAGTGATATGGTCTTCCCTAAACTAGGAACTCTTTCAGTATATGTTCTCACATTAGATTGTCGCGTCACATCATTTGACCGAGAGGAACTCATAAGATCTTCTGGCGGAGAGAGAAACCAAATCAGAGCACTTGGAGGACTGGAACAATACCTGGATTGGAGAATGGAGCATAAACATTCTTGGATAAGAGTACTTCTCTCTGCAACGACATTTGGAGATGTGTTACCAAAGAATTTTCTGGATTCTTTGTCAACAGAAAACCACACAGGTGGAAGATTCCATTTTCGAGCAGCAAATAATGTTTGTAATTGAATATAGAGTGCATAAAAGTCGCGATATCGACGCTCAACCTTCCATTGATCCTTGCCACTCCAAACCTGTATTATGTATACAGTGTATTCTTTCACCCCAACCAATCTTTCACTAAGTGGAATATCTCCCTTTATCTGCTTGGCACCCACTACCTCAATCCCATCAATCCTAAGTGGATGACGAATAACAGGGTTGCCATCATCAAAACCAGAAGTATGAGCAATGGATTCACCGTCTCTTAAAGTTGACAAGTGCTCAGATTGGAACTCAATATTCCCCTGCTTCAACCTCCCCACAGGAGATTCACTTGTTTCTAACAAAATCTCTTCCATTTCATGTACAAAATCATCATAAAATGCATTCATCTCCAAATCCTTTCCCTACAAAACAATATCAATTGAAGTCTAAATTTCAGCAGTCCACTAGAGGCGAGGCAGAAATGCTCTTTTTATGTAAAGATTATATGACAAAGATAAATGTTACTTAAGTTTAGATCATTGGATTAAACACACCAATCATTAGATGAATGAATATATAAGAGAGAAATTAATGAGCTTAGAATCAGATTACCTCTGAGACCAACGAATCCCCATCCCAAACAAACAAACAAAAAGGAGAGAGGGAGAAAGGACAGAAAAACTAGCCATGAGCTATTCATTAACTTGAAATGTTTCTATGACTTCATGGCTTATTTACCTCCATCAGAAATATTACCCCAGTCATATCGTCCATTCGTCCCATACGTCATTCATTAACTTGAATTATATCAATTACTAAAATTAAGCAGAGCCGATCATAGTAAACATATGAACCAGCAATTGAATTTCAAACTTTGTAACAGTAGGACTGTTCTGTTTGTTAGTAGTTTTGCAACTTGAGGTTGGTAGTTAGCATATGCACCAATTGGAAAAAATTGCTGACTTGCGTCAACATTCCTAGGGCAGTGATGATAACTAAAAGATGATTGGATAACAATGATATGTTGCAAATGTTGTGTTAGCAGGAATTCCCATGCAAACCTAACATATATGTTAACAAAATAGCAACACGTCATGTTTTACTACGGTAGTGTCGGAAATCTTTGTGTATTTTCTAAGAAATAAATCAGCTAAAACCTAAAAGTACAGTCAGGTTTTATAAAAAATTTCCTGAAACATTCTGACTTGGTGAAGTCTATACCTTTGCTCATGAAAGTAATGCACCATAAGATATTACCAAAGAGCTAATTCTATTAAACCACTGACAGCAATGCAATGATAGTAACTGACATACTCAGCATTAACCAAATAGACAACTATGTCAAGCCAAAGCAAACTAAGCTAAAAGAAGCTGTATCTCTTCCAAAATTGACATACCTTGCTGCTTGTGGTCTGACCTCCACCTAGATTTAAGTCACCATGTGTCCTCCCCTCTTCACTCTCAAGCCACGTCAAGGCTGATTTTGACACACATCCCTCAGAAGATTCCACTTGAGCACCTTGAAGGACATCCAACCTATACTCTCCATGAACATAAGCTTCACCTGCACCATCATCAGGCAGAGGAACCAAGAATTTCTGTGGAATCGGGTGGTCATCATGGCCACTTTTTGTATCACGAGTAATATCCACGATCTTCCTTTCTTTCTCATCTCTCATGGATTCAGTATCTTCCACAGCATGCAACGTAGCACATGGCTTTTGAAATACATTGTACACAGAACAATTATCAAGATACTCATCCAGTTCATCATTACTGGTAATCTGTTTGCACCTTGAAATGTCCCCGGAGCCCTCTGTAGCCCCTGCTTCCATAATTTTTGAGGAATGAGTATTCGTGGTTGAACTAAGAGAACACTCTGATGATCTATCAACTTCCAGGACATCATTGCGGTCCGTAGAAACATCCCTTGAATTCCTTTCTTCCTCATGCCAATGAAATTTTTCATTAGATATTGACCTCATCAAAGCCAAATCTTCAGAAGTAGTTTCTTTTTCACTTGATTGCTGCCGCAACCAATAACTATCAGAAAGTTGTGTTGTATTTTCCAATCCATCTAACTCAAAGTCATCCCAATCATTAGATCCAAAAGCCACAGACGAGTTCATAAGCACCGAATTCCCACATCCGACATCAACATCACTACGATCCACTACATTTCTCACATAATATGCATTATGCTGAGATCCTTCATCCGAACCATAGTTAAACATAGAATCCTCACCCTCAGAGTGATCATACCTAGAAGACGACTCATCCTGTTCTCTGCATCTCTCATCCTCCATCTCATCTGCATGATTATCATCCAACAAGTTCTCAGCAGCACTTCTTGCAGCAACAACTCCTTGCAATAGCGCATGCTCCACACTTTTTAGAAGTACAGCTAAATTTTCTTTCTTGCCTACCTCCCCATCAAACACCTTAGACCCTTTCAGCTCGGCTTCACCCCCCAACACTCGCATATTTCCACAACTCGTCGAAGAAGTCCCCCCTTTATCCAAAGCCACCATCTTCCCCTCAACCCCACCCACCACAGGGCTCAAACCTTCCCCCTCCCCTTTCGACTCGTGAAAATTATCACTCAAACTATCACCTAAACCCGATTCCCTAGATAATAATGACCGCGTAATCCCCTCAAACTTTCTAGGAACCCTCTCCCCACCCAAACTAAAACCCTCCAAACTCTTGAATGACCCAAAATCAGAATCCAAAGAATCATGGTAAAACCCCATTGAACTACACACACTAGGAGTACCCATAACCGAATTCGCACTACAATATCGATCAAACTCAGATTCTCCACACGAAGAATACTGTGAAGAAACTGGAGATAACACATCCCCAATTTCCCCACCATCAGATTTCTGAAACCCACCACCCAATTGTTCTGGAGAGATGACTTCCTCACTAATTAGCCCCCTCTCCATTGAATCTTCAAGTGAAACTCAACAAAATTCAACACAACATGTACATAATTCAGAAATTAAAGCTATACCCTGATTTCAACTAATCTGGGAATTGGTGATTTCTTATAGTATATGTACTTGTACAGTCTAATTTAAGTATTAAGCAAAATAATTGAATTCAGAAAGTGGGTTTGATTGTATTACCTGAAATATTGAGACAGAAAGATAAACTGGGGATGCAAATCGATAGATTTGACCTTTGAAGGAGTGAGATGATGGGGGAAAAACCTGAGGATGGTGCGAATGTTTTTTTTATTTGTTTTTAATGATTGATTTAAATTCTTGCTAATTTGGTATGATGGTCTATTGGTAAGTGATTAATGTGCACTTCCTTTTGGTGTAGGCACATATTACGGTTAGCAACTAGCAAGGCCTTCCGGGTGCCTAATTTACAAGTGGAGCCGTCGAGGGGACAATCGGGCCGATCAAGGTTGGGTTAGGGATTAAAGAGGCTCCGCTGTCTGGCTTGCCTACCTCTTGAAGAGAATCAAGCCAAACATTAGATTGACTTTTGAACGTTGCTACATGCCTAGATCGAGTACATGTATACAAAGTATATGTAAATATTCTTATCCATTAGTATCCAATCTCTCCTAACAACCCGTCAAAAAAAAAAAAAAACACTCATAACAAACATGATTTACCGACTGGGTAAGATTGAAATCCCTAATATCTATTAAGAGTTTCACAACATAAACAATTCAACCTCGTGATGAAAAGGGGTCAATTAACCATATTGGAAAAAAAAAATTTGTTGATAATTGTTCAGTGTACAAATTGTTTATTTTTTTTTACCAAATTGTTACCAGAATAAAAATTTCTACCAAATTGTCGCTAAGGGTATTTTTTTTTGCCGATAAAAAGGAGAACAAGTTATGTAGTCCCCCAACCCTAGAATAATTGACATTGTCGAATTTGACACACACTATTGATAATTAGTAAAAATTATAAGTATAAAACTTCTATAATTAAATAAATACTAGTAATTGTATATTATTAATAATCTATTCATCATAACGATTTCGACAAATATGCTTAAGACTATATTTTTTCTTATGTATAAATCACTAATATTAGTCAAAATGAATTAAGTGAATAATGTAAAAAGTCAAAATATTTTACTTAAAAGAATTCGAAGGGAGTACTAAGAATACAATACTTTAATTTGCCTTTGAATGAGCTTTTCTTCAGACTGAAGATGGACAGTAATAACATAATTAAAATTGTTTATATTTAACATTTATTATCCCACTCAAAAAGAAGTGATAATCGAGTTTAAATTAAAGACCTAAATTCCTTCCGTTTAAAAAAAAAAAAAAAAAAAAAAAGACCTAAATTCCTTAGCATACTAGCTAGTTGCTATGACACATAGAATAAAGCCATTTTTGCTTGTTTGCTTACTACCACAAGCAAAGTATCCATAAATTCTCTAGCCTCACTTCTCCATATCATCTTCATGTAATTAGCATTTCCCACCCAATAACTCTCTCATACATACTAACCAATAACAATGCATCATATATTGTCCTTACTCTTTGCACTATTATTAACAATCCCTTCATTTCCTTTGTGTTCTAGTTATAACCATAGTAACACTTGTAGATCCTATTGTGGTAACATATCGATCGACTACCCATTTGGGCTCAAATACGGGTGTGGTCACCCTGGCTACCGCGATCTCCTATATTGCATCAATGATGTCCTCATGTTACATGTAGCTTCAGGGTCATACCGAGTTTTAGACATTGATTACACCTTCCAAGCCCTTACTTTGCATGATCCTCACTTGTCGACGTGCAACTCGATCGTGCTTGGGTCCAAAGGAAACGGGTTCGTGGTCGAGTCGTGGCGAGCCCCGTTCTTGACTCCGGCACCGGATAATGCCTTTTTGTTGATCGGTTGCTCGGCTAAATCTCTACTCTTTCAAGGACTTCCATCTAAGCACTTGGCTTGTAGAAATGTTTCGGGTTTGGGCTGTGAAGACTATTATAGGTGTCCAGCTTGGGGATCTTTCGGCCCAAAAACATTGGGCCTGGGCCCACCAGAATGTTGTGCAGTGGCCTATGGTGATCTTGGGCCAAATCAAGGTATAAATCTTACTAAATTAGATTGCCAAGGGTATAGTAGTGCTTATAGCTTGGCACCTTTAAGAATTGATGGGCCACACGAGTGGTCTTATGGCATACGTGTGAAGTATTCGGTCCAAGGACACGATGCGTTTTGTAAAACGTGTGAAGCTACTCGTGGCACGTGTGGGTATAGTGGTGATAATGGTAGTGAAATTAGAGAGTTGTGCTTTTGTGGTACTCGGAATTCAACATCAAGTTGTGACTCTATTACATCAGGTGAGTTTAACAAATTTAAATTGTACAAATCAAATTTCTATAAAATACGTAGTTATTACTGTTATTAGTTAATTGTACATTTTAAACGTAAAGTAAAACGTACATCAGGTTATATCTAATTTGAGTAATTTAAATTTAATATATAGTTGACAATTGTAGTTTCAATTTTGACAATAACCAACTTCTAATACAGTACCGTATTATTTTGCAGTTGAATCAATGATATCAAAAGCCATTACTTTGAAAGCCTTGCCATGGAATGCCATAGTAACAATATGTGAGTTTATTGCAATCTTTAATTTCCTCCACTTTATTCATTATAAAAAAGGGAAATTGTTCCGTATGTGTTTCAAATTTAACTCCCTTTAGACTATTGCTTACAATTTATCAAGTATATACGTGTTTTTATAAGTACAAAGTATGTACGGGTTTTTTGAATTTTCCTCACGATGAGGGTTTTCTAATGTTATTTTTCTCTTAAAAAAAAAGTGAAAACTGAAAGTAGGGAGTATATTTTAACTAATGCAGCAATAAATTACACAAATTTATGCAGGTATTCTAATTTCAATGGATCTATGGAATAAAGGTTAAAAACAATTGCAAATTGAAGTTGCCAGATTCTAGCAGTGCACATGAACCGATGAACGTGCTCATGTGCAATCCCCATTTACATACGTACGAGCTATTGAGAAGCAAATGGTTGTCTTTTTGGTAGAATGTAGTTACATTTTCATGCAACTTCTACAAAGTATTTTTATTTATCTTTGTGATGATTTGTAAAACTTCTTGTATAATTTATTTAGGGTTATGCAGAGTACGGTCTAAACCGCACCAAACCGTAATTTTGCGGTTTGGTGCGGTTTGCGGTTCGGAAATTACGGTGCGGTTTTCAAATTTGATCAAAACCGCGGTTTTGCGGTTTGGTGCGGTTTCAAAAAAATTTCAAACCAAACCGCACCGCAAACCGCAATTTAATGCAAAGACTCTTATATGGAAAGAAGACTCTTATATTGTATTTATATGTACTGAATTGTGTGGGTCATTATTTAGAAAACCAAAGTTTTCCTTTCTTATTACTCTCCATTTCTTGTGCTTTGGAGTTGTAATGGAGTGGTTGTGGTTTACTTAATGATTTTGCTCAATGTTTGCCTTGGCATGTTACTGGGTCACTATTAACATTGAAGTAAAATACTACTTCTTTATTGAATTATTTGCATAGTTGTACAATTTTCAAGTAAAAATTTCATAACAAAAGATTAGCAAATGATCATTATTTGTGAGGTAAAAAAATTATGGAAAAACCGCAAACCGTATTTTGCAGCAGCCCTAAATTTATTAATTAATTTGTAGTTGTTGGGGAAAGAAGACTCTTATATTGTATTTATATGTACTGAATTGTGTGGGTCATTATTAAGAAAACCAAAGTTTTCCTTTCTTATTACTCTCCATTTCTTGTGCTTTGGAGTTGTAATGGAGTGGTTGTGGTTTACTTAATGATTTTGCTCAATGTTTGCCTTGGCATGTTACTGGGTCACTATTAACATTGAAGTAAAATACTACTTCTTTATTGAATTATTTGCATAGTTGTACAATTTTCAAGTAAAAATTTCATAACAAAAGATTAGCAAATGATCATTATTTGTGAGGTAAAAAAATTATGGAAAAATCGCAAACCGTATTTTGCAGCAGCCCTAAATTTATTAATTAATTTGTAGTTGTTGGGGAAATTGGTTTATAATGATGAATTACTTGACAAACGCGGGTCTAGGCCGCACCCGCAAACCAAGAGAGAGGGTCCACTTCACAAGTCCAAGGAACTTCATCCCAAAACCATATAGCAATAGGAGGAGTAGCCTCTTAGCCTTATAAAGTGTTTAACTCTCTCTTCTTTAACCAATGTGGGACACTTACATGTGGTGACACCTGAGAGGTTTATTTTTCAACACTCCCCCTCACATGTAAGATCACTTTTAACTAACACCTTCACCTTTATTAATTAAGCAAAGCAAACATGAATATTGCCTACATACTCTAAATTACTCAACAGTAGTTAGTCGTGATTAATATCTCAATTTTCTATAATGTTATTCGCATTTAGTAGTAGATGTAGATCATTCGAATATTTGATGAGCATCTATTAGTTAGGTAAACATGACAAATTGTCAATTAAATATCAATAATTCGGAGTATTTTACAAACTTGTACGAAGTATAATGCTAACCATACGGATAATACACATGCTTAACAACTAGCACACGTATAAGTTAATCAACTATGCCTAAAAAATTTAGCAATTAAAATATTAAATTAGTCAATGAATCTTATGAAGTGCCAAAAAAAAACATTGAATTCAATAATGATGATTGATACGAGTAATTAAGTTTGGTGGGATTTTCCATAAAAATGTGTCCCACGTGATCGTAACCTCGCATGATTTTCCTAAAAAAATAAATAAATAAATAAATAAACTTTGGGCTAAAATAAAATCTAAAGCTGGACCCACCTTAGTAATCGTAGGCCCACTTAACAGAAACGAAAGGGCCTCGTTGTAAGAAAATCATACATGTGCAATTTACCCACTTACGTTTAATTGTAGCAAATGAACCCCAAATTATTTAATACTAGTATTGTGCACTAAACATCTATAAACTATATAGTACATGCAGTACATCATAACATCATTCATTATTTAAACAAATTCGTAACAAACATTCATATAGTGCTATGCCCACATTATACTCCGTATTTCTTACTATTTCAATTAAATTGGTGTAATTAATCGAGATTAATTAAGTATGATGATTTTAAATTTTTAATGTTGTTTAATCTAGATAAATGTTGTCATATTTCAGTGCGGATAACTTTTACTACGTATGTTTTGTATCAACTGATATGTATGAAAATGTAATGATGATTTCAAAGTTTTTGGTCGTAGATTTTTATAATTATGATATTTATATATTTTTTTAAAAAAATTTGCTTAAATTTAATGCATAGGTTTTGATTGCACAGTTATAAATAAATAAATTAATTAATAAAGGTTGCGGGGCTAATTTGATACAATCATACAAAAACTAATGGTGGGGTTAATTTACACATGCACTCAAAAGTGTTGAGGCTAATTTGCTACCTACTACGCCAATGAAAAACTCCTTACTTTGACAATTTGTCAAAATCTATAGTTAACATAATAACATGTAAGAAAAGTAATTCAACACCAAAACTCATAGAATGCATAGAATCTAGAATATTTTGGTAAATAAAAATATAAAATATTCATATTTAGAATATATGCATATTTAGAAAGAATATGCATATATTTCTTTCTCGATTTTGGCTTAATGAATTTGAAGTGATGCACCAAATCTAAATTGAATGAAAATAGAAACATAAGCTAAATGCATCATCTATTTTATTGTAAAAACTATTGTTTTGATTATTAGATAGAAAACTAGTTATTGATACTATCCAATACTCCAATAGTTTTGATTAGTGGATAAAATAATGGTTATTAATACTTTTCAATAGTTTGTATGGATAATTGAATAGTATACCAGTTATTAATTAAGTTCAAATAATTTGAATCATTGGATAGAATACTACTGTAGTTATTAATACTATCCAATAGTTTAGATTTATTGGATAGAATACTAGTTGTTAGTAGATTAGTGCGTTCTATCAAAATTTATCTAATGTTTATCTTTCATTTCTTCTTTTTTGTCAAAAGTCTTGAAACGGTTTTTCAAGGTTTAAGTTCACCAATTTAGACTATAATTACATATACTTTTTAAATTAGCTTAACTTATGTTAATTGGAATTTAAGATAAACTTATTTGACTTTATTTTTCTAAAACTTGATTACATATAGAGACTTTTTCACAAAATTTATTGAATTTGTTAACCAATTTTTGACTAAATTAATTAGGTAAAATGAGTTAAGGATGTTATAAAATAGGGAGAAATATAAGAGAGATTGATAGAGAATATATCACTGTATTTCTATTCCATATGATAGGGGTATATATATACATAGAATATTATAAGTAGGGTTTGCTTAGATAAGAATAAACCATAGATTTAGAATATTCTGGAAACATACAAAGAGGATAATGGATATCCACACAATATTTTCATAACACTCCCCCTTGGATGTCCATTATCGAAGATTGTGCCTCATTAAAACCTTATTAGGAAACCTGTGGGATAAAAAAACCTAATGAAGGAAAAAGAGTACAACATTCTTCGTAATACGCTCGAAATGCTGCCTCGTTAAAAACCTTACCAGGAAAACCCAATACGGGACAAAAACCATGGTTAAGGGAAAAAGAGTGCAGTGCGTAATTTCTCCCCCTGATGAATGTATAGCTTGAGGTCTTCTAATGCAATGAATCCAATATAGTTGAGTGTCTTCACACATGACGCAGAATAATATCATTCCTTGATTTTAATTTCGAGTCTTCCAAATCTTCAAATTTTTACTCAAACAAGTGAGTCTTCATATCACCAAACCTATAACAATAATTCATATGTTTGTCCACATTTCATTCAAAATCTCTGTTCAAAGTTGCCTTAACTATTATACTTATGTCTTCTTCTGGAGGTCATGAATAATCGAAATTGATGATCATTATAATTTGATTAAACATTCCTTAATAATAATATGGCAACCCATGATATTATTAATGTTGATTTTTCAATCTTGTATGAAATAATAATATAGCACATGTAATTATATACATTGATCATGGTTCTTCTGGACCATGATAAAACAGTCTCACGCATAAGTATCTTGTTGATTCTTTAGAATATTTATAATTAACACGATAGTTCTCTTTTATATACAAATAGTAATTCTCATTGCTAACACTTATATGCTCAAACTTCAGGTTGAGATGTCAATGATTTAGTCACATAGACTTTTCAAGAATTTGATAGTAATTGCATTATTCAGGAGATAAACTTTGTAGGGCTGGATATTTAAATACGTCGTATATAAGTTCTTCAGGAACTCTTTTTACATGATTCATAACGTGCAATTAAATAAGTGTCATCAATAATTTCATTACAATTATAAGTCAATTGGAATATAAATATCTCTTTCTAATTTTTCATCAAAGTTATAAATATGTCTTACTATATTTTGAAAGAACATTCACATACACCACAGCCATTGTAGGAAATTAATCCATGCAATATGAGATATATAAAGCATGATAACATATTAAACAAATTATATAATGAGTAATGCATCTAACTTCGTACATATGCAATAAACCATTAACCTATGAGTCACGTGCTCATGGATATAAGACTCAAAATGATGCAAGACATTGTACAGCGTGGATTTAAAAATCCATATTTCATTGGACTTTGGGTCCATGATAAACTTATGATCATTATCATTATGTCGACATCAAAATGTACATATATTTCTGATCCCTTACTTATTAATCCATTCCATTATGCATATGCATATTATTCATCGGTTCCATTATGTACCGGTATTATAAAATTCCTTTAACTTACATTTCGCATGCTATTTTACTATGTTATCTTAATACATTTCTCATTGGTACCATCATAACTTTTCTAACATTATAGGCCATCTATTATAATAATTCAAATATCTATACCACTTTAGGGTATTTCATACACTATGGTATTTATATATTATTACACTATTAGTGTCAACTGCACTATCTTGCCAAATATCATATCTATTAAAATATCTTTATTTTGGAACCGATCATATACAACCTACACTTCAGGTGTAGTGATTCAAGTGCAATTGGCAAGATTTTATCTCAATGTATACACATAATTAATATGACCAAAATGTATCTTCAACGCTATGCAACATGACTCATAACTGAATACAAATCAAATCATAAATGTGCAACATATCTTGATAATATATATACAAAAGTTGGTATATATATAACTTTTCAAACTACTATTATAGGGATCATAAATATTTTTTTTTTATTTTTTTCGATTTTCCCAACTTTTGCTATTTCTTCTCCCCCTAAGTTGGTAAAATATCTCTTTTATAGAGGCGTCTAATTCTATACCAACTTAGTATATAAATTTGCATTAAAATCCATTTCATTGGGAGGATCACAATCAAAATTTATCTCTTCCGGAGAACAATTTCGATGAAGAATCATTTATTCATTAACTTTATATTTCATGTGTATTTATTATTAAATTTTCAATAATATTTTCTCTTCTGGAGATCAATGTCAATGGGGAGACATATGTTGTGCAATTGTACGTTTTTCTTTCTTCTCCTATTTCATATGTGATGACTTATAATAGCCCCAATCAAAAGAATTGTTATACAAGCATAAATCACTTGCTCGTAATTCTAGTAGGTGATGATCTTCTGGATCTTTAAAGACTTAAATAGTGTATTTGGTGAGCTTCTGATCACTTGACAGTTGACAATAATATATAAGTTATTTTGGTGAACTTCTGGTCAGCCATTACTCCTTTATAAAAAAATCAAAACATATTAAATCTTGAAATTTTCATCAATACAAATTATTATTACTCACAATCCAAATATAACTCAATCTCAATGTTACGTCTTGCCATTCAATTCATTTTATATATTTAACATTGAGAAAGCGTCAGCACATTATCAAATGAAACTTCAGGTTTCCATTATGGGTAATTATTATTAAACCCGGATGGCCTAATTTAATTATCACACCCAATCATTTCTCTAAATTTGAACTCTGGTCAGTTTTCAACACTACTGATCACTTTATTAAACTTACTATGTGTATGGCCATGAATGTGATGTGATATTAGAACACCAACATGTGTTTCTTTATACAATTGGCAAGAAAATTGACTAATTAATATCTAATAATTACTTATATATACTCTGCTGGAGTTTTGACTATAATCTTGATACATGTTAATCTTGATACATGTTAATCTTGTTGGACATTTCATACTCTTGATTTCTTCTAGAAATGTAATGATATTTACCACTTCCTCAAATTTGTCATTGTCAATAGTGACTCCTTTCCTTTTCAAAGATACTTAATTATCTTTAGAACCTATTGATTTAGTGGATTGCTAAACATCGCCCGCAAATCTCCACATAAAGCCCACAAATCTATATTGAATTTACCTTATTGCCCTAAACCTAAAATAAAAAAATCTAACCCATACCCACACTCTAATCACCCGAAAATACGGCAATGTTGAGGCGGCAAGGCAAGGACTTGGCGGCCACAGCGGCGGAGGGAAGGACGACTCACGGTGGCAGGGTTTTTTTGTAAAAAAAAAATTTAAAAAAAAAAAACCAAAAGAGGTGGGGCGCCTGGCCAGGACGCCCAGCCCCTGGTGGTGGCGTCTACTCCGGCCGCCGGGACCAGGGGGCTGGCGTCTGACCTGGACGCCTAGCCACGGTTGTGGCGTTTTCCAGAGGCGCCACCGCCGTGGCTGGGCGTCCAGGTCAGACGCCAGCCCCCTGGTCCCGGCGGCCGGAGTAGACGCCACCACCAGGGGCTGGGCGTCCTGGCCAGGCGCCCTACCACTTTTTTTTTTTTTTTTTTTGTCTAATATTTTTTTTTTTGGAAAATCAGAATTCTTTTGTTAATGTTTAATATTTTTGTTTTATGTGTTAATGTTTTTATTTCTAATGTATATATATTTTTTTTAAATCAGAATTTTTTGTGTTAATGTTTAATTAAAAAAAACAAAAACTTTAAATAAAATTTAAAAAAAATTACAAAAAGTTTAAATAAAATTACAAAAAAAAAAAATAAAATTACAAAAAGTAGGGGTGGCGTCTGGCCAGGACGCCACAGCCATGGTGGCGGCGTCTGGCCAGGACGCCACAGCCATGGTGGCGGCGTCTGGCCAGGACGCCACAGCCATGGTGGCGGCGTCTGGCCAGGACGCCACAACCATGGTGGCGGCGTCCTGACCAGACGCCACCCCTACTTTTCGTAATTTTTCCCCCGGATTATCTCGCTTTCCGGCGACGATGACAGCTCTTCGGTGTCCCTCGGCGATCCACTCCAGCTCCACATTCTTCGTGAGAGTGAATTACGGTTTCGGTAAAAATTAGAAAAAGGGCAAAAGAGTCAAAGTAAAAATATTTGTGGGCTTTATGTGGAGATTTGCGGGCGACGTTTAACAAATCCCTTGATTTATCACGCTTCAGGCATGCTATAGGTTCATCAACAATTGATGTTGTACTCTTAGGACATCAATTTTAAATTAGAGCATTTACAACTAGTATATGATAAATGTCATTTGTTTATATCCATCTTCAGGATGGTATCATTTCAAAATATTTAATGAACATGTGGTCACTTCTATTAAATTAAATAAATCGTTGATATTTAAGTTATTGTATGTATCAAACTGACTATCAATCTATTTTATTATTTATATGCAAGGGTTACATACAATCTCCTCCTAATCCTTGCATATGGGGGTATGGAATGAATCAATCCAACAACCTTTAAAATCCTTGCAACTTTTAAGCTATAAATTCTTTTGCCAATTATTTTGGCAATGTCATGTATCAAGTAACGTGTTCCTTTTAGCAAAAACATGCTTATATAAAATTATACTTAGAACACTTATCATGTTCCTCAAACCCAATTACATTCATCTTAAAAAAACAAAACCTCTTATATTTATGGGCATAATAAAACGTTGATTATGTATAGTTTATCACAATGTCATGTTTAATTACTTGAACTCATAACACACTTTTTGCTATATATTTAATTAATTAAGGAACTTCAAGTCCATATGTACGAGAATATATACCAATCCATCTACATTTTTCAGAAAGAGAAGGTAAAAATAAGACATGACATAATCAGTTCGAGCTTTAATCAAAACATACCTTATTCGATCCACTCAACTATACTAGCCAAATTAAAATTAATCTTTGAAAACATAAGTAAACATGATATTGTGTTTATAGAATCACGTTAGTATGTAGTGGATATCTAAGCAATATGCTTTAGCTTTGTAGATCATGCACATTTCTTTGTATTATCCTTAAGGGTTTTGAGCCATTTATACGTTCAAGCTAGTGTGAATACTCTTTATAAATATAAGGAACTTCAGGTCCGCACATCGTATTCAATTTACATTTATTCCAATAATCAAACTTCAAGTAGGTACATAATACTATAATTGAATGAGAAGGTAAAAATATGAAAACCTACTACTTCACGCTTTAATAAAAACATACCTGAATCGATTGAATCAACTATACTGTCAGGTCAATTATATCAATATATTGCTTGATAAAGCTTAATTAGAAAATAGAAACAAGAACATAAGCAACCAAAATTAACACGTTCACGTTAGTGTAAAACCACATGTTTCATATCATACTTGAAATATAAAAACATAATTCAATACATAAATTATAAATAGTTTCACATGTACCTTAGGCTTACTTCGTACAATTTACAAACATTCAAGGCATTAGACATAGGATTTCACAAACAAATTATATGGGTAAATAATTGCTAAATCAAACCATTCATATTTGCTATGAAGCATAGAGAAATAACCAAACTCATTTACGGATAGGAAAAATAATATCAAAATCTAGCAAATATATGTAATACAAGTTCATGAAAACCATATGTTCATAAAATTAACACCAATAATAATTCTAAATACCCTTTTATATTCAAACTAAACAAAACTCGTAGTCAAAACAAAACTACTAATTAGTTATTTTCTGCATCAAATCCAACTATTCCCAAATTGCTCATTGAACGCTAGGAATAATAAAAATACAAAAATTTGGGAAACAATATAAACATATTATGTGAAGGCTTAAAAATAACAGGATAATTGAGAATGAACTTTCCTGATATCAAAATCTTTCCGACTATAAAAACCAGCCTTATCGTCAAATTCATGTTGTCAACATCATCTGCTAGCCTATAACTCAGGAAAACGTCAATGAAAAGAAAATAAAGTATAGCAATAATTCAAGATAAACAAACCAATGCAACCAAAAAATAATACGAGAGTTTTTTTGTAATTAAATAAAGCGGCACTATCATTAACATTCCAAATTATTAATACCGTGAGACTACTTGTACTAGTCCCAAATTAATTAATGAAGATTGGGAATGATATGACATTCTTGAAACGTGTGATTTCATTATTAAAAGATCAAAACCCATGATCAAGATTAATCTCCTTTTAATTTCTTCCCAAGATGCGACATAACAAGATAATAATTAGAGTTTTGGTGCTGATAACGTGTTATAAAATAGGGAGAAATATAAGAGAGATTGATAGAGAATATATCACTGTATTTTTATTCCATATGATAGGGGTATATATATACATAGAATATTATAAGTAGGGTTTGCTTAGATAAGAATAAACCATAGATTTAAAATATTCTGGAAACATACAAAGAGGATAATGGATATCCACACAATATTTTCATAACAAAGGAGACTATCCTCTAAATTTTTTTTTTCCTCTTACTTTGTAAATCATAGAATTATGTTTTGAAATATATCATTTTTCTTATATAAAAATAATAATCAATTTTTTTATTGAGAGAAAAATAATAATCATTTTTTCTTTGAAAGAAAAATAATAATCATTATAATAATGGTATGGAGTAAAGAATTTGAATACTCTCAAATAAATTTCCAAATAATAAAGTTTTTTTTTTTTGAAAACGTTCCAAATAATAAAGTCAAGCCAAAGAAGTAATTAAAAAATCATTATCAAAATTTAATATTTTCTTAAAACCTAATTGGTGTTTATTATCTTATAATTATAAAAAGTCGACATCACAAAATTAATTATTTTATGATAGTTATTTGTGCACCACTCATAAGACAAATATGAACTATTCTTGTCCAATTTCTTATTTTTTATAAAAGAAAACCTTTAAAATATTGCCAAAATAATTGGGTTCATATTTTTGCAATCTTCCATATAAATAATTTTCATTTTCTTTCTCTTTCTCTATCAATCAAAATTTCATACCCAAAATACGTTTACAGAAGAAGACGAAGACATCACAAATGGCGTTATTTCTCTGTCAAACTTCTCCAATTCCAATTTCTCTCTCCTCAAATTTGTCTGCAATATCAGCAACATTTTCATCAAAACCTCGATTTCTATGTCCCAAATTTGGCGAAACGACGCCGTCTGCTTCGTTCAGTCGACCCCTTTTTGCTGTTCAATCGATCAACCAAAAATCCCAATCTTTTTCTTCCTTCAGTGAGGTTTGATCAGTTTCTCCATTTGCTATTGTTCTGCATTTCGAAATTAATGACTTATTTACTAAGAAAAAATAATTAATTTGACGATGAATTAATGAATTTTGCAGGTAATTGAGGGTTTGATTAATCGGACTGATTTGACGGATTTAGAGGCTGAATCGTCGTTAAATTTCTTGCTTAATGATCCAAATGAATCTCTAATTAGCGCTTTTCTTGTATTGTTGAGAGCTAAAGGCGAAACCTTTGAAGAAGTAAGCACAACCCTTTTCACTTTATCATTTGTAATATTAAATTTATTACAGTAATTAATTGATGGGTGTTAATTTTAAGAATAGGTAATAATAAGATTAATTACAAGCATTAGATATTTTTCCTCATTTGGTATATTAGATTATGAATGCATGATAAAATCACGTGTAAATTAGTGTAATTAACGGTTGTGTATATCATTTTTCCAACTATAGGAAGGGGGTCTGTTCATAAAGACCTAGATTTTGATTATATGAAATTGGCTATTTTGGGAATGTATTAACAGACAGTAAAATGACAACTTAAAGTTATAGGTTTTGGAAATTTCAACAATTTGGTTGAAATTCCAGATTTTCAATTTGACTGTTGACTTCAATAATAAATGTTGATGTTGCTGAATTTTGAGATTGATGAAAGTATGTATACCTGTTTTTGATCTGGGACTACTTTATGTGAAATTGCAGATAGTTGGATTGGCAAATGCAATGATGAAACACTGTAAGAGTGTGGAGGATTTGGGGGATGTAGTTGATATCGTTGGTACCGGTGGTGATGGTGCCAACACCGTGAATATCTCCACCGGTTCCTCTGTATTGGCCGCCGCTTGTGGTGCGAAAGTAGCCAAGGTTGTAATCTCATTTCTTGCCTCTCTAATCAACATTATGTTAAATTTTGGTGTGTTTTGAAAGGAGGGGTTAAGCTCAAATGGTAAAATATTGGTATTAATTGAGTGTGAAGTGGCAAATATGTGTATGGATATGCTTGTTTTTGAAAGTGATGGTTGTGTTTTATGGGATTTTGTTGCAGCAAGGGAACAGATCAAGCTCTTCAGCTTGTGGGAGTGCAGATGTTTTGGAGGAATTGGGGGTTGCCATTGACTTGGAACCTGAGGTTTGTTCTTGATATATTTATATACTAAGTTGTGGGTTGAAGATTTATCTTTTTGCTATGTGTTTACTCTTTATTGGACCTTCATAAATGCCGTCATGAAATCATTTATGAGCTTTTAGGTTGGTGTTAGTTTTGGTTTGCTGATACTTTTTAAGCATTATCATTGGACTATAAAAGCCACATGGTTGGCTGTAAATTTTTCCTACCTTCAGTTTTTTTCTTTAATGCTGCTGGCCTCAGTCACTGAGTGGATGTTAGGATGCACTCTATGTGATTAAAACTGTCTGACCTGCATTTCGGTAGCTTGAATTACTGACTCAACTATATCTATTACCGGGTTGTGTGGCAAAATTCTGATTTATGTTATTCCTTATGATATTTAAGGTTTATCTAAGCTGTTAATTTTTATCTTTACTTTGATATTAGGGAATAAGAAGATGTTTAGCTGAAGCTGGAATTGGTTTTATGATGTCGCCAACTTACCATCCTGCCATGAAGGTTGTTAGACCTATTAGGAAGAAGCTAAAAGTTAAAACAGTGTTTAACATCCTAGGTCCAATGTTAAATCCAGCTCGAGTACCTTTTGCCGTCGTTGGTGTTTATTCTGAAGATATTGTAAGTTTACTTCCTTATTGAAAAATCAAATTTGTTTTGCTTTGTTAATAGGATTATTCATCATTGTTTCTTCTGCCTTTTAGGTAGGCAAAATGGCCAAGGCTCTTCAACGATTTGGCATGAAGAGGGCATTGGTTGTACATTCAGAAGGACTAGATGAAATGAGCCCTATGGGTAATGCTTTTGACTTCTTCTTTATAGAAATCTTTGTACAAGGGTTATTGCTGATTTGTGTCTACGTAAACCTTGTAAATTCAACTAATTTTGATGGGTGGAAATTGCAGGCCCGGGAGTGATTCTTGATGTGACTCCCGATAGAATAGAGAAGTTCTCTTTTGATCCATGTAAGAACTCTGCTGAAATATTTTTCTCGTTATTCTCATCTACATTTTGATTCAAGTTGGCTTGGGATTTTAAACCACATCTCATAAATGTGACTTATGTAAAATGGCAGTGGAATTTGGCATTCCTCGTTGTACTGTAAAAGATTTGAGAGGAGGAGGACCAGAGTACAATGCAGAGGTATTGAAGCGTGTTTTAGGAGGAGAGACTGGATCTATAGCAGATGCATTTGTGAGTTCTAGCCTTTTATCTCTTGCTAAATTTTTTTACACTCTTGTGTTTGATTGACTTTAGAGGCCCTGGCTGCTTCCACACTAAGATAGGGCAGAATTTTGATGAATCCTGGACTTAGTGATTGGAAACATAGTAGTTCATTTATATCTTTTTCAGGTTTTCAAAAGAAACAATTCATTTCTGAATAAGTGCTGCAAAAATACTGCCTAGCTAGGAGCATGTTGTTGTTTTGTCTCTCTGCGTTGTCTTTCTATCCCAAGTACAAGCATATTTGTTCTCCTCTCTTCTTAATATTGATGTTGAATTGTTTCTTCTGTCACAAAATCAGGTCTTGAATGCTGCTGCTGCTCTTTTGGTCTGTGGACAAGTTAGTACCCTTGGTGATGGAGTAGCCCTTGCTCGAGAAACGCAACAATCTGGGAAAGCCCTAAAGACATTGCAGTCATGGATAGATGTATCAAATGTAAGGATTTGCGGATAGTTGTTATGTAGTGATTCTGGAACCTTTTGTTTTTACTTCATCTATTTCATTGTGGTTTTTTCTCCTTTTGGCTGAATAAATTCATTTTGTTAAAAAAATTTGTTTTTGTATTGCAGAAAGTGAAAGAAGCTACTGCAATTGTGGCTTAATTCTCCACCAGGCGCCCAAATCTCCTTGATTGAGGAAGCATACTGTAGATTATCTATATAGAGTTGTGTTGTGTTTTTGCTTTCGAGTATGATCTGCATCTCACCATACCTAAAGTTACCCGGAAAATCACTCCGCCTTTTTTGGTTTCCTTATTGCAAGTCCTCTGATGATTTGCTTGTGCTTGGACTCTTCCGTTAGTTTCTCAGTAGGAAACTCATACCAATGTTGATTAAGTGTACAGTTCTGTATTTACAGAGATTCTCATTTTTGTAACTCCTTAGTTAATAAGAAGTCTCGAGTGAACCATTTTATACATCTGGAAGTTATTTTATTGATGAATTTGCACGATTACAAGATCATTTGACAAAAATATCATCTTCAGATGTGTGGGCAAAAATACATTGCAACATATTAATTCCTACTTATTTCTCAGGTTTAATATACTCGAGTTTGGTTAAGTTGAGGTAATTACAAATAGAGGCCGAGCCTGAAAGTTCCAAGCAAGCTCAAATGCATGGCTCATTATTACCCCTATGGCCCTATTTACTCTGAAGCACTTTGAGCAAATAGAGCTGGGTAGTTATATTGATTCTAAGCTTGAACCAGCTTTAAAAGCTCGGTAAAAAAAAAAAAAAAGCCAAGGCATCGATATAATATACTCCGTACTTCGTATGTCATACCTAATCAAACCATTTATTCTGAATATTGAACTCTGATGAGACATGTTCATACTTGTACAAGTTACAAGCCTAACAACTCTGATGTCACTGGAGAACATTTAAACAGAAAATTCAGACTGTTTTACCACACCCTTGCATAGATTACATTAAAAATACTCATTCGTCTTCTGATTCTTCCTTGGCTCTTGTACCGTACATAATGCTTAAGCAGTTTGCTCGGCCGCAATTGCCTTAGCATTGACAAGCAAAGGCACAAGCTGACTTTTTGAGTGTTTATCCATCACAGCTACAATGGAAGGAATTCAATGAATTAAGAGACTGAAATTGGACAAGAACTAGAATGGAAAAAATCAATTGAATGGAAATAGGTGAATACCATCACAGCCACCGATATGCTGTCCTCCAATGAAGACATTTGGTACAGTTCTCTGTCCAGTCCACTCCTGAAGTGCTGCTTGAATAGCACTACCATCCGCTGCAAAGCAACAACAAACCATTTTGTTCATTGGATCATTATCATTACAGAATGCATTGAACAACAAGAAGCAAGCTTGTCAACTCCTTGTGACAGAGAAGGAGCTCTATCTTCAATTAGCTTCAGCATTTAATTTTATACCCATCATTTATTAAAAAGTTTTAAGACAAGGGCCTATAAGTTCACCCGAGTTAGGATCAAGGTTTTCCGGTTGAAAAGTTAAGTTGTTGGGAAAAAATAAGCTTAGATTAAGCCCCGAAATAGTCATTTTTACATCCTCATTACATCTAATGCAACTAAATCACTACTTCTCATTCTTCGTCAAGGTTCAACATCGTGTTTAACAGTAGAATGAAACAGCATATGCAACCATCAATATTATTAGTTTTGATCAGTATAAGTACTCACATTCCTGGTCCAATTCCATGACCTGGAAAGATGCACCGAGCTGTTTGAGCAGCTCCTTGACCCTATTGCAGAATCCACAGGTTGTTTTACTGCAAATCCAGAAGAGCAAATACAATTATTTGATTAACTAAGCTTCTATCATTATCAGTTTAGTGTAATAGAATTGCACACCAAGATAACTTGAAACTAAGTCATAAAATACCTCGTTTTTTTCTTCACCCACTCTGTTTCGAGAGGTTGTTATATACACCCGGGTGTACCATACACTCATGAGTATTTATTCTCATTTTGATGATTGTTTTTCATTTTATCATCAAATGAAGAGCAAAAACTAACCTTTGGTTAGTTGGGTGTATGGTACACCCGGGTGTATATAACAAATTCTACTCTGTTTTGAGGTGTTTTTTTCTTCTTTCTACAGATTATTATTGTTTTTGGAAAGCCTTATGTACCATTTTAACCCCTCTTACGTCACACTATAAACACTAAAACCATCCACCAACTTGCCAAGACACAAGAACATAATAAGTGGGTCGGAAAAAAACCCAAAGTGTCAAATGTGGTTTAGGCAAAGTTATGCACAGAAGGATAAGAAATGCAAGAGAAGATAGATTCCTTTTGATTGATAATAAATAAAGAAAGAATCTGTAAACACAAAGTCACAACACCTTAAAATAAAGCTACCCTTTTTTGTATTAGTGTATATGTGAAGACATTAGCTAAGTCCTTATTGAAAATAAATCAAATGGTTAGTTGGCACCCACGTCTTGTATCAAGGAATATGTTCTTCTATAAGATAATTTCATGATAACTTTTTACCCCAAAGTTTGTTTGACAGGATAGATGACAATCTCACCTTTAAAATGTACAATAATAATCCAACAGTAAGGCCACTTTCTATTATCAATTCATTCAATTATGTATCATGAGACACTCCAAATTACCAACTTAACAAGAAGACTTTACTTATAAGAAGATTGTTGCTGGGTTTCTAACAAAGCAAAATGAAACTTCTAATGGTAACATTTAGCTAGAAATCAACAAATGAAAATATACCTCATGCTTTCGATTGAGCATGTAAGGCTACTTGTGCCCAAAAAACACATTATAAACACTTATGACATGATCAAATAAGTTGCAACAACTTACAACTAAGGGGACTTAAATTAATTTATTTATTTTGGGCTGGCATAACTTTTAATGTCTCACAATAAGTTTAAGTTATTACTTCATCTATTTCTACACAACAAATTGACTTTATGTATTGAGAAATGGAAGGCAAGTAGAATTTGTTATATATACGGGTGCACCATACACCCAGTTTTTCTCTTTATTTGATGATTAAATGAAAAACAATGGTCAAAATAAATAGAAAACACTCATACATCCGGGCGTATATAATAATCTCTCGGAATCAATAATAAGTTACATCATCTAGACTATGAACCCAGTAATTTGCCGATAAAGGGATCTCATAACAATAAGTAAAATTGCAATTAATTAAATAAAAATTGAAAATTCTTAAAATTGAATTTCACAAGAAGTTGACCAAAAAATTGATCGCATAAAAATCAATCAAACCAATTGCAAAAAAAAAAAGAGCAAAAAAAGAGGAAAAAAACCTGAAGATGATGACAGGGGTGGAAGCAACAAGCTGTTTGACCTTATTCAACGCCATATCAGTGTCAGCTTTGCTGCTGCTGGTATTGTTGTTGATTAAACTGAGTATTGACCCCATTTTTAATTTTATAGGAAAGCTCGATAAATTTATGGAAAAGAGGAGAGAGAAAAAGAACAAGTGTTGCTGATTTGGTTCTACTATCCTACCGCGTGTTTTCTTTAGTTATAGTAGTAAGCGGCAAAAGCAACCTTTTTCACGGAGAAGAGGGGTTGTTAAAGTGATTCCTTTATTTTCGTTTTTACTTCAAAATACTTCTGTTTTACGGTTGTAACTTTGTATGGAAATTAAATTACGGCTTCCTATTTGAATTAATCGTAACACTAGGTTGGCTATAGTTTATGAATTAACATAGGGTTAGGAGACTGAGGACCAAAGTGAGGGTTTTGAAATGTCTAATACAATTGGTGAAATTGTAAGGTACATCAAAACATGTCAAAAACTGACCCGATCAACTCAAATGCGATCTGACCCAAATAAATCCGATTTAGATTTCGACTTGTTTGGACAAAATAGTTTAGGATGATAACCCCTGTCTTCACCAAACCTGACCTAAATTTCCACAAGACATACTCTCTGAGTTACTAGTGTCTTGGTCATGAACCGCACTTAACTAGACCCAAAGTCATGAACCGCACTTAACTAGACCCAAAGGTCCCAACACTACAGTCAAGGTTATTAATTAACCATTTAATACAGAGTATTAATCACCATTATTATAATAAATTTCAGATATAAAAATAATAAAACAATGGAAACTAGAAACTAGTGGAAACGCCAGGCCCGTGCAGTAGTGCAACGCATGGGCGACGCGCGAAGACCCCAGTAGCAAACTACTGTGATGGGACTTCCCCCTTAAAAAATAAATTTAATATCGTTGTGGGCCATTGGTCCAAGTATCAGATATTAAACTGCTAAGATCAGATACTACACTGGATCTTGGCCAAAAGGCCGAGAACGGTATGAATATTTTGAAGTTATGCCCTTTATTTTTATACTCATGTTCTTCTTGTTTCTCTTTTCATTTTTCGATGTGGGATTGTATACCTTTTCCACCACTATAAAGTATAAACTAGAGCCAGTTGATGGTTTTTATCCCGATCATTATTGTCACTTAACTGCACTTCTTAAGTTTGTTTCCACTGTCATATTAACCCCCGATTTCAAGATATGAGACTTTTCTTTATGCTGATTGGGTGCCATTGTGCCAAGAGTTGAGGATGTATACTATATCAAAGTAGTTGTAGCTCTCCGAATGGCCGAGCCAAGTCCAAATGTGTTTGTTCAGAGAATTTGATTAGGGATTTTTTTTTTTTTTCCAGAATCAAATCAAATCCACATATACAACATATTACATACTTACAAATCAAATTGCCTACGAAAATATATGGTAGAAAAATATTCACAATTGGTGTAAATTTTTCACCTCTCATTTCTCAAAAACATCAACATTAGTAAAGAGTGTCAAAGGGATACAATTATCAAAAAAATTATTTCAGTTCCATGCCTCATGCTTGACAAACTTTATAAACCCTCTACATACTAACTGTGGTGCCCAACATTCATAAACATCCACTTTAGGGTAACAATGACAGTATATTTTAAAAAAAATATACAGAAAAATCTTACTTAGATGCAAAAATGGCTTCCAAATCTTTGTACAAACTCTTTGGCCTAGACTTAAGATCAGCCGATGGAGTCTTTGATGATGAACTTCCGCTCTTCCCACCCCAAAACCCACTCCATTTGGAATTGCTGCTTGAAGGATCATTTCCATTATTCCAATTCCCGTCTTTGAAACTGGCCTTAGCCATTTCTCTCAGTTGTTTCAACCAAGGCTTATCAGTTGTGCTTGAGCTCCTACTCCTTGAGCTCCTGTTACTTCCAGCTCCTGTTAAATTCAGCCTACTGATTTCTCCGTTATGTCGCTCTGCTTTGTCCTCTGGCAGCCACTTGTCAACGTTTTCTATCAGTTTCTCAGGAAGAAAGAGCAGAAAGAACCCAACGAAAGCAGTTCTTAAGCCCACTAGGAATGATCTCTTTGATGAAGTGTCAAGCTTTCGTATTTGCTTATATAAAGCATACCACTCGTTTATCATTAAAGAAAGGAAGCCGAATAAAAAGAGAGAAAGCATGAATATGCCTATTCCTCTCTCAGCTTCGATAGAGAAATCCCGGTCCACTAGAGCTAAGCAAGCTGCAAACATGCCCAATTCACAAGCAATAGATATGATTTCAACTAGTTGCACCTTTTTCTTGATGTAAGGCTTCTTAAGAACTAGGAAGAAAAGCTGGAAAGATGTAATGCATAGCAAGATAGTAGTAGGAGCCTTAGAGGATGATTTTTCTGAGTATAAACCAGCTAAAATTCCTAGCAGGAACCGCCTTATGGATTCAAGGAAGGTGTAGTAAATTCTCAGGATGCCAAACACTTTTTGAATGAAGGGTGCCTCAGCATCTTCAGTCTCGTCTTCAGAGGCAATAATTCGGTCCACAGGCATGTGACTTCCACCAGTGATCATTGAGAGCATGTACTTTGGTGGACCTCGAAGATCTTCAAACAAAGGACCATACTTGACCAAGTATATGGAATTTTCAGGAGTTTTCCACGTCCATTGGCCCCTTTTACCTGGACCTAGAGTAACTCGGACAAGTTCTTGATACCAATGATATTTTCGGCCTACTTGATGAATTTCCTTGTACTGAAGTAACCAACCCAATGTGATCCCATATGAGAGGAAGACAAACAAGGCTAATTGGAAAGACGACATGAGAATTAGCAGCAGAACACCAATTATGGTCCCTGAAGTTGTTTTCCCTGTAATCATGAATGTAACAAGAGTATTAAAAGGTTTTAAATCAAATTGAAAACAGCAAGTTCAAGAGAACAAAGAAAGTTAAGGACTCGCCTTTGATTAAGGCAGCTGAAGCATAACAGATGCAAGGTACAGCTAGAATTGTAAGGAATATCTCAAATCGCGGTAAAACAAGAGCACCATAAGTCTTCATTCTTGAGTAATTTCTCCTGAGTTTTAGTACTAAGAGAAGGAAAAAATGAAGTAGAATCAAGCAGCCACCGATTACAGCTAACCAGAACATGGTTCTCTCAAAATCCTTCCATCTAAACCATAAACATCCAAAAATACAAAGTTACAAATGCATATTATTTCTACAATAAGAGAAATCAAAGACAGTACAAGGCAGAAAATTTCGCTGATATCCTAAAAGCCTATGGAGATTCAATTGTTTGTGGAGCTTAATAAAACATAAAGGGTTACCTGGATAAACTGTCAGAGCGTGTTATGTATTCTGCTTCTGGGATAATATTTTGGCTCTGGAAGCATAGAAAGGCTACGTGTTCAGGAAAAAAGGAGAACTGGGAAAGAACCAGGTTAGAGGAAACAAAATACTTTTACTGACCTCAAAGAACGACCTGTACTCCATTGCAGTCAGTGGAGCACCATAAATTACTCCAGCTTTATTAAGACTGCCTTTCTCAGATTGAACTGTTTGGGCAATGCTGCTAAGTCCATTTTTAAATAAATGTGAGCTTACGGAGGTGTTTGGAGTGAAAAACATGGGCTGAGAATGGTCGCTATCCCATGGAAGACAAAGGTAGGGAACACTCCACTGTATGCCTCGAGTGAATTCATAATACTCCACAGGCAGAGTGACCGCTAGCCACCTTGAAAAAGCAAATACTTGAATGTAACAAGCTATTCTCTGCATCATAGAAAGAGGTACTATTTTTAGTATTGGCAGCACAAAAATTCTATCATCCAGGTTTAGTTTCTTTGGGATCTTAAGACTGGTAGCCATAAATGCTACAAAGTATTAGACTACAGAGGGAAAACAATTTAATTATCAAGTTTGTAAATATGTTCTCATAGCAGTATAAAAACTTGCAAAGAGGTCAGTTTTTTCGTACAAAGAGATTCTTAGTAGGGTCAGAAGTCAGTGAGGATGATGATCTTGGAAATGCCCCAGCAGACTGTAGGCTTGCTGTGGATATAGTCAGTAGACCAGCCACCAAACATGTTGCCACGAACAGTGCTGTAACGATTATGCAAAAGACGGTTGATATCATAGGCAAAGAATCTGCAAAAGATATTTGACATAACCATCATAATCTTTAGAGACATTAGAGTTATCATGGAAAAAATGAATAAGAAAACCATACCAAAAAAATAAAGAAAATAAAGCCAGACTAATACCAACAATAGAAAGTTAAGTAAATATCCTTACAGTGCCTCACTAGTAAAACATTAGAAGCCAAATTTGGATTCCCTGCAACATCTGCAGTCATATTTTCAGGAATGCTGATAGACATGATGCCCTCATAGGCTTGTAAAAATGCAACGTACACATTCCGTGTCAGTTCTTCGAAGCTGTGGATCGGAAATAATTTAGATGAAGTTGCCGGAAAATCCAGATACAAATATTTTCTAAGATAATTGATATACTTGCCTCTCTAGGTGACCTCCGGAAACAGAAATGTGGCTAGAATTGAAATTGAACACTGGCTTCAGGAACTTAATTGACACTGTAATACTACTATCTTTTGTTTTCATTTTAGATGTTGTGCTCAACCTCACTGCTGGCCTCTTTGTGTCTAGAAATGTTACACAACATTCTTTCAGTGAAAATAACAGACATGAAATGTTCTTAGTCAATACAAAATAATTGTCACCAAATTATCTCAAGTGTCGAAAAAAAATGAAAATATATAACTTCATGCTTTCCATCTTGGGATGTCCCAATAGAGTCAAAATTAAACGGTTCTCTTACTTTTCATTCCTCTTAGAAGTGAGAATTTAAGTATGGGATGCATGGAGTAATAAGTAGAATAGAGGATATCAATTTCATAAAAAAAATATTCAGATTACCATATAAAAATGTAGCAGGAGCCACTGAAGAAACAGGAGAACCCTGTCTACTGAGGACACGACTTGAGTTAAGGCTTACTGTGACAATGGTAATGTTTGGTATATTTTCAATCTGCAAACAGAAGTAACAGAAGAAAGGAGAGCCTCAGGTATAGGAATATGAGGGGGGTAAAAAAAGAAAAAAAGAAAAAAAGACAGCCTTAGATACAAATGCAAGCTATGTTAAACTCTTCATTTCAGCTTAAGTATCAATGTCAGATCCTTGACAGTACAACACGGGTATGGGCACTTGACACCCCATTTAGCACCAAATATATTGAAAAATTATTAACACAAACTGGAGTCTGACTAATAAGAGTATCCAAGTCTAAGTAACATCAAATGCAAGAAACTATGCAGAGATATAATTTTACTGAATTCCATCTCCCACTAACCATATATCCAAATCTTCTATTGGCAAGGCTACTTCCATTTATTGGGCGAAGTGTCCCCTCTGTTGTCTTGATTGAACTCAAAATTTCTGTTGAGGTATTTAAGACAGGCTCTGTAAAATAAAGATAGACCTTGAGATTCTTGAAACTGTTAGTTGCCTGCACAGTTCTAGTGTCACCGCCAAGCTGAATTAGCTTTTCAGGAACATGGGTTCTTAGGCTAACAGAGACACTTCTTCTATCTGCATTAACAAGCAAACATACATATAAAACAACAGGACATTTCATGAATTTCTGGAACTAAATTGGGAATATCACGAGGAAAAAAAAAAGAAAGAAGAAGCTCTTGATTTACATACTCACCAAAATGTACAATAAGACTTGAATTTATTGGTCGGATGAAACGATTTCCTGCCATATCAGTGCAGAATCCTTTATCCATAACAAGTATTGACCTTCCATATTGAACTTTATTAGGTAAACTGACAACTACTGAATATTTGAGGTTTGGCTGGATAGTTTGAAGTGTATTTGGTATAACTTGTCCAGAACCATACACAAGAAGCTGTGACAGAAGATATCATATCAGTGAAATGCTTAATTAAAACTTTGTAGGCTACTACATGTTACAATATTCATAAGGTGAGGCATAGTGAAGACTGAAGACACAAGTTTTTGATGCATTGTTACAACTATATATAAGCTGACCAACTACTCACGTCGCAGGCATTGACAGATAAGCACCTAAAGCCACCTCCACCATTACATGGTTCACTGAAGGAAATATATGCAGTGAAATTGGGAGCGCTTGTGAAAGATGTCGAAGCTGAAATGTATGCTGTAGGATGAATTGTGTCTACAAAAAACACAAAATGCCAAAAACTAGAAATCAGATATAGGAATTCAGCTTGGGACTCAAAATTCTTCGGAATTATCATGATCCTAAATGAACCCCTATTTCAATCATGCAAGCACTTTATACTTGCAAGACTATATCTGTATATGCAATAAAATTAACCCTTAGTCCTAGCACATTTATCAATTAACAAACTTCAATTTTGTTCATCAACATCATCTTTTGCTAAAATTTATTGAGGGTAAACAAAATGGCAAGGATAGGTAGATATTACTTTTCGTCATGGCAAAATTACATGCTAATCCATTAACTCAAGGTTCCAAGCAAGGAGGGAAGAGAGAACTTTTTTATTACTTACCAATAGTCCAGTTATAACTAGCACAGCCAACTCCTTGGGATGCATTGGCACAGACCTGCAAGCTATGATTTCCATCCTGCAAGCCCACAAAAGAAACATTCCTTCCCCCACAATTTGAGGAAAAAGCATCATTTAACTGCAAAAAATTTCCAAGAATATCGATTTAATTAGCACTCTCTTCTATCTAAACCAGAAACTCTATAATTAATGCACGTCAATTGGTCTAAAAATAAAAGAAAATTTTATTAAATTCTACGGTCTCATCTGTTTTCTTTTAATTCTCCCCCTTTTTATTGGTGTAGATTCTCATAGGGAATATGACATAGATGGCGACAGGATCAAGTACCACTTCCCAAGACTGTAAAAAAATTAACATCTATTTTGGTTCTCCTATATTCATGGTAACAGAATATGCAACAACAGAAACTTTTCTACATGAAGTTTGTAAAGTCATGTAACTTTTCTACACAATTGATTGAAAAGTTCAATGTTCATAATTATATATTTCAAATCATATGCATGCAACATTATAGAGAAGTCTATGAGAGATAATAATTCCCAAAGCTTGATCCGTACCGACCTGTTAAACAGGTATTTCTAATGGAGAGTAAGGTCTCACAGAATTACAGTAACCTATCAAACTCAAACTCTGGAATATTACTTGAAATAATGTTTTTGACAATGTACTATAGAATTACAAATAAGCAGACCTTGCAATTGAAGCTACAGTTGGAGCAAGTTTGTGTTGTGTTTGCTAGTAAAGCTTCAAAAGAAAATGCAGCTGAGTTCAGACGAGAGAACTGAGGGGGACCCTGCAAGAACTTTACAGTATACTCTGGTACATCACATACAGCTTTAAAGCACAAAATGCTGAATACCCAACACAGTAAAAGACCTCCCCATGGAATTCTCCTCAAACCCATTTTCTAAAATCAAAAAATATGCTTAAAAAAGGTTTATTTTTTTGTGAAATAATGACATAATTAGTATCAAAAAGAGCTTAGAAAGTAGCAACTGTGTGAAATTTGTTGACAGTTTATGTTAGGCTTTTGCATGGAGTTGATTAGCTGAGCATATTTTGGGTGTGATGATTGGTGAGATAAAAGAGGGAAAACGAACATGTGGCAGATAGAGTAAGATGGAGACATAAAATGACAGAGAATTGATTATTAGAAATGGAGAAAATACAAAAAAAATATTTATAAAATAAATAAGGGAAGCAAATTTTAGAGAGTGGGTGATATGTTTTTCTTGATAAAATGCATATCACAGTGGCAGTTATGAAGCCCAGTGGCAGTTCTAAAGCCCAGTATATAATTTAGGGATAAGAGAAAGAGAGAAAAACAAATTAAATAGAAATAGACAGCAAGGAAGCAACTACTGTGAGTCACAGCTCTTGAGCACTGAAAATGAAGTTTGTATGTATTTGCATATTGATTGTTTTCTCCTATAATTGAACAAAGTCATTATCTTTTTAAGGATTCTTACTACTACTCTTATGTACTAAAAACATTTAATACCCCTCCCCCCAAAAGTAGGTCACCATCTTACAAACCTTCTAAATGTTTGAGATATTATCAATGGCTTTCGTAGTTTGGGCGGGGATAGATTCATACCCAATTGTCCAATATCAAGACACATAAACAATAATATCGCTTGTTAACGACTTAACTGTTCATAAATATAAATCTGTGAGCATTGTAGTTATACTTTTCATGTGTATGAGCGGATGCTTTCCCTTCACAGTTCAAAGTTTCAAACTAAGAATTGGTATATTTGATGGAATTTTCTTGTTTTTCCCCCTTTATTCACCTAATATTATTATAATGTCATCTGCTTTGCTAACAAGAGTCACAGGCTCTCAGCAAGATCAACTGCATCCAATAGAAATAGTTATGCTACTGTGTTAGTAACCTTTATGTTAAAATGAAAAGGAGGGAATATAAAGAAAGTGATGTTGACTCATGAATTTTCCAAAAAATATACAGTTCCCTCTTTGTTGGGTAGTTTAATTGAGATACAAAGGACATCTAAATTGGCATAAATTACATAGTTCATTTTTTTACATTGAAATAAAGGTCATTTGGTAAAAACAAATGAAAAATTAATATCTAACTTATCTTAGCACAAAATGTCATTCAATAACATGTGTTTCAAGATCGAACTGCAGCGCCCATTAGAGATGTATATGTTACCTTGTGTGGCCTTGCAGTCCATTACTTCATATTAAAAAAAAATGTTACAATTGTCGATACTACCGAAACTAAATAGTACTCGAAAACACTTGAATTACAATTTTAATTGCGACAATCACAACACGTGATATAACACTTGTGAAATGCAACCTCCGTGAATACCCGTGCAATTATGACTGCGGAAAAAAATGTTTTCACTATGCCCTTGGCCCTTAGTGACCTTTCCAACTAAGTTAGGTAACATCCACTTAGAAAGGTGTAGTGACGGGTATGATGTTGATAACTTCGATGCCAACTACAATTGTAATTGCAAAACGCCGTTGCTTAAAGGCCAGACTCACTCACCCAAGAAGACAATGTACGGGGGAATTAATTCCAACGGGCTTACGCAGTTAGAACTAAATGTAACTCACAGTACAGTGAAAATTTTGAGGACCACAATTTCATGATTCATCACTCTCAATTCTTCAACGTCAACGTCCTTGGTCCCCTTCACTTATATATTTCATCTATATTGTTGAATACCAAGTTATAGAATTATTACGAGAACTAGGAGAAAACGAACAACACGCCCTGTTTGTAAAACAGAGCAGTCAGATTTTAACTGTAATTAATACGAAGTAATAGATTATTCCATTATTCCGTTTCTCCGTCTGTCCTGAATTTTACTTGTGAAATAAACTTAGTAGTCCTTATCCAATCTTTTCTGAACTTATTAAAGTTTTTATTTTTAGGCGAAAAGAACAAAGCCTTAGAGACCAACAGTCATACTGCATACTGCAAGCATGCAAAAGAACAGGTGCACTGAATTTGATAACAGCCTAGACAAACAGTCCAGCAAAATAGACAGAGATGATTAAATGCAAGTGCAATTTTGGCTGGAGCAGGAAGAGGGTATCAACTATGATTGTTGATTTTAGGGGCTCGAATGCTTGATACGAGAAGTTTCGTTTGAATTCTTTTTGTTTCGGATCTAATTTGTAAGTTTGCAAGTGTTATATCTAGGAGGAATGGCATGGAGTAACAAGATTTTGAATGAAGAATCCAAAATGTACACTCTAACAGCAGAAAATACAAGTAGGAGCAAAGACAAACTTAGTGCTATCAGCCCCACCCAAAATTGTCTTGAGTACATAAAAAGTAGTGACTGTTGAAATATGAACTAACCTTTAGTTATAGCCTCAAAAACATTATCTTTCTCCTTCAAAGGGTCCCTGTTGCTCAAACTGTCTGCTTCTGAAGTTTGGGTACAATTTTCAACCTCTCCTACATCAAACTTTGAGCATTTCAATCTAAACATCAATTTGAGCAACTTCGCATTGCAATCAATCAGATACAATTTTCTTTGATTTACTTGGCATTAAACATTAAAAAAAAAGTAGGTTTGGATTGAAAAATTTGGAATATTAAACCCTAATTAACACTAACTTCCAATAATATGTCCCCACCAATATGTATTCTTGAGGGTGAATGACAGATAAAACGGGAGGCTTTCCAAGACCACGAGAAAGTATCATGGCACAAAGCATTGATGTAAAATAAAGAAAATCATTCTAAGAATAATTAGTCCTAACAACCATACCTAGTCTAAGATGAACTTGAGAACTTAAATTATTCGATCTTTGATACAGTCAGAAATTTCAGAACCATAGCCTCAGAAAAGAATGTATGTCGTCTCAGGGATCCAAACCCGAAGCAGCTTGTCATAAAATGAGCAAGTAGCCACCACATTATCCTCTCTCTTCCCTTCCTGATCTGATTTGCGTCTCTGCCAATCTGCTCCATAAGCAAGCGAACCATGCTTGTTATACGTCTCGATCACCTCAGGACTCTCATTGGTTGTTTTGACAATGGCAAATCCATTATGCATACAAGCTGCTAAAACAAGGTCCTTGACAAAAGGATGATACTTAATCCTCCAAACTCCACCCCCTAGACAAATAGAAGTTTCATTCACAGGCTTTGAGGTTGACCTGACATCCCATACCCTCAAATGTTCATCATAACAACCAGTAAGCAAAGAATATGGATCATTAGGGTTCTTAACGATACAACAAATGCCCATTTTGTGAACCTTTGAGTTCTGAAATGCTGGCATTGAAAGATCACCTCTTAAATCCCATCCAAGGAATTTGCAGTCATCTGAACCAGTATATACGATATCTGGGTGGTGGGTGTCGAAGGTAGCTGCCCAAACCTCAAAGTCATGAGCTTTCCATTGTTGATCTTCAGTGAGTTGTGATTCTGCAAGAGATGAAACAGAGATAGACCCATCAGAAAGCCCAACTGCTAGTGATGTGGCCGAGGAATTCCAATCCAAGCAGAGGCACATTGAGGAGCTGATCTGAATGCCACAGCGCTCTTTAAGTAAGGCCCCTGCATTAGCAAAATGTGATCTTTAGAACCTTCAATGTTATGAAACAACTCTACCTGAACAATTGGCCGAGAATAATGTGGAAAAACAACCACCTAGGCAAACGACAATAGCAATCTTGCTCGAAAACTTTGCAAAAGATCATGGAACGTTTTGAATAATTTATGTCAATCTGTCAACTCAACATGGATATGAAAAGATAATTCAGGTCTGTAAATGTCAATGTTCAAAGTAAACTTTCAAAGCAGCCCCAGCAAAGTAACAACCACATAGCCAGTAACACTACACTACATAGCATATGTGTGACGCATCAGAAGTTCAACATACAGCAGGAATTTAAACTATTACTGTTTGAGCTAACAATAAATTCACTAAGTCAAGCTGACTACAACCTAAAGATCATGAGTTCCTAGATAGGTAAGCTACATTAAACTTCAACATTCAAAGACCAGCATTTAACAATAACAGTAAGGGAATAGAAATTATCAAACCTTCAAAACTTGATCCTTCTGAAGAGCACTCAAGGTCATGAACCCTCAAGCACCCATCAGCATCAGCTTGAGCAAGCAAAGGACTCGCGCCAACCCCTACCGGATTCCACTTAATATCAAAGATACCAGCAGTTTCAATACCGCCAATTCGATTAAGACTACGGCTGCTACCATTAACATCGAACAACGAAATGCTCCCTGATCGAGTTGGCTGATCACCCTCTTGTAAGTTGTAAGTACAAGCAGCTAAAATGTTCTGGAACCCTTCATGGGGACAGAACTCAACAGCATCAGCATTGCCATCTAAACAGCAGTGCCCAAAATCCATGATGATTCTCAAAAGCTAAAAACTTTATAAAAATTCAATCAACTCAAACTCCTCTAATAACTTTCACCTGTGCATTTCATCAAACAGGTTGTGTGCATTAATACATATTGACATATTGTCCTTCAATATTGCACAGAAATTTAGCTAGGCTTTACAAATAAGACATAACAAATGGAAATCTGAAATCAGATTTGTTACAAGTGCCCAATTCATATAAAATTTTAAAAATAATCAAACAGGTTACCTTTATTGTGATGTACAGAGCACAGAATTTTTTGAATATGGAGTAATAATTAATAGCCAACGCATTCCCAAAACCCACATCAGAAAAGTAACAGATATTTCCTCTGTTATATATAGTAAAATAAATTTCATTAATTTTAATTTTTACATTTTTCAGCTATTAATAAACACTAGGCATAATTTAAGCATAAAATAATTTAATAATTAATTAAACATGCCATTTTAAGCCCACTTTAATATAAATTTATTAATATTTAAAACTAAGAATTGTAGGACTTTACCCTCAGAGAGGTAGCCCTTCCAGAAATTCTCGACGGCCAAGGTCAAGCCCTGGCCGAAGAGGGGGTTTGGAAATAGTTTTCAACCAGCAATTGACGCGCCTCGGTTATTACCTCACTAGCTGCGTCATTGCCCCAAGCGCAAAGATACTTTTAAAAGAAAATCCGTTTCAAACTTATAGTACTTGTTCTTTGGGAGTCTTTGTTTTCTGGCCGATGTGGGATAAACACTATGTGCTTTCTACAAGTACTTAACTGACTATGTGCTTACATGTACTGTTTTTCGCTTTTGCTGCTAAGTGCATACAATATTTTTCTACTCAGGACCTTCCCAGCTATGAATTTATTCATCAATAATTAAGGCAAGTTTAGCTTTTCCAGATTTTAAACACATTGTTGTATCTACCTACCTATCTAATTAGTGCCACTTATCATTTTTATAATCGTGTGTTTAAAGTTTTTGGTGTGACCACCTAATTACCTACCTAATTAGCCTCATATATCATCTTTATAATCAAAATTTATAACCTTTGTTTCAACGTAATTAGCCTCACTTGTTATCTTTATAATCCACATTTAAAAATCTTGTTATGACTACCAAGCTAATCGAAACACCACTTGTTATTAGAATCTACATTGAAAAACCTAGATTTAAGTATTTAACTTCCTAACTAGTCTTGCCTTTTCATATTTTTTAGTCCTAGTTTACAAATCATGATGTGACTACCTACGTCCCCCCTTCTAATCATAATCCACATTCAAACCCTATTATGAATACCAACCTAATAAGCACCACCATCACGTTTAAATAACTTGCCCTCCCAATAGAGAGACTGAGAGTAGAGAGAGGTTAAACACTGACCAACCAACATAAACGAAACTCAATTCAGATCTCCAAAGAGAATGATTGACTTATTATGAAGAATTAAACTAGAATTGATGGGGCTCTCATTAACGAGAACACCCTCCAAAAATAAACGTATGCCACTCAATGCAGCGAGCACACGGTATTCTTTAGTAAAAGGCGAAAGAATAGTTCGCTCTGTGCTCACTGCGTGGCTGCGTAAATAACTCTGGGTGATTCAGTAACTATTTATACTAAACTAGATAAGCCTTGGATTTCTCTGTTTCGATGTGGGATAGGTTTATAGAAATCCAGCCTTTGTCATCTTCTAAATTGACAAATGCTTTTTATCCAAACCCTTAGTCAACGAAATGGGTGCTGACATACAACAAATTGAGCATTGCCTACTACTTAGCTCCTATAAACTTTATAAAATTTGTTCTTGTGTTTCAAAACCTTCAATGGTTTTATGCTAATCAAATTTTGCAATTCAATCATAATAATTCCATTATATGTTTTGTATCTATCTTTTTAACTAAATTTGTATCAAGTGTTAATATTAATAATATAGTTTGTCTTACTCAATTTCATCTGTATTATCTTATTACTTAGAAATAGCCATAAGATTTTACCATATGCGATGTCAACTAAATATGGTGGTTTACAAGCTTCCCAAAGAATCATTTAAATACTAGTTTTGTTTTCGTTGCTTTACTCATAAATGTAGACATGTAGTACACAAAAATGATTTGTACATGAGAGAAAAATGTGTAAATGGAGTAAAATATAGGTGAGTAAAAGTAGTTAAAAGTGGTAGATGACTTTGATGCATATGGTGAGGATTGTGATAGTAGAGGCTAGAGGAATTTGTTCATTGCCATACAACATGAAATAACGATGAGTAAAACAAAAATAAATAAATTAAAGTATATAGCCCTAATATATAATGTTACACCCCCGATTTACTAACAAATAATAAATAAGAATTAAAGGAAGAACAAACAACTTCTGAATAAAATTACGGAAGCATACAATACAACCCAATAAGCTAGGTGAGCTATTTATACAACTTTACAGTCTCATTATAGCATACTAATTGAAACACTTGAACTCCCTTAACTACGATCATCACGTGATCAACCTGTTACAATCTTGTCTGCTAATCATTAAGGACAAATTCCAAAATAGATCGTCACAGGGCCACCAAAAGAAAAATACATGGCCACAAACACAAGTAGCACAACAAAACAACACACATGTCAGCAAAAAAACTGAGTAATCACCACTTATCAAGATACAGAGAATAATATAATAATTAACATTACTAACCCAATTAAACAATGTTGTTCAAAACTACATTACACATTGTACTCTAAAAATAATCTTTATCGCAAACCTCGAAAAATAATACGAACCTTTACTCAATTAACTCATAACCAATAAGTGTGTCATGCTCTTGTTTAATACCTAGCCTTGGACATGCATGGGTAATTCGTATAACAAACCAACAAGTATAAAAACCTGAATACTCTCAATAACCAGAAAACACCTTGAATCATACCACATACGAGCCAAATCCCTCTATAGGGGACCATAGAAAAATATAAACAAAGATTGTACCTCATTCTTAACTCATGCTCATTATCTCTTTAACAACATGCTAAGGACTAAGGTAATTAACATCGAGACTCAAACCAAGAACCATATATAATGTTCAACCTATTTGATCTCATACATCAATCAAAAAATTATTCGCAAATTAATTTATAATATCTCAATATGGCACATACATGTTCACAATAACATAACAATTCGATTCATAAATACCTCAACTCTTAGGGCAATAAAACTAGTTTCCAAAATTAATTAATTCTCAACCCAAAAATAATATTAACAACTCTAATCTAACACATCAAATATGATACTCTATATTCAAACACAATGCCTCGACACAATTATGCTAGTAGACTACCTGAGAGCAAAAGTTTACATTGAATAAAGCCATATAAACTAAATTGTACATGAAAATCATATATATCAATATTCATTCAACTCCACAAAGTCACAAACCATCAAATACATAAATTACAAACATGATTGTAGTATAATTAAACAACAAGGGATGATATGATTAAACAAAATAAATAATATAATTAATTAACTTTAAACAAATTAAAATTGTGTGATTTCACATGATAAACAAACACAACCAAATTACTATCAAACGACTCTGAAATATTGAGATAGTGTGATTACCTTTCGAACAATCACACCTGATATACAATGCAAGGGACGAAATAGGTGGATAACTTTGTAATTCACGGTTTTAATCCCACAAACAATTTGTGCAGCTTCTCTTATAATGCAATTAATCATATAGATAAAAAAAACATATCATGGTGGAGATTATAGAATAAAACAAAACATTAAAGATTCATTAATGTTTAATGTTTTTAACTATAAAATCATTAAGGGAAACCATAACTTATTTTTAACTATCAAACCACCATCATTGATTCATTACTAACCTAATTCAACTTTATATGGTCTAAGATGTCCCATTGATCCAAGTTAGGCATATATACCATCTTATTGGATGCAATACTCGTACAAGATCCAATATCAGGGACTGTTTGGTTGGGGTAATAATCAAAGGGAAAGGGAATGAACAGGCCCCATTCCCTTTGTTGTTGTTTGTTTGTCACTATAAATCTCTCTTTACCCTCTTTCATTATTGACTTTACCCATTTTTGCTCTAAAATGATTCCCCACCCCCCCCAAGACTTTTCCATTCCCTTTCCCTAGCCACCAAACCCACCCAAGCTAACAACCTTCTACAACACAACCACCACCCAGCCACCTCGCTATGGGGAGAGGGGAGTTCCGGGGAGATGGTGGTTGGGGTGTAGGGTGGCTGGAAAATGAAGAAAAATAGTTTTGTTATGGTGGATGTGGTGGTGTTGTGGTGGGGTGATTCCCTTGTGTTTTTTATAAAACAAATAATATGCTAAATGGAAAGGGATTCATTCCATTCTCTTTGATACCCTTTCTCCATTCCATTCCGATTCCACCGTGCGAACCAAACAACCCCTCAATATAAGAGAGCAGTTGCGACCTTTATCCATACAACGAGAATGGAATAGAATAGATTATCTCGTTGTTCCTTTAATGGCACATCTGTTGGAGCAACACGTATTATTTATCCAATAACCAAGACATCATGTTCAGGCAGGTTTAGGGCCTTTTAGAAATGGCCAATGGGTCGGGTTGGACACAACCCACCTTGTCCCGCACGACTAGTGGGTCAATTAAGTTATATATATCCCCATTTTGACTCGTCTTTGACGCAACACAACCTGGGTTTAGGCGTGGGTGTGTCGGTGGTCCATTTTTCCTGGCCTAACCCACTTCGACCTTTTTAATATGGCTTAACCCGCAAAACTCAGCTCGGTGATATAATCCACACAACACACTAACCCACCCAACACGCCCAACCTGCCCAAATTGCATGTCTCGCTTTGCACGCCCAAAAACCACCAAATTACATGACCCACTTAGCATGCCTAGCCCAACCCGCACATAATTATTCGTCACACCAACATGCGATCGACAAAAGTTCTAAATTATAAGATTGTGAGATGAACATGAGCGACAACTTTCTATGTTGGCGAGAGTTGCGAAAGATATACTTGCAATTTCCGCCTCATCCATTGCTACCGAGTTTACTTTCAGTGCAAGTTACTAACCTTTTTGTGTGGGGAAAATTTTGGGGGTGTATGGGGTATTTATAGGAGAAAATATTGTAGGGTAAGTAGGAAGGGTGGGCCTCATGAATATAATAGGCCAATTAGGGATTAAAATGGACTAGGCTTTGTTTGTATAGATATAAATTAGATAATGAAGGTACATATAATAATTTGTACTAAAATAATTTTCAACCCAAATTAATAATTTCAAACCTTTGAAATTAAATTCCGGAAAAAATACAAATATATTATAAATAAAATAAAATTTCATTTATAAAATATTTAAATAATCACAAAAAAATTAATGGAGGATGAAATTTGGTGAGTAGTTCTCAAAGGGCTCGTATATGAGTTCACAAAAAGCTCGATTTTGTGCTTTGTTCAATAACTAAACCGAGGTTGCTCTTACGCTCATCAATTAACAAACTATCAAAAATGTTTTTTTTTAATTATTTCTTAACAATGTATTTATAAGCTAAATAATTAGCTTAAAAATATGTAGAGCAAGTTATAATCTAACTAGGAAACTAATCCTAACTTGTAACATACGGAGTAATCTTTTAAGTTAATCAAACTTCTACTAACCGAATTAAACTAACAAATATATCCTAATAGACTGGCGGCTAATAACAAAAATAAAATAACACCAAAGTAATAAAAAGAAGCACCTAAGACCCTAAACAAGAAAAAACCTTTTTAAGTAAAAGGTAAAAACCTGTAGACATCAAACCCTTCTTGGGACACCCCTTGGATACACATCAAATCCTTCTTAGAAGAAGCTTGCCCACAAGTTTTGTTGAACAAGGAACCAAGCTACGAGCATGTAGAGAGAAATTAAAATCATATTAATCAGATCAAATCACTTTATTTCAGGTAAAAAATACAGACAATCCTAATACTTGCCCCCTTGTAATATTAGAGTAAATAATCCCATTTTAAGATTAAAAGTCTCATTCCTACTCTAAACTTCCATATACCAAACAATTACCCCCTCTATAACAATATTCACAAATTTTATATATTGTATTTCTATTTACTTCCTCGCCTTACCCATCCATTCACAATGCTTAGCATCTAATTAAAAAACGAAGATTGTATATCTCTATTTTCATCAGTAAGTAAGGTTGTGTTTAATTCATCTTATTTTGAGATTTTTATATTATCACTTATTTCATATATAATTGGAATGAATACAAATAGATCACATGATAATTATTAAGTCAGAATTGAAAAAACAAGTTTGAAACAAACTTTATTACATACATTTTTTCACTTTTTTTTTTTTTTTGAATAGATACATTTTTTAACTTCGTAATGAAAAAACTATGCAAATTACATACAATATTTAAAAAAAACATGTCAAATAAGACCCATTTGATGTGTTTTTTTCTTATAGATCAACATATGTATAAGGCCAAAGTTTGGTCAAAAAGACAATCAGGTCAGATTAGAAAAAAAGTTCAGATTTAATAAGCAAAAAACAAGACTAATGAACTAAAACAATAAACATAACCTAAAAATCTCTTTCCATTTTTTTTAATAACCCTTGAGCTTTAAGTATGGTATATATATTCTCTATCGAGGGAGCTTCGTTGATTTATTAGATCAACCAAGTTTGTCAATCAAGTGGCTATTTACTGGTAATGCCAACTCAATTGTTATCTACATCAAATGCTGATTCAAAATAAAATGGAACAACCTAATGGTATTATTTCCAAACTATGTTAACTCACTTTTATCTTCCTTATCCTCTCATCTCAAAGCTTTCTTCCTCTATTCATCAACGACGGCCATAAAACCACCACCTCACACTAAAGGAGGTTAAGATAGTGGGGGTGACTTTTCAGAATTGTGCAATCATCAAAGTTCAAGGAGAACAAGTACAAAGGGCACATGATATTACTAGAGAATATTGTATGACCCTCACTAATTACTCGTAGAATAGTTAGTTTGGTTTTTCCTTTGCTATTGTTAAAAAAGAAAAAAAAAACACCTCTTAGAACATGAACCTCTGTGAAAACCTCCTCAACTTTACCGTACCCCTATATACTCATGCAACTGTTTGGTCACCCTTTTCGACGTCTTCACGTAATCACGTCCCTTACCTCCATCTCTCTCCCTCCATCCATTTTCCACCCACTATCTTCTTCGACTCCACCAATGACACCACCACTATCGCCAAATTGAATAAAAACCTTGTATATAAAGGGTGAAATTAAGGGTATAATTAAATCTAAAGGGTAGGGGTGACCATGTTCTCTATTGAAACTGAATAAATGTTGAAGATTCATCTCCACCTATACCGTCAGTGATATGAGCCCGCAATACCTTTCAAGTTCCAACTTGAACCATTTTCTCTCTCTTCCCAGAATCATTCCCAATTCATCGTTAACGTCGTCGTTGCCTCTTTTTCTTTATTCCATTGTTTAACTTCTTATCCCTCGCATCACCACAAATTATTCGCTTCTTTCATGACATTAACTTTTAGGATTTTTGAGAAGGGGTTTGTTAATATCTACTTGTAACTAAAGTGTTGTTAAACGTCATTAACTTTTAAGAATTTTGGGATTAATTGATGTTTATAATAACCAAAATGTTGTCAAACTTCATTACCCACACTGAACATATACAATTGGTAAGTTGAATAAGTCATCATTGCACATTTACCTAAATACCCTTATTAAATGAAAACAAAATTAACTTGTACTTTTTTCGTTTTTTAAATACTTGCTATTATTCATGTTTTGACTGTTTTTAAATACTTATTTTATTTTCTTATTAGAAAAACTTTTACAACATATAACTAGGGAGTATTTTTTTTATTTTTTTTTTAATTCAATTTTCATTCACCAAAATCAAACCAAGTACAAAGGCGAAATATGGAGGGAGAATCAAAATCAAAATTCAAGTTTGGAGCTTGAATTGTGAAATATTTCCCAACTCCCTTCCCAACTCCCTTCCCAACTCCCAAGTCCCAACACTACTTACCAGAACCATGTCATATTGTCATTCTCCCATGAGTAAGTAGCGACTAACCAACCTTACCAATACCCCAAAATCAATTGCTTAACATATCAAAATTTCCAAAAACCACCAAATTTCTGCTGCTCTATCTTCCCTGAAACACTAATCAAAACCCAAAAATCCAAGATCGACATTTTCTCTCTCCTCTAGGTCCGGGGTGGCCGACCCTCCTGCCCTAGCTCAGGGACGGTTCTATATTCGCCTCCGTCTCCGTCTCCGCCGCTGTCTACTCGAGTTTCTGGGGGTGCAGTGAGTTCTTGAGCGCGAAACAAATTTCAAAAAATAAAAAGAAGCGCGGGAATTATTATTCAGATGAAGGGTGAGTTGCAGATCGGAAGCTAACAAAATTGGGCAGTTACGTAATTAATACCTCAATTATGAGGTAATCAATCAATCTTCTTTCTTCTTGTTTTTGATTTTGAGTAATTTTAGGAAAGACAGCTGTATTGATTTGATGTTTACAGCCTGTCATTATCTTGTATCACGTGTGTTGTTTCCTTCAAATTCGTATGTCACGTGACTTGTGGGATTTTAGGTATAAATTTAACTTTTTCTCTCTCCTAGGGTTTTGGAAAATTATTGGGGTTTTTTTGGTTTTATCAAAAATAATTTTTTTTTTTAAGCCTACATCTATATTGAATTTGCAAGTGGGTTGATTGCTGTTTTTTTTGAATTGGGCAAGAACAGGAGAAATTGTTGAGCTTTTGTTGCTGATTTGAAGGAGCAGATCTGGTTTTTTGGGTTTGAAGGTGCTGAATTTGATTTTATTGCTGAGGTTTTGAATTAGTTGGTTGAATCTTGGAGCATCTTGTGTTATTGGGCAAATTTGCTTGGAGTTGCAGGTAAATTACTAGAACTATTATGTTAATTTGCTCAAGTATGTTTGATTTTGAAGGTGAGTTTACTTTTGAATCTATTTTCTTGAGTTCTTTGTTTTTAATTTAAGTTTTTTTTTGCCTATTGGGAAACATATTTATTGTATATTTTATTATGATTATAAAAATTGCAATACTTTAATTTTCACGTTTGTCAATGCAAACTTTGACTATTAAGATTTCAGAATTATTAAAATAAGAAAAAAAATAATGCTCCATCCAATCCTTTTTGTTCCTCCACTTTGAATTATTTTAGCTCAAAAAAAAAAAAAAATTCTAAATAGAAAGAACATATTGGAGAATTATTACCTAATAAAAAGTTACATAACAATTTTTTACCTAATTAAACCTTTTTTTTTTTTTTATTTTATTACTAAAAGTTGGTCAAAGTTAGCTCAAAAGTCAAAATATTGCAATGTTATGATATGGAGGAAGTTTAACTCTTTTTGATCTATAACATCTATTGAATTTGGGTAATTGTGTAAACATATTATGGTTTTCTAAATTATTTATTACCTTTGTACTTGAGATAATTAAAAACTAATCTTATATTTATACTTAATTTCGTTTAATTTTTTTTATTAGATTATCAAAAGCGTTTATCGTACAAAAGTTTAATTTAAAAAGTTAGCATATATTTTTGGAGGAAAAAACCTTGTGATCCTTGAGTTTCTTTGTAGTGGTATCCACAAGGATAGTGGTTAATGTTAAAACTATTTAATGGAAAGGAATAAGCATGAATCAAACACAAAACTTGTGATTTTGAGTTGATAAATATTGAAAGTTTAGAGGTGAAGCCAAAAAGTTAAATAATCTTCTTTGAAAGGCATAAATGCATCTCTATCTCCAAAGACAAGCTAAAATGTATTGAAGTTTGTCACAATGTATATTGTAATGTATTGTAGCTATTGTAGCCTAATACATCAATATTTTAAGCTACATAATCTCTACTAGAGTTTATCAACTATTAAAGCCCGAAAAAAGTGCAGGTTTAGCAAGCCTAGAAACACATTTTTAGTAAAAAAACTTGAATGTGGCCTACACTTTTTTTGTTGTGGTTTTGGGCTTGATATTTGATACTAAGACCCGATAAGCCCAAATTTTGATCTCTTCTACTATTTACTTATAAAGTTGTTGAGTATCATTAGTTATTATGTTGACATGTTTTTTAGGAAACTAAGGGGAAGGAAACTTAGGCCAACATTGTTATAGGCATTTAAAAGGATCATAATAAGATGAGAGAAGGAGAAATGCATGTATGGGAACGCCTTAAATCCTTAGAGAATTCAATTAGAAATGAATATGTTAGGAGGAAAATTGGAGTTGTAGACATTCAAGATAATAATGTAGTAAGAGAAAATTAATTGCATTTGTTTGGGCATACTAGGTGGAGATTGGTAGATACACTAGTAAGGCTAGTAAGGGTTGGGCTTAAGGAGATGCCTTTATAAGTGATGAAGAAATCAATGTGGAGTATGTGCGGAGGATTAGGAGAGTAAAGTTGGAGATTGCACTAAAGAAGATGAACCCTAAAAAGGCAGTTGACGACCCTCATGGTATATCGTTAGAGATGTGGAGGTGTTTAGGTATGATCGATAAGCAAACCTCTTTAACAAGATATGGAGGGCTACAAGGATCCCGTAAGATTGGAGGAAGAGCACATTTGTCCTCGTGTATAAAAAACAAAGGAGACGCTTAAGTTTGATTGTTCTAAGTTCTAACTATCGAGGATCAAGCTTATGAGCTACATTATGACGTTTGTGGGAAAGGGTGATTAGACATAGGTTAAGGGTGTGCACAAGCATTTTGGATAAGGGTTTTATGTGAGGGAGATATATTAAGGAAACAATCCACTTGATAGGACAAATAGTGGAGTTTTATAGGGTGACGAAGAAGGATCTCTATATGGTTTTTATTGATTTAGAGAAAGCATATGACAAGGTGCCAAGAGTGGTACTTTGGTGGGCAATGTTGAAGAAAGGTGTTCCACAAAGGTACGTGGACCTGGTTAAGGATATGTCTTGAGATGTGTCAACAAATGTGAGGATATGTGGAGGGTTGATAAACGATTTTCCTATTTCAATAGGATTGCATTAAGGGTCTACGTTAAATCTTTTTGGTGTATATTGTTCTCAGATAACGTTTGATGAAACTAAAGATGGGGTTAATGCCAAATTAGAGCAATGGAGGCAAAAGTTGAATTTAAAGGGTTTAAGCTAAGTTGGAGTAAGATTAAATATATCGTATGCCACTTTGGTACATAGAGGGGGACAAGCGATAATGTATTACGTTTAGAGATTGAACAAGACATGGCCCACAGGATTTAGTCGAGTGAATCAAATAGAGAGCAATCATGGGAGTGTTACGTGATTAAAGCATTCCTGTATATTTGAAGGGGAAATTCTATTTCTATAGGGCTGCCATATGACCAATGTTGCTCTATGGTATTGAATGTCAGGCTTCTAAGAGTGACCACATTAAAGAGATGAAGGTTATGAAAATATGCATGTTAAGATTGATGTGCGGGAACTCTCTAAGTGATAGAATAAGAAATGATTTTATTCCTCATAGCTACGGGGAAACTGGAAAAGTGCTTGCGTTGGTTCAGGCATGTAAGACGGAGATCCAGGGCGTAGCGGTACTAAGAGTGGGAAAGTGAGATCATGGAAATGTTAAACGAGGTAGAGGAAGACCAAAAATGAATTAGTTCGAATTAGGGATGGCAATTTAATCCGAGTTCGATTCGAATCCGAAGGAAAAATTCCAATTCGAATCCGTTTAAAATTAGTCCGAATCCGATAAAATAGATCCGAACCCGAATAGGAGGTGGATCGGACTTGGACCCTACGCAAAGTCCGACAGAGTCTGAACCGAGTCCGAATCCGAGAGTATAAGCATATGCTTTATAATTTGGGACAATTATTTGCTTGTTTTGTAGCAAAATTTTGTTATGTAACTTAGTTTATAATCTAAATATGTTATGTTTATACTTTAATTGGTATAACAATACAAGCAATTATAGGTATATGACATTACAAAAAATAAAAATAAAAAATATATTCGGATCATTTCGGAGGTCCGTATAAACGGACCAGATTCGGATCCAAAAATTACGAGTCGGATCGGATTAAGACTCGGATCCGAGTACAGGGTCCGTTTACTAAACGGATTGGATTCGGATTTAGCCACATCCGACCCGAATCCGATCCGTTGCCATTCCTAGTTCGAATGAGTTAGGAAGGATACGAAGCATGTAGATTAACTTGCGAATGAGGTATTTGATTGTAAGAGATGGATGAGGAAGGTTTTTGTAAATAATATTTTTGGTTCATGTAGGCGAACCCACATATGGGATTAAGGCGTTTGATCGATTGATAGATAATAAGTCATCAAACTTTTAATATGCATAAGAAAGCTTTCCTCTTTTATAACAGAGTCGGAAGCTCTATCACGGATTCACGGAGTGGTGTCCGAAACTCTTTGTTAGTACATGCTACGCCTTGAGTTTATGTGTTGATACTAACATCTTTCTATGAGAAACTATACAATGTAAAATAGTTGTGCTCATGACATGGTGTGACACAATTCCATGTCACTTACCAAGTTGTGGTGAGACTGGTGGCACAAAGAGATGATATGCATTATCTTGATTTTTTTATACAAAAGCTTATTTTAACACTAATCTAGAATTACGTGAGAACTTCGAGAGTATTTTATGCTTATACAAGGATATCTAAGTTTATATTTTAATTTAATTCACTTCAAATTTGTGATTGGCAATTTGTTGGTAGCTCGATCAAAGTAGTATGTTGCGTAATTTTAAGAAGATTTAAGAATGGATCTTGTTTAGTTTTCTAGTTCTTTTTTTAGATTTTGCTTACACGGAGATTTTCTTTGTTCAAGCATTAGGGTTCATTTCTATTAAGTTGGCTGTGTGTACTTTGATTAATAGTTGATTAGTTAGTTTGCTTAAGGCTAAATTTAAGGATATCAGTTAGGATTTGATTTGGATTAGTAAATGAAACAATTTAAATTAGTTTGTTCGAAACTCGTGTGGACTTGGTCTCCTAAGTTTGTTTGGATACTAACTATTTTAGGATAAGAATTGGGGACTTGGCCTAACCTTACGAGGAGAATTATGTTTATACATAGTGGAAGAAAACCACACGGTTACAACATGTAATTTCATACCAAATTAATCAAAATTCTTTTAATAATGGTCATTTTTTTAAAGCCGGTGATTAAATTCTTTAAGCTTTGTTTAAGTAGATTACTTAAGGGGTGGTGTGGTCTTTATTTGAATTAATTTACTTTCTTTCTCGTTTAATTCTTGGTTGATTGATCCTTTATAGAGTTAGACTTGAAATTATGCCTGAGTGTAAACAAATGCATTAAACACTTCATGAACCTTTTTCAAATAATTTTTGTTTAGGTGTATTATGTTTGTAGTCACATTCTTATATGTTCTTTTTTCTTATGGGGTGTTTGGTTTGGTTTATTTAGAAAAAGGTAAATGAATTACAATGGTCCTTTTCCTTAGTTTTTTATTAACAAAAATTAATTACTCTTTTTCCTCACCATTTTGGTAAGTACATGGTTATTAGAGCATTCCCAACGATGAGCAAAAATTGGTTTCCTCATTCTCTCTCCCATGAGCATTTTTGTGATCATATTTTTATCCCACCAATGATAAAAAAAATTTTCTTCCCCATTCTTTCTCTAGTACATCTTCTCTCTTGCTTTTACTAATACCCTCTTATATTTCTCTCTACTATATTATTTTTAGTTCTTTTTTTTTTTACTTGTATTGTGGATCCCACATGATTACTATTCATCTTAAAAAATGCTCATCCTATGAGCAATTTTCATTTTGCTCATGAGCATTTTTCAATATGCTCATTGATGGGGAACATCTTCTACCATTTTTGCTCACCATTTTTGCTCATGAGCAAAAAAATGCTCATTGATGGGGATGCTCTTAGAGAAGATTTTCCTAACTTTTGTATTTCTTTCTTTATAAAAATAAATCTAATCATTCGCTTTACCCTCCTCATTACTCCACTATCTACCTATATTCCCCATCTCCCTAAAGGTTTTTCTAGTTCTGTTTCCTCAAGCCACCTACTCTATTACTAACACCACCACCCTAAACCCAATCACCATTGTCTTAGAGCCAAATTTACCACCACCACCATCACTATATTAACCCCACTACCTTGAAAATTCACTTATTCCACCTCGACAACCAAACCTTTTTATTCCCGTAAACTACCCTAAGCACCCTAAAATTAACCTTAATCATCACAACAAACCACCTAGCAACCTGATCTAAAGAGTATTTTTGTTTGTTTGTTTTTGTAAAGAGAGAGCATAAGAGGAAGGGGTGCTGGTGGTGGTGACGGCAGCAAGAGGGAGATTGAAGGATAGGCTGGTGGTTGAAGGGAGTGGGAGGATTTCCTTTCTTATTCTAAAACAAATAACTATGTTAATGTTAATTTGCGGGTTTTGGTTTCCATTCACCTTGTTTCCCTTTCGTAAATTCATTCCTGATTCCTTAGTGTTATTTTAGAGGGTTTTCTACAATAGTTTGTGTTGCAGAGGTAAGACCGTAAGATGGTGGATTCAAAGTTGGGAGTTATTTATGTTTCGTGGGTATGAACTCATTGTCATGTTTTCAGTATTTCTTCAAGTCTCATGTTGTTGATTCTATGTTGTATAATTATGATTTATGTTTGGCATTAGTTTTCTGGGGAAGCCTGAATTTGACATTGACCTTGATCTTTTGAAAGTATTCTGACTTTTGGTCTCATGGTTTATGATGCTTCAGAGTATGGTACTCTCTGTTCCGGTTGATCCGGCTAAGACGAAAGTTCTTTTTTCGGGACAGTATGCTAAAGCATGAATCGATTCATTGTATGCTGTTTGCTGATATGTGAAATTTGGGACCTTGCTTTCTTCTTTCCAATTTTAGGCTTTCTCTCTAATCTCTATGCAGAGTAATCTTCTTATAATTCTTGCATAAACCACAATGATAATTTTTAGTCGAGTCTTATGTCTGACTAGCTGTGGCAAGGATCAACTGCACTTTCCTTTTTCTCAGTACTGGATTCTTTGTGGGACTGTGAACCTTTTATCTTGCCACACTTATTGTGATTGACGATAATATCTTGTGTACTTGATATAGGTCCGGTCTCCTTGATCCATAATTAGCACAAGGCATCCTGTTGGCTAATACATTGATTATATATGAGAGAATTTGAAATTAATCACGTGAAACCAGAACCAGAACTCAATGGATTTTTGATCCAAAATGGAGACATTCACTCATCTTATTTGGGCCCACCAGGGTGGGATGATCTACCTGAAATTTGTGAACCTGAAGACAATGAGATAATAAATGCTTTAAGCACTGTCCAAAGTAGCACCAGTGAAATAATTCAAACATCTGTTGAAGATACTACTTCATCAGTACCATCTATATGTCCGGCACCACTTTGTCGACAATTCTGGAAAGCTGGAAACTACGAAGATGTGCCAGATTCGAGATCTAAAGCTCAAAGTTAGCTATCGATTGTTTTATATTAAATAATAGTGTTATTTTGATCACCTAAATTAATATTAATTAATTAACATATTGACTGAATCTCCCGTCATGGTCTCTGATATACCTGTCTTTTGCTTGCAGACAGCAAAAATTATTTGCATGTTCATCCCAAGTTTCTTCACTCAAATGCGACTTCTCATAAGTGGGCTTTTGGAGGTTTTCTGCTTATGAAATTGCTATATTTTATAAAGTTTTCATTGTATTTGTCTATTGGAGTCTCTTGTTTGTTGCTTTATTTTTCTTAATCAGATATTTCGTTTGTTGGCTATTTGTGCAGCTATTGCAGAACTTCTTGATAATGCAATTGATGAGGTAATGTTTGCCAAATACTATGCATCGTTTTTCGGTTGAACTGCTGATTGAGACTTTGAACATTGTCCTATTCTAAAAAATTCTTTTCAAGGCATATTGAACCTTCATATAGTTTGAACCTTCAAAGAATTATAAAATGAACTACAACTTTATACTCTTTCGATTGTTAAGTAGTAACATATCTGGTTTTCGCTTTGCGGCAGTTCTTGTAGACTTGTTTATGTTCAGAAGTCCAAAGTATAAATGTTAGTTCACTATTCGTAGTAGCAGAAAAAACATCAAATTCTTTAGAACCTTGCCTTCCCTGTACTTGATGACTAGTATATCACTACAGAGGATAGCAACACTTACAAAATTGTTTGTTTGTTAATTGTATTAAGTTGTTTTGCATATTTTAATACTGTCCCGGAATTTACATATGAAAATATGCTGAAACTTTCTAAATTTTTTGTGCCATTTGTCTATATATAACATGCAACTCTCATACTCATGGTAGAAACATTTCATATAAAGGATTTTGCATTTCCACTTATACAAATGTTTTTTTTTTTCCTTTCTGTGTTTGTTCAATTTAATAGATACAAAATGGAGCCTCTTATGTAATTGTAGATAAAATTGCAAATCCAAGGGATGGAACTCCAGCCTTGCTTACTCAAGGTATGTTGATCTTCATATATAATCAAGAGGCTTCCCCCTTCTTCATGCTCTGTTAGGAATCCTCTTGTTTGTTAGTTGTTTTGTGCTTCTCATGGGAGCTTTACTTTCTTTATTAGTTTATTTTATATCCTTAATACTTTCTGGCAGATGATGGAGGTGGAATGGACCCTGAGGCAATGAGGCGCTGTATGAGTTTTGGATTTTCAGACAAGAAATCTAAATCAGCCATTGGACGATGTAAGTTCAAACCTACAATTCCAAGTTTTTTCATTTCTTTGTTTTTCATTGATAATATAGCTGACTCTTCACCTTTCAGATGGGAATGGATTTAAGACCAGCACCATGAGACTTGGAGCCGACGTTATAGTCTTCAGTCGACATTTTAACAATCGGTAGGGTTACCAATGAAATGTAGTCACTTATTTATATTGTGTATTTCTCTCAAAATATTTGATGAATTGGTATCTCAGTCCTTGCCTGGTTCACTAGCTCGTGATTAGACATGTCAAACAATTCAGTTTTTCCATATGAATGCAAATATTTTTGTTTTTTAACAAAAAACTTTCTACTTCCTCCGTTAATTTTGAGTTGCAACAAAGGATTTTTTATTTCTCACAAATAATACCCCTTTGTTGTAACTAAAAAATAATGGAGGTAGTAACTGATTTCCTGCTTTTGGGAGTTTGTGTGGTATTATTTAACTAAATATTGGGATTGGTGAACTTGTACGAGGATAAAACCCATGGTGGGCTGATAGAGGGGATTACGTCTGTACACAGGGTGGTGAAGGGGGCTTCTGGGGAAGAAGAGGGGGGGGGTGTTGGTGGTGGTTGTGCACAATTTTGGAAGTCAGTTTTTATATGTTGGTAATTAATTGTTTGTCTGTTTGTTTCTCTTTGGGGTTTCTAAACTTCTGATAACCTCTTTATTTATTTATCTATTTATTTATTTTTCCTACTTTTCTGCAATCGGCTATCTTGCTTTGCTCTTTCTCCTGGACAGACAGTTCCTTATGATGATTCATGTCATTGGCAGACCTCAAATCATTTTGGGACTAAGGCTGCCTTTTTTGTTGTTTTTGTTGAGTGTGTGGGTGGGGTGGAGAGTGTGGACTTCTGATAAACTGTAAAAATTAGTTTTTTTTTTTTTGAATAAGAAAAATTTTAAAAATTTAATCTCTTCTTCAAACTAGTAAAATTGTACTTCCTCCGTTCTAATTTAAAAACAATTTTTGGAATTTTACACTATTCACACACACCCCTTTGATCGTCTTTTGTGATTAATAGTTGAAGAAAGCGTAGTCATATGGGATTTTGTTAGATTCGTCTTGAAATAAATTTTTAAAATATCAACTTTTTAAAATTTTTACCCAAGTATAATTAAAGATATTAGTGTTAAGATTTATGCATTGGCAAGTGCGAGATCTTTAACAATTGTGATAAAAAAAATAACGGAGGAAGTATGTTTTTTATGTAATTTGTTTATTCAGTAATTGAATATTTGTAGTACAACATGCTTATAAGGGCACATGTGTAAAGACCGTGGGTCTAGCAAAAAAAAAAAAAACTTTCGGATGGTGGGCTTATAGGTTACTGCTATTGTTAATTGTAGGAATTCTCACCTCAGGTGTCACAATCCTTTTTTGGGGCTTATGCTTATTCTTTGTGTTTTTTTCTCATGACCAGGACATTGACTCAAAGCATTGGTCTCTTGTCCTACACGTATTTGTCACGAACGGGCCTAGACAGGATAGTTGTACCTATGGTAAGTAATGAAATTATGTCATTGGCTGTCAATCATCCTACAAGTTTCTATTCATATCATTTTTAATTTTTGTCAAAATACTATATAGTACTGTGGGTTGCATCAATATCACAAGCCCTTTCTATGTCAACTGTTTCTGTTTTAAGTTAAAATTTCTGCGCTTATATTTAGTAGCTACTGTACAAATATAAATTATGGATAGTGTTTTGTTCAGTATTTGTGCAAGGTTAGGTTATTATCTTAGCTGGGCATTCTGATAATCTGATCCTTTTTCATAAAATAAACTTTCTTTGACTGTCAGTTATGGGTACTAAATAATTGAACTGTTTGCTTTGATAGGTTGATTATGAGTACAACATGTCAACTGACACCTTCAACCCTCTGTGTCGCCATGGTGAAGAGTATTTTAAGTCTAATTTATCCATCATTTTACAGTGGTCGCCATATCAAAATGAAGCCAAGCTTATGAAGCAGGTTAGTTTATAGTCTTATACAGTCTCAGATGACTATTTATAAGTCTTGTCAAATCAAGGGTTAGAATTAAAAGACCCGAGACACTCTATTGATGATGTTAATAATCTCTATATAGTTCTTGAGTTTGAGAATACTGACTTAGATTCCAGAATCAATACACTCTACTTTTAGCAGTCATCACTGTAGCTGAGACCACTGCGTGTTAAAGGCTTGATAGGTGTATCTCACAAATACGTGCAATAGATCGCAACTTAAACCGGTCATTACAGATTTGCAGTTGTCTGTTTTATTTTTATTTTAATTATTTATTTTTAAATCAAGTTATTTTCTTTTTTAATTAATTGCTTCTTGATAGCTTTCTTTAGTAGACGTGCCAGTGAACTTATTCATAGATAATATTGGTCTCCTGGAGCTAAATTGATCATGTTTTTTTTGCTTATGTATTTTGTGTCATGACCTTGTTGTAAATTGTGCTGTATATCTATATTAAGGGTTCAGTTATTGATAGGATTCTACTTGGTGCCATATCTATCATTGCTTTCATACCATGTCCTCAGTCCTGTGTAGTTCACAGGAAAAAAAATAATACTACCTCCGTTAAGTATTAGTTGCAAATTTGGGGCATTATTTGTGAGATATAAAATTTTCCAAAGTTGCAATTAATACTTAACAGGGGTAGTATTTATAACTGTCTTTTCCGAGCTCAATGAGCTCTCTATGTTATTACCTGCTAATATCATTGATTCTTATTCTTCCTATACTGGTTTTCCATTTTTGTTGCGAGAGCCACTGATATTAGCTATCAGCCTCTTGATGCTTTTTCTCTGGACGACTTAATGGCTTTATTAAAATTGGAATAAAATGTGGGCCATCTGTCCTTTATATTTTATTGATTATAGACCATGACCTCTTTTGGTTAAAATAAGGACTTTCCTGACCAGCAATCCTTTACAAATTAAAAGATATACTACTGTAATTTTGAAAAGCATATAGTTCACCATCAGTATGTATCCAATTGCATGTAAAGTTTAATATGCTTGAGTAATAAATTTCTATCTGAGAGTCAATAAAGCGTTTTAGTGCAATCTTACAAAAGCTAATCACCTGGTGTGATTCATCTTTGATGAGGGGGTTTAAGGAGGTTAAGATGGGAGCGATGAGGCAATCTTAAACTTAGAGACTCTAGAGAGGCTGTGCATGTAAAGAAAAAAACTCAAAAAAGAATATCACCATGTTTTTGCAATGAAGCAAGTATGACATATCCTAGACAGAGTTTACTACTACATACAAAAACATTGAAGTGACACATTAAATTGAGGCCCATGTCTGTAGTGAGAACAAGTTGAGCCGAGTCGTGTTGGATCTACCATCTCTTTGGTTGCCTTGTCCTATCTTTGGATTACTAACAGTTTTGATTATCTGGTCTCCTTGATGGACATTGTTATTGGACCATCTTATCCTGCCTTGCATATTGGATTCGCTTCCTCCGTATTCTCCTTTTTAGAATTACTTTTTTACGTTGATAAGGACCCACAATGGACAATTTTAATTGATTAAGTTAAGTCCAACCTGAGCTGGTTAAATCTCACCATCATGACTTACTTAAACGGTTCACAATCTGCAAGCTCATGTACAGCTAGTTAATTATTGAATATGAATAAAATATATGCATGTGTACGTGTGGCTTTCTATACTGTTTCTCAAATACACTTTTTTTGTAGCAAGTTCTTACGAGTTACATTTTTGCTTTATTTTTGATGGCAGTTCGATGATATTGGACCTCATGGAACTAAAGTTATCATCTTTAACTTGTGGTTTACTGATGATGGGACATTGGAGTTCGATTTTGAAAGCAATCCTGAGGTTGACTCCACATACTTTAACGTGTAGAATTAATGTCAACTGTATCATCTAATCAATTCTTTACTATATGGTCACAGGATATCCGCTTGAGAAATTCTGAGAATACTAAGAAAATTAATTCAAAAATGTTAATAAGTGAAGAGCACATTGGGAATCAATATCGCTTCTCCCTTCGCGTAAGTCTTGGTTTTGACATAGTTTCATTATTTTCGAACCATATTTAGGTATCAGACTAACAAACCTTGGTATTACCTGCAGGTATACTTGTCCATTTTATACTTGCGGATTCCTCAAAATTTCTGTATCATATTGCGTGGGAAAGTTGTGGAACATCACAGTATAGCACATGGTCTCAAATATCCTGAATTCATTATGTACAGACCTTCAACTGGGGGCACCAAAGAGGTTACTTATCATGCTTTCATTTTCCATTATTTTTTGTTATCATGTTCATTTGGTAGTTTTTGGATGGCATGGATTGCCCACCTATTTTTCTATAAAAAATTTCCTTGCAAATGATTTTACTGAAGAGAATGAAATGTACGTGAAGTGGAAGTCATCTCTACTCCTCATAGATGCAATAATCATATTGATCATATTTTGCCATAGTGTCCTCCAGTTCTGCTGAAATCTGAAATGCTTTTATGGAGCTTCTATTCCATCCTTAAACAAACCTTATTAGTTGGTTACTAACAATAGTCTGTAAATTTATGAGAAACTAACACCTTTGAAAATGTTAGGAGATTTGACTATTGAGGAAGGATACCCATTAATCTCTGAACATCATGTGCTGTTATGCTATAAAAGACCTAATGTATCTGTTAACTAACTCATGAATTTGGTAATATTCGTCACAATTTAAAGTTTCTTTTTCAATTATTTAACAAAGTAAAGGATGATGAATGGCCAAAGAAAGAAAAAAACATTAATGTATCAACTACTACCTCCGTTACAGGTTATGTGCAACGATTAGACATTTTCCCTCTCTGCTTTATGTCAAATCGTTGCACATGACCTGTAACGGAGGTAGTATTTAATTGAGTGTTAGCTAACTAAAATGTTAATGTTGGCCATTCAGCCTACTCTGATGTAAAAGATATGAATTGATAGTCTTTGATAACGCGGTAAGGTTGGTAACAGTGGTAAACCACACACTTGATTCTATAATTTGCCACATCCCACATGATTTGTTGTATAATTTTATGCGATGATGACAATTGAATATTGTGTCTTAGTCCATGCTTATTCTTCATAACTGATGACATAGTAAATTGTATGAAGGTTTTGTATAAACATTCTGTGTTGCTTCTTTTACCCTTTGTCCCATATCTAAGTTTGCATAAGGAAATGACATGTGGATTAAGCCTATTAAGGAAAGGCCAGGCCAACTTTTTGTTAAGTGGAGTGACAAAACTTACTAACAATAGTAAGTAAAATATGGAACACCTCGGTATGGGCGGAGGGAGTATATGTTTTGTTTACAAATCCTATCTGGTACCTTGTCATTCACTCTGTCAGACTTGGAGGAATTGGAGCTCAATAGCAGAGCTTCTAACTCCCAACTAGAGCTGTCAAAAACTGATCAGGCCCTGTTAAGTGGTAACCCACCCAAAACTGACCATGACCTGATGCGATTAAACCCTAGAATATGGTCACCCTATAAAGTTAGTGAGTAGTATCAGTATCCTATTATTCTTATTTGATATGTACTTTAATATTGCTTCTTTTATGATTAAAATTTTCTGCTTGACTCTTTCAGGAAGTATTGACAACAATAGGCTTTCTGAAGGAAGCTCCTGATGTAAATATCCATGGCTTCAATGTGTACCATAAGAACCGTCTTATACTGGTAAATTGCATAAATCTGTCCTTATGATACCAAGCTCTGTATGTGACCAATTGTGCACGTGAGCACGTGCATGCACATGCATATAAGCGTGTCAAACCTTTCTATCTTTATGAAAAACGAAGTGTCAAGTGATCATGCTAGTAACTTGTGTGTTGGAGTATTTTATTTCTGAGTGTACTTGTGATTCTTAGAATCTTAGTAATGAGCAGCTACACAACAATATTTACATTTTAACAATAATGTACGTTTAGCTCATTTCAAATTTTTATACTGTGATAGAGGAAAAAGAAGATTGGTAAAAATATAGTTGTTGTGGTCTTTTGGAAGACCATGGGTCCATCTGTCCATGGGTAAACTTTTTGAAAATTTTTGGTGCCATGAGTGAGATTAATGCTTCTATCACTTAGACAAAATAATTAGTGTGTCACATAAATATATACTTGTATATTTTCCATCCCTGTCAATAATTTTATTCTGGATGTATAAGCTAATCAAATACTTCATATTCAGGTTGAGCTTTACTAAAAGCGAAGTATGTTTGTGTTGTTTTAGATTATAATGCAAGTCTTTTCATGTTGATTATCCCTTATCTTTTTTTTTTTTTTTTGGCAGCCATTCTGGCATGTTGTTAGCTATTTAGACAGTAGAGGAAGAGGGGTTGTAGGTAATTTCTCTTCATCACATATCAATACGTCTCTGAAAATCGTGCGTTTGGATTATGTGCATACTTCATACTATAATTATCGAATTGTTTCAGGGGTATTGGAAGCAAACTTTGTCGAGCCCACTCATAATAAACAGGATTTTGAAAGGACTTCGCTCTTCCAAAAGCTTGAAACTCGTTTGAAGGAAATGACTTGGGAGTATTGGTAGGTTTGCGATGTTTTCTGTTCAGTGTAGAACAAATGGCCAAATTCTGATTCTATTTTGTACTTTCCTTTCATCTGTTTACTATCTCGTAATTACAAGTCCATGATGTCGTTAGATTACATACTTTGCATTTCTTATTCTTAATTGATCATTTGTATGTTTAGCTTTGTTTTTATCGATTTTTTCCATCCTAAGCTGATTGAGAGAAAACGTACCTTGGTTATGCGACACACTGAAACTTTAAAATACACATGCACTCCAATTTTCACCATATGCAAGTTTAAACTACTTACTAATCAATGCACATCCTTGAATATATTGTAGGGATCATCACTGTGGACTTATTGGGTATCAGGTTAAAAAGAAAGCCCCAGCACCTGTACCCTCAGCTAATTCCCTCTATGTTAGTCCAAGTGATGCTAGACTTAAGCCTATTAGTGTGGATAAAAGCTCAAAAGTGAGTCGTTCACCTGTTGGTCAGGCTCATCCTGTGTTCAGTTTACCTGCTGGAGATTTGTTAGCTGCTCGAAGCGGCATCCAGCAGTGTGGTAAGTTTTTCATTTTTTTCAATGGTTTCAGATATTTTTGTCGGGAGTTATGCTGATGCCTACTGCGATCTTATTTGCAGGAACTAAGAGGACACAAGATGATCTTTTGTCTTCTCTTGGAAGGGGCAGACGGCAAAGCAGAGTGGAACCTGCTCATAGTGCTGGGCGTTCTATGGAAATTCAGGTTGGAGTTTATGAATTATGATTTAATGCGGATGTTAACTTTCTAACGTATGTACTGTGAATGATATTTTGGCATTTGCAAGACTTGGTGATTTGCAGTTAGCTTTGCGACTAATTCTGTCTTTTTAATAATAAACATTTGAGTGATTCTGGTGGATTAGGGAGAGGACTTTGTGTGTCCACTTATCCATATTTTATACTCTGATACTAATGTGAAAAATGAAATATAACCATGTAATGCAATTGAACATTGAAGTTAGAAATAAAAGAGTACAAATGTAGTTGATAATCCATGCTTCAAAGGAGTTAAAAAAGAATGGAGATAAATATGTTTGGAAAATTCAATTTGAAGAAGAGACAGTGATATACATTGCAAGAGAAGTCAAAAGGATGATATGTAAGTAATATCATACACTAGATACACGAGTTGATTCTAGATCCAGTATATGACAACATGACATTACCCTATACGGGTTAAACTATCCCTTAGCTCTGCCAATGTGTAATAACCTATGCGGATTTGATATCTCAATTTAGTTGTACCTAATTTCTGTGAACAGTGTTTTGGTAAATGTAATATGGTTACTCTTCTTTGGCAGCCTGTCATTCATGCTGCAGCGCCGTTGGGTCAACAGGAGGCTGAGGTGTTGAGGCAGGAGCACAGGAAACTTCGAGAGAGGTAATTTACCTATGGAATTATAAAGCATGACACAAGTATAATAGTGTAGCTAGCTAGTTAAATTGCAAGTGGTCCTGGTCCAATAGAATTGACCTTACCAAATAAACTAAATAAAAGTAGACATTGATTTCTCATTGACAGATTTGAAAAATCGACAGCTGTAGTTTTGTAATATTATCAAAGCTGGCTAAGCTGATACTCGACTTTATCTTAATTTTGTTATTATTTGCTTATTTTATTCTTATGGTCTTTATGTATGTTTCAGATGCTTAGAATATGAGAAGTCTGAGGAAGAACTTAAGTGCAAGGTACATTAAGTAGCTCAATTTTTCCTATGTACCAATGTACCATGTACTTTTCTTTTGGGTTTCTCTTAAAGCTGAGGAGCTCACAAATTTCAATACATCTCATGCAATTGGAATCCAACTATGTAGCTCACCAGTTTATTATGTATTTCATGAACTGTGTAGTACTTGCTTACACTGCTTTAAATGACCCATGCAGGCATCACGGCTTAGAATGGAGCTCGAGGAGGCACAGCAAGAGTATCAGAGAATGTTAACTGAGCTTCGGTCACTCGAGGTTGTCAAGCCTGAAAACAATGTAAGCAATTGCTGTCAGATCATCTTGTTGTAGATGTAGTTACTATATCTGTAGCCCTTGAACATGAAATTCAACAGCTGGCCAACAATTTAATTGGTATTGGCTATCAAGGTGACATTTGTGGAAGTGGATAGGCACTTATTGTTGCAAATATGTTATTCTTCCCTTGCAAGTCAGTGTTATAACTAGTTTGTGCTTTTGCTAATGTCAAATAAGAAAAAGAAGAGATGTAGTTACTACAGTATCTTGTAGGATCTAGAAATACTGCAGACCATTTTTAACTGCAAAAGGAAAATAGATTAGAATTTTATTTTTTCAGAACAAAATAGAATCGATGTTTTTGGTTATTTTGCTTATCATTAAAAAGAATTTAGTATCAGAGGTATGTTAACTGAGCTTCTAAAAGGCAATCACGGCTTTTTACTGTGCACACTAGTAATCTGCCGACCCAATTGTCTTTGTTAATTTATGGATTGTTAAAGCAGTCAAAGTTTCTTATTTTATGTCAATTTTCCATTGCCTTTCGTTTAATTCTTGCATTTTAGAACTTAGAAAACTTTTGTGAACTGTTTGATGCTCATAGTCATGGCTGAAAATGCAGGTACCTGTCTGATGCAATCGATGACAGACCATTCTGTGGCTGGTTGACAATTTTATTCTACAATGAAACCAAGATAAAGGAAATAATACGGCTAATTGAGTAGACTTAAGTGTCCCTGTGAAATGTTTCATCAGAGTTGCTGTTGGAGATGTCAAGCAGGCAGGCACTGCCCTGCACTGGTATTAGCTGCTAAATGAGTATCATGGCCAGTGAGGCTAGTTAGCTTAGGGATAATGCAGGAGATAGCAAGCTTGCAGAGTTGAGGCCTTTGATTCTCATTGTATTGTTTTTGCAAGTGAAATTTAGAAAAGTGTAGGAGTGTAGCGTTGTACATTACAATGTATCATTATTGTATCATTATGTTAATAAAAATTTACCATTTTTGCTAGGATTTCCTCTTGCATAATACGAGTATCATTTAGTGAAATTGTTAAAGTCATGTATAGGCGTATAGCTGAAAAGTATGCTGAAAAATTTCAGAATTTCAAATTCTTTCCTCTCTTCACTTTTCTCAAACTTATATTTAGAAATTGCGGTTTAATACTTTGTAGTAGAGCTGATCACACTGAGCCCGGCCTGATTATGGGTAGAATTTTCCAGCCCGAAATGGCCCGGCCTGATTTTAAAAAAAGTTTGGATGGGTTTGGGAAATGGATTTTTTGCATTTTTAGATGATTTTTTGGCCTGACTCGAAATTTGCCCGAAAAGCTCGTATAACCCGACTAGTTTGGGCTGGTTTGAGCACATGTTTTCTGGCCCGAAGCTTGGCATGACCTGGCTCGAGAAATGAACCAGTTTTTTTTATCCTAGCCCAAATCCAACTCGACCTGCCCATTGATCACCTCTACTTATTAAACAACCACCAATATTAATTGTTAACCATTAATACTGTAATAAAGTTGGTGTAATAAACCATACTTCGTATGATATAATCAAACACGACCAAACCACTTTGTTATATATTCTTCATTCATGTCCTACTCGGCTACACCTAATATTCATTAATAAAACCCAAAAACTCCACAAGATCGAACTTCTTCAATTTTCCTTTTCATGAAAACAGAAAAACCGGATTATCTTGGGTGCACGTGGCCCTTTTTCCATATATAGACATGTATCACGTGACAAAGGAGAAGGGTAATTGGGTAATTTACTGTTGCTCCTCCATTGTTATGGAGCTAAGGGCCCCACAATTTTCTAAAGCCTTAATTTTGCAATTTGGATCAAAAGGGTTTTTTTTTTTTTTTTTTTTTGTGTCGTAATTTATAAAGAGGATTCATTTCTCTCTCTACTTTTCTTTCATCAAACATACAAATTCAGGTAGTGCAACTCACTGTAGTTAGTTTCATTGTTGATGATTAAGTTGATGATGATATTGGTTTGTTGATGGTTTAGTTGCATTGTTGATGATTAAGTTGTTGATGGTTTGGCTGTTAATTTTACCATTAGTTGGGGTTTGGTTTTTTGATTGGTTTGCTAATTTTTTGATCAATTTGTTGGGTTTTGTAATGTGCAGGTTTTTAGACATTGGCTCAAATTTGTTTGCAGGTGAAACTCTGAAAATCTTAAATCTAAATTGTACAAGATTACAATCTATAGTTTGCATGGTTGTTGCTTTTTGTTTTTGATGGTTTTTTTTTTTTTTTTTTTTTTTTTTTTTTTGGGGGGGGGGGGGGGTTTGTTGTATAGTATTCCCTACCCTCTAAGATTGCCTTTGTTGTCATAGGACGTCCCATTAATTTAAAAAGTAACATTTCACATGAGGCAATTTTTAAGGGACAGAAAGAGTAAGCTATTAGTATTATTGTTACTCTAATAAGAGAATAGTTGCATCTTGCTGACCCAACTTGTGATAATTTAGCATTTGAAAGAATTTTATGAATATATGTTAATAATCCTTTGTAATAGTGGTGTCCCTTAATTTATCATTCGTCCCGAGTGAATATGTTGTGGAAACTGAACCAAGATGTGATACTATCTATGAAAACATGAGACCTATGTGATGTGGAGTACATTGTGGAATATTATTATAGATGATTTATTACCATGCATCATCTCTGTTAGTAATATTGAGCTCCTAAACATAGATATATAGATGATTTATTGGAATATTATTATAGATGATTAGGAGCTCCTAAACAATATTCAACAATGAAAGGTCAATATTATTAACAATGTTTAGGAGCTCCTAAACAATATTCAACATTGAGCTCCTAAGTATTGTTTTGATAATCTATAATAATAAGTGGAACATTGAATATTATTAACAATGTTTAGGAGCTCCTAAACAATATTCAACATTGAATAATAGTAACAATGTGTAGGAGCTCAATATTATAAAGATCATCTATATTTATCGGAACTTTATTGGAATATTGTTAAGTGCCTTTAGATGCCACCGCATGAACAATGAAAGGTCTTTGTACTAAGTGGAGCGGGCAATTCTAACTTTCTAATAAAGTTGATGGAGCCAAAGTTGAATTTTGAGATGTTATGGGGGAGGAGGGGGGGACTGTTCTATGTTAGTTGCTTTTTTTTTGATTGTCTGTATTTTTTAGATACTGATTAAACATTGCTAATTTTGTAGCCTGTGTTTTTGATGTTCAGTGAGCTTTAGATTGTCCATTGACATATACCGGTGAAAAAATGGGAGAAGGTGGTATGATTTATGTGAAATCCGAATCAGAAGGCAATAAACCTTTAATTCAACTTGAAGAATCTCACATGCCTTATCTGGTCCATCCAGAGTTGGATGCCCAACCTCTAGTTGATAATACCAGTTTCTCTGAACCACCTTTATGTCCAGCACCCCTCTGCCGACAGTTCTGGAAAGCTGGAAACTATGACGATGAGTTTGTTTCCAAGTCTCGGGTCCAAAGTTAGTCATTATTAGCTTATAATGTTAGAATAAAATTGTGTTTATTAGTAATGTCACTCATTGGAGAAGCTATTAACGACATACCAAATTCTCCACTCAATGAGGTTTGATGTCTTATCTTTAAAGGTCTCTAACATGTCCATGCTTTATTTTGCAGACAGCAATAACTATTTGCATGTTCATCCCAAGTTCCTTCATTCAAATGCCACTTCTCATAAGTGGGCTTTTGGAGGTATCTTCAGCTTGTGGACTTGCAATTTGTACTATATTGTGGGATTTTTTGGCTGTTGGAGTGCTTACCATCTTTGTACAATCTAAGTATATCTTACTCATTAGCTAACTGTTTATGCAGCTATTGCCGAACTTCTCGACAATGCAATTGATGAGGTAATCTCTTCAGATGCTTAAACTGTACCCTTTGTCCTGGTTGAAAAGATGAATTTTCCTTTATGCACACCTTTTAAGGCTGAAGAATGTTCAATAGTACATTCTGTGTAGTTAATCATCTTATAAGCTATTGGAGGTTACGAATAATTTTTTATTCTCTCTGTCTTTGAATTGCTGTTGGGGAAATATCATATTTTTTACTCGAGTATTTTCATTTCGTGTTTGCTCATTTTAAAGATACAAAATGGAGCTTCTTATGTCATTATTGATAAAACTTCAAATCCAAGAGATGGGAGTCCATCTTTGCTCTTTCAAGGTATATTGATTCAATTAGGATTGTAGATATGTTTCTTTTTCGGATAATTTTAATCATTCTCAAGGGGAACTATGTGTTGCTAACTTTGATATCATTTGGCAGACAATGGAGGTGGAATGAGTCCAGAGGCGATTCGGCGCTGTATGAGTTTTGGATTTTCAGACAAGAAATCTAAATCTGCAATTGGAAGATGTATGTTCAATTCAATATTTTATAGAATCTCACTTTTTTCTCTTAAATGGTTTATTTAACTCATAGCTTTTTAGATGGAAATGGATTCAAGACTAGCACGATGAGACTTGGAGCTGATGTTATTGTCTTCAGTCGCCATGTAAATAACGGGTGTGTTTGCCTTAGGGTGTTACATTGAGTTGTAGTCAATTATGTCTAAAATTGATTTGTTTATATCTTCACAATTCATATTATATGCTTGGATAACTCAAAGTAGTGACCTGTGTCATTGCATTGGCTCATAATATATTTCAGTGGTACGCCAAAACCATGCAGATAATTAATTTTCTGTTTGGCCTTAACTCCTTACTTGAAACTTCCAATGACATACCGTGGTGTGAATCATATATTTTTGCTCAATAACTTGTCCTCCAAGGTTAATGATGATGTTATGTGCTTATGGTGCTTGTAATTGATATTTTCATGAATTTCCTTCTCTTCCCCCTGCTGCTTCTTCTATTCTTTTTGTCCCCCTTTGAGTGAGACATAGCTTGTTTCTGAGAAGGGAGCCTACTATCTTTATATTACTGAACCAGAAATATGGCTAGATGCACTATTTTGAGAAGATAGAGGTTTGAAAACAGTCTTTGAGATGGATATGGAGTTATTAGGAATTTTCAGGGATTCAATGATTGTTTAAGGGCTTCTCCACTTTGAAGACAACAGGATTGTTATAAAAAGAATAAATTTGAATTTAATTTACCTTAACCCAGGGTAGACAGAATGCTAAAACTGTAGGGTTTTCACCCTTTGCAGTCTGATTACTAAGAACATTATCAAGGTTGAGAAAATGTTTGCATGGTCCTGCACCATTGTACCCTCCCTAGTGAGGGGAGGAAGCAACGATCCAAGACCATACATTGTTATCTCCTGCCATCTCATTAAAACTCCAAAGGGCATCCTGTACTTAATATTAGAATGTGGTTCATGTGATGCATAAGAAATTTTCGCGGGGGTGGAGGTTATTCTTCTTCATGAAATATTTATAATACAAACCTTTCAGATTTTTCTCTCTCTATGGTATTCGGCTGCTTGAATTTCTAAGTACTCACGATATTGTGGATTATGCTGATTGAGATGGTGTTTCTTTCCCAGGACAACGACTCAAAGCATTGGTCTCCTTTCCTATACATATTTGTCTCAGAACGGCCTAGATAGGATAGTAGTACCTATGGTGAGTACTGGCACACTGTTCGTGATTGTATTTATTTCCCTATTATGCTCAGTTGACTTTTTATTTTTTTAAATTAGTTTTTGTATGTACATTTCAACACACGTTGCTTTCTTAGGGTTTTGGTGAATATTTTCAGTTACTGTAATCCTTTTGAAACAGAAGTGATCAATGAGAGTCAATTTAGTGAGCTGGAAAAGGCCATCATTTTAGCCTTACTTGATGATCTCTGGTCTAAAGTTTTAAGTTTAGGGCACATTCTTTTCCCCAAAATCGTCTTCTATGTACTACTAGTCAGTTACTGTCCTGGCCTTGACTATGAGTTCTGTTCTAGGTTGATTACAAGTACAACGAGTCAACTGACACCTTCATACCTCTACCTCGCTACCACGGAGAGCAATTTCAGTCTAGCAAGTCCATCATCTTGCAGTGGTCACCATATTGCAATGAGGTGGACCTTATGAAGCAGGTTATTTTCTCACCTCTTAACAAGGGTGTTGCGCTTGACCTCACTTGCCCTGTGCATCTTATCCTGATGAAAGTCAATCTCAAGCCATTATGATCCACCTAATTCTTGATTTTGGCATTGACAAGTGTGACTGCACACAATGAAGCGTTCTTATAATAGCTACCAGTATCTAATGGACTTGCAAAGGCTACTGGCCTCTGCAAGCTTATAGACAGTTATTGGTTAACTACACGATATTAGAAAATGTAACATAAGTTTACGTTTCCACTGTGATAGTATTTTTGTAAGTAATATGTGCTTTTTGAGTACTAGTAAGCTTCATTTGTACTTGGATTTTATGACAGTTTGATGACATTGGATCTCATGGAACTAAAGTTGTTGTTTTCAATTTATGGTTTACTGATGACGAGACTCTGGAGTTTGAATTTGACAGTGATCCTCAGGTTAATACTTACCCTCTTAACCTCTCCCCTCAATTTGCTGAGGTATAGTGGTTTCAATAGTTTTCCTTGTTATTTGTAACCATTGGTTGCAGGATATTTGCCTGCAAGGTTCTGATGATTGTAAGAATATAAAAATGAAAAATTCAACAATTGAAGAGCATATTGGCATCCGATACCATCATTCTCTCCGAGTAAGTCTTTGTTTGACTGGTCCTTGTCTCCTTGAATCATGCAAGATATCAGACTTACAATTCTTACCCTTGTCAGGTATATTTGTCCATCTTATACTTGAAGATTCCACAGAGTTTCACTATTGTACTGCGCGGAAAAGCTGTGGAGCATCACAATGTAGCAAGTGATCTCAAATATCCAGAGTTCATCTTGTACAGACCTCACACTGGGGGCACTAAGGAGGTATCTTCATTGTGTATTAACTTATCCTGGTTCTTTATTCCAATTTTGTGCACATGGTTGCACTCCGATCCACAAATTTGTTTTACATTTAGTTGTATTGGAAGATATGGGCTGCCTGGTTTGAAATTTGTATTAAAAATGTTAAGCAATAGAGTTTTTATTAAAGAAGATAATTTTGCATGAAGAACAAGGTTGTTTGGAAATATTATTCAATGCCTTGTGATTCCACTGACGAAACCTTCAAACTAAGCACAAACTCTAATTTCCCCAAATTAATGTTTCAGGGATTACTTTAGACATGCCTAAAGATGTTACTGTGGAAAGCTTAGAGATTCCTAAATATGAAATGGATGAAAGTATGCTCATGTAAGTGAGCATTAGACATAAGACCCAAAAAAAAAAAAAAAAAAAAAAAAAAACCTGTAGAAGAGCCTTGTTCTCTATATTTTGAACATCCTCTGCCGTGAAATTTTACTCTGATTGGTCCTTAATCTACTCGAAAATGTGTCTAGTGATGCTCATTTTCTTAATTTCTGAAATTCGGAAATTTCCCATAGTGTGACTGTTTACTTCTTTACACTTAAGATCAATGATTAGTGGGCATAAGTTTCATTATCTAATTTTGGGAGTTAGCGTTGTAGCTGATTTAGCATGCATGAAGATTCTTTGACTTCTCTCATGGACATTCTCTTAGTTCGCACGTATCACTCTCTTGCTAATTGATAGTAGTCAATTAGCTACATTTTCCCCTTTGGAATAATTTGTGTTGATATTAGTGGCATGCGCATGGTTCTGTTATACATCTACATATTCTTATTCTATTGCTATGTATTTCTGAATCAATTTTGCAGGCTGAAGTGTTAGCAACAATAGGGTTTATCAAGGAAGCTCCTCATGTCAATATCCATGGCTTCTGTGTTTACCATAAAAACCGTCTTATACTGGTAAAAACCATACATCTCAATTTAAGGGAGCGAGTTTCTCTGTGGGATCACCCAAGTGTAGGCATGAGTGATTGTACTTGTGCACACACAGAAATCAGGTTTCATAGTGCAGTCAGCCAGTAAAAATTAAACTGGGAGACTACAATATATATATATATATATATATATATATATATATATATATATATATATATATATATATATTCTTTTTTTTTTTCTGAAAAATGCAAAATATAAGTCTGAAAAAACTTTGAGCTTAAAGTTTTCCTTTGCAGCCATATTGGCAAGTTGTAAGCTACGATAGGAGTAGAGGAAGAGGTGTTGTAGGTGAGTTATCTGCTTCACATTGCTTTTCTGCAGAAATTTGTGAGTTTTGGAGTGTATGCTTGAAGATATATTATTAAATGTTTCAGGGGTCTTGGAAGCAAACTTTATAGAGCCTACTCATAACAAGCAAGATTTTGAGAGGACTTCCCTTTTTCTAAAGCTCGAAGCTCGATTGAAGGAAATGGCGTGGGAATATTGGTAGGTATACATGTGTAGATATGTTTTATTTGGTTTGTATTGTAGACTTGTATTACCATAGCGGAAGTCTGATCCTATTTGTATCTTCCTGTCATATGTTGTTAAGTGGGTCTGGATTTTCTAGTTTTGGGGGGTTTTCTTTGTGTTGAGTGTTGACGATGATACAGCGCACAGTTGTTAGAAATTTTGCCCCCCCCCCCATATCTTTTTATAAATGACTTTTGAGGTCTATTTCATCTCAAACTAAATGAAAGAAAAATTGTCTAGTTCGTAATTTTTCATGACACCGTAAAATAGAGACCAAAGTAGTACTTGTGGTATCAGATTTTATTGGTCTAATAAATTAATTTTATTTAATGGACATTATGGGATGAATTGTAGGGATTTTCACTGTGGACTTATTGGCTATCAAATTAAAAAACCAATTCGAGCACCTGTATCTTCACTAGGCTTATCTGATGTGTGCCCAAGTAATGCTAGACATGAACCACTTGAAACAAATAAAAGTTTGAATTTTGGTCGAGCACCAATTCATCAGGCTGATCCTGTGGTTAATTTGTTTGCTACATCTGTATTTCAAAGTGATCAAAGCATCCAACAGCGTGGTAATATATAGCACTTCGTTCAGATTTTCCCATCCAGCCAGTTCTGTGTATGCCTATTGCCGTTGTCTTTGCAGGTACTAAGAGGACACAAGAAGATGTTTTGTTTGCTCTTGACAAGGGGAGTGTGCATGTCAGAACTGAATCTGACATTAACAACGCTGGTTGCTCTGTGGAAGTTCAGGTTGTTTGTTTTTGTTTTTTATTTTTTAAAAATTTATTTTCTTGATTTAGAATTCAAACATAGGTGTAAATAGAAACACTGATGGTCTGGCACATAGCAAAGCCGAGTTTTGGCTCTGTAACAGAGAGATTATAAATTCAAATATGGGTAGCGGTATAGTTACAGTACTGAGTCATGCCTCTCTTACAGCCTGCCTCTCAGGCTGCCAACCTGATCAATGAAAAAGGGGCTGTGGTAATGATGCAGGAAAATAAGAGCCTTCTGGCAAAGTAAGATTTTCAAAAATAATTATTTAACCATTTCTGGTTTGAGGTTCTTTTTGTATTAGTCTTATAATTTAGTTATATTTTTCAGATGCTTAGAATACGAGAAGGCTGAGGAAGAGCTCAATAACAAGGTACGCAGTAAACTAGACTAAAATCAGTCTTTCTTTCCCTAGAAAGGCGGAAAACATTGCAAGAAAGCTGGCTCTATTTGTGAATCTTCTTTCTTTTCTAAGTTACCTATTTATGCATTGTCACTAGTACTATGTAACTATTAATTCAAGTAGAAGATGGAAAGGCTTAAAATTTTATCATATGTACTTCATAACTATTAAATTCTAGAAGATGAAAAGAATTAAATTTTGATTCTGTTCTCACAAGTGTATTGGTGTTTTCAAGTTCATTTTCTAGCTCTTAGAGTGCATTACATGATTCATGCAGGTATTGCTGCTCAGTAAGGAGCTTAAACTGGCACAGCATGAATATGAGAGGATGCTAATTGTACTTCAATCGCTCGAGGCTGTCAAACCTGAATTGGATGTAAGTAACCATTTTCATTTCCCCTAATAGTTTGTGTCTATTGTCATAAATAGTCTCAACCATCTTTGAAGGATCTTGGAAAATTTGTTTACTCCATTTTCAGTGAATTAAATTATGATTCAGAGTGTGGCTTGGCAGGTAAAATGGTAAAGGCCTAAACTAGATATCATATGACTTGGATGGTGATTTAATACTTGACATCATATGCTTTGCACGACATTTTAATCAGCAGTAAATAGAGAGGGGAAGAAATTTGATTGTTAGAGTTAGCGAATTTAAGATGAATAATGAACTCTCTCCACCAATTCGTCTAAAAGTGGCAAAATTTGCATTTTACTTTGTTGGCCTATTTGCTATAGCCTTAAGCCATCTATATTCGGTTAGGCTACTATAACTCTATTTGCCATCTTCAATTATTTTATTCTGGCACTATGAAGCACTTCAAGCCTTAAGACCTTTCTGAACTACCAAGGTGATCATAATCTACAGGTGTAAAGCATGATCAAGTCTGATGCAATAACAGGATGGGTAGTTTTTTGACTGTTTTGTGTGCCAAGTAATGTGTGAAGAGATGCTGCTGGGAGGCCTTGCTCTTTCAAGAGCATGCGCATTGAAGGAAAGGGCACTACGCTCTGACCAAAGTTTTCGGCAGGTGCTGCTACGAGCTGTCAAACTGATATCACTATCAATAGAAAGCTGAATTAGTGCATGGGTGATGCTGGAGCTACAAGCTGTGAAACCAGGCCCTAGGACTGTTTTTGTGGTAGCGTTCTCTCAGGATAAATGGGAGCTAGAGGAATAGTAAATTGTAATGCAATAGTAGAGCATTAAACTAGTGTGAAGTATATTAGTATATAGCATTATAGTATCAAACAAGGCACATAATTTGGAATAGCTGCTTTGAGCTTAAATGCTCAAGTGGCCAGCTTTTGGCAAATGTCTTTTGAAACTACATATTTGTAGCTACTTTGAATATGTATATAAATGGCCCTGTTTCAATTAATGATTTAATGAAACTATCTTGGAATGTAATTAAATCGATATAATCCAACAATATCCTTGCCAAGTTACCATTCTCTAAAGTACATCGTAATATTTTATTTTATTTTTATTTTTTTTGGTGTTTAGAGAGCCATAAGGGACTAAGGGCGAGGGTGATCTTGCTGATAAATTCCAATGTGATTTATTGACAAATTCCAACGTGATTTATTTTTTTGGTTATATACACGTTAACTTATCAATTTTTCGTAACTTGCTGATAAATTCCAACGTGATTTTTTAATTTTTCGTAATAATTATTGAATCCTCTCTATTTACAATTTCAGTTTATTTCACATATAATCTCGCTTATTAAATACTTTTTAATTTTATTTTTTTTGACAACGGACAAAAGACAGACAAACCTACAACACAGAACTATTAAAGCGAATAAAAAGGACAGCCGCTTCTCCTGAAATTTGGTGGGCCCGGTGAACACGATGCCTGTCAGCCTTGTAAATTTCGCAATGTTGGAAGGTGAAGCCCAAACGTTGTATCTGTTGTACTAGCCAACGAATCCCAATATCCCCCTGACCATCGCCCCGAAGGAGGGTCACTAGATTGTAAGAATCCGAAAACAGCCGAGCGGAATGAATGTGACAGTCTGAAGCCCATTGGAGGGCATACAAACAAGCCAATGCTTCCGAATGAAGAGCGGAAGTACAAAGTCCAAAATTACTCCCACCAATAATCCTATCATCCAGCGGATCTGCATTATCAACACACCAACCCATTCCTGCATGCCGAGTGTCCTTGTACCAAGCACCATCAATCTGAAGCTGAACGAAGATGGTACCTGCACAAGAGACCCCTAAATGGGCCACATGAAACCCAGGCGGGGGCAAACCCTCCTGAACAGTAGAAGACGGGGAAATTGTCGTAGTAGTATCCGTATCCATAAAGACAGTATGGGATTGCAATATGCTAAGAACGTACAACCCAACTGGTTGTGTAACTGGCGTATCAGGATTAAAAACCCTGTTATTCCTGAATAACCACAGAGCCCATAGAGTACCAACGATGGTACTAATATTGGAACTTGAAATTCCGTCCTGACTAATGAAAAGTCGGATATAAAATTGGATCCAATCTGAAATAGAAAGGTATCCATGAAGTTGTGAGTGGATGTTCAAACATCCACCCCTCCAAGCTGCTCTTGCAATCCTGCACTCCCGAAATAGATGGTTGAAGTCCTCAGTCGGAGCACCGCAAAGATCACATGATATATCTTGTATCGGAACCCCCCGACGATGAAGTTCGGACTTGATCGCTAAACCATTATGGAGTAACTTCCATAAGAATAGTTTCCATTTCGGCTGTAGGGGAAGGGACCAGAGAGTTTTCCAAAAGGGGTCGGCTGATTGAGCGGGGAGCTGCTGTATTAGCACTGCATAACCCGTCTTGACCGAATACATACCAGAGACAGTGGCTGTCCAGTAGCGGAAGTCTGCCTCATGGACTTTTTAATTGATATATATAGTACTTCGTAATTAGTTACAACTTACAAGTGCAATTTTTTGTGCCTCGTTATTACACACATATACTACAAAGGTGATAATTCATAAAAAGCGTAATACATTCTGAAATAAAAATTTATTTCAAAATCATTAAGACGTAAAGTTGATACATACTTTAGTACTCCGTATCACCTAACCTAAAATTTCTATAGAGCATTAAGTTGTTATTATACGCACTTCAGCTTCGTATGCTTTATTTCATTTTTTTTTATACTTGGAGATAAAGATGTTAAAAACTTCAAATTTATAAGTGTGATACGTATACCCTCAAGTTAAAAGTAGTCCATATTTGTAAAAAAAAAAATATATTGGTGCATCCCTAAAAGTTGAAACTTTGAGGTTCGTTGGAACCACCACAAATCTCCTGTGCATGCACTTTTGCAACCAAAAAGCTTACATTTTTTCAGGTATTCTTCTACCCTTTTCATATCCCATATAATCTTTTTTTTTTTTTTTTAGGAAAAATAATCATCTATTATTTCTTTTCACGTTTATTTTAGCATTTTTCTATGATTTTGATTTTAGAATTTGGACTACTATAAACGAGCCAGTAATACTAAATAATAATAGTAATACTGTAATAAACTGATACTTAAATGATAATCTTAAAAATGGTGGAAAATTTGTGAAAACATGGTGTAATGATTAAATTAACTTGGCTGATATCTGCACATATTCCCAGGTTACACCAAATAATTTAAACCCCAGAATCTGGATTTTAAGAAACCCGATTGCAAATAAATGCAACCGGATTTCGTTACGTACTCAAGTGTTTGTCAAACTAGCTGTGTTTATAACCAAAATAAATCAGCGCATTATTTTTGTAACAAGTAACGATTTTGCAACTTTAATACCGACCCACATTTTTTTTTGTTATTTACACTTTTCCACAATATTGGGTGATTTTGGTGGAAAATCAGTCATACAATTTCCCCTATTATTTCTGGGTTTTATAATTTTGATTCTATTTTACCCAGAAAAACGCTATTGAAATATATTGAGACATCCGATTATAATTTTTCATTTTTTGTGGTGTATTGTAAATAACTAAATACTAGAAAACCCATAATTTTAATTTTTGGTACACATTTTTATTTTTCGAAGAATCGTAGATATTTGTTTGTTAAGATAAAAAAAATTAGTGTTTCGCATTTTTAATCCTCAGTAAAATGCTCATTTGATATGAAGTTGATTTTATGTATTGTACTTTTAAGCTTAGTAAAAATGGCATGTTGCCCAATGTCCATTCTACACTCGAGTATAAAATTACACCTGAATTTAACGAAATTTACTTAGAATACTTTTTGAGTTTTTGACTAGGTGAATTAATGGGATTGCCTTAGAAAATTGTTGTAAGTAATCTATGCAAGAAGCCACATACAAAATATGTTGATTAAGCTTTCAGCTTCTTCTGGGTTATGTTCTAGAATACTCCTTATGATGCAATAAATTTAGAAAAATCGAGCAATTCTTAAGTGAGATCGTGTCACACTAATTTATCGTGAGAAGTTAGTTTTATAAAAATAAAACTAACCCCAAAAAAGTAACAAGTCACCCTCATATCATGAGAATATGAGATCGGCTCATACAAGATTTTTTTCGAGGAGGTATTCATGCTGAAAGTGGAACAATGCTTCTAAAGCTTATTTTTGTGCTTATAGCAGGTTTTTGATGGTTTCTAGTTTTGATGATTAGTATCTCTCTAATCTTATTATAAGTGATTGTTACAATTGTTGTGTGGCTTCTATCCTAGAAATGAATTTAACTTCAGAAAACCTGTTATCATGTGCAGAAACAACAATGTGGGTAGATTATGAGAACAACCGTGTCGAATCTAGTCAGGAGTTATTTGGTTCTTTAGTTCATCAGGAAGCATATGCCCTCATATCCAGTTTAGCCCCTCCAGGGATGGAATTCCAGCACACAGCAGCTCTTAAATCTGAATACAATAGCTGTAATGCTATAACTACTGATCAAAGGAACACCTGCTTACCGGAGCAAATGCAGTCTCCGGCTCAGGAAACACATGTATTAGAAGCAGTCCAGCGTCCTGCACCACTCTGTCGACAATTCTGGAAAGCTGGAAGCTATGACAAAGTCTCCTCACAGTCCTCAGCATCTTTGGTTCCAAGTTAGTCATCTGTAGTTATATACTTGAACAGTTGAAGGCTTTAAGAATTTTGTTAATTGAACTGTATATCTTAAGATATCTCTGATTGGAGATGTTGGGTGTATGCCACAGCAGTAGATATCGGCAATATCATTTATATACTTGTCACTTGTTTTATGCTTTCACCAGTATCTACATTCAGGTCTAATGAGTTTTGCTTTGCATTGTATAACTTTTCTTTTCTTCAATTTTTTTGGCAGACACTAAGACACATATGCATGTTCACCCCAAGTTCCTTCACTCTAATGCCACATCTCACAAGTGGGTTTTTGGAGGTGATGTCTGCTTAAAATTTTACCTACTTTGTCAAATGATTTTTTTTTTCCCCTTGTCTTAAAGGTTGTATATTATCCATAAACAGTGTTAGTATTTGTTTTGTTATCTCTTACTGCTATGGACTTTTTCATGCAGCTGTGGCGGAGCTTCTGGACAATGCAATTGATGAGGTGATGCAACTGACCATTTTACTGCTGATATATTAGCATTTTGTTCCCATTTGTGAGCTATTTGGAAGTTTTTGAACACTGAAGTGCTTAGGAATTTATGTGAAGCACTATTATTAAAGGAACACTGTAGCTATTTGGGCAAACATTTATATGAAGTCTCACTTTGCCTGTATATATGGTGGTAGATCTTAGCTGCTTTTGACATTTGTTTGTCCTTTCTGTGAAATCATTTATAGTGTGAATATAACTCAGCTATGGAACTCTAATTTTATATTCTCATATTGTTTGTTTGCTCAAATATTTGACATGAGATATATCATGGTTTATGCTCAATCAAATAGATCCAAAATGGAGCCACTTTTGTAATGGTAGATAAAATCTCTGATCCAAAAGATGGGAGTCCAGCGTTGCTCATCCAAGGTAAGTTGGTTAGTCCCACCTTCCCCCCCCCCCCTCACCCTCTCAAGCTTCATACTAAATAGTGTTTACTAAAAGAGAAATTTCATGCCTCTGAGGTTGATACTTGTAGACGATGGAAGTGGTATGGACCCAAAAGCAATTCGGCGATGTATGAGTTTTGGATTCTCAGAAAAGATGTCCAAGAATACCATTGGGCAATGTATGCTAAACTCAATTTTAATTATCAAGCTCTATAATATTTCAATCTCTTCCTGTTTACTGAATTAGTTATATGGCCTTCAGATGGAAATGGGTTCAAGACCAGCACCATGAGACTTGGAGCAGATGCTATAGTCTTCAGTCGAAAAGTGGGCAGTGGGTCTGTTATCATTGAATATTAAATCTTTATAGCTAAGGATTGCTTTGCAAATCATCTTTAAACTATACACTGTTTTTACTATTGTGTAGCAATCTTGATGTGATTCATTGAGCAAGTATATATGTCAACATGTGTTAACAAAGACTAATAGCTGATAGGTCTTTCTTATGTCTGACGTGGATATTCTGTGCCTCTCAGCTACTCTTATATGTTCTATATACTACGTAAGTTTTATTTCAATTAATACTTGTTTGTACCTTACTAATGCAATTGTCTTTTTTAATCCAAGTATAACTTAGTAAATGAGGGTTCCCACTTAAGGTTGGATTTAGGGGGATCAGATGCATGCTTTGACCTGGCTTGCTACTTCACTTTAAGTAAGAATAGAGAGAGACATCTGCTTCAGCCGCTTTGATGTAACACCACAAAATTACCATTGATGAACCTTTGAGTTTGAAGAAAAAGGCCACGTACTCTAAATTTTTATCAAATATGTTGTTTAAACTTTGGTTTTACATAGTGCTGTTTGAAAAATAGCATGCATATTGTTTATCATTCCTAATAACTTTTATTTTCGATCCTTCTCTATTGGTTATACATGTGCTTTACTTTTGGATTCTGTCTTCTGTTTTCTGCGTTGTGTGACTTGTGTCCAATACTCTGAACTCTGAATCTATTACCCCATCCCTGGATTTACTAAATTATGATATTCATTATGGGTGCAAATGTTTATTTAAAGACTGCTTATCCTTGGTATTTGTTTTGCATTCAGGATATTAACCCAAAGTGTTGGTCTGCTTTCCTACACATTATTGTCTCACACAAGGATGGGCAGAATAGTAGTACCTATGGTAAATATATGTTTTCTTGGATATACTTGCTGACTGTCGTGATTTTACTGAATCCTCTTGATGAAGATACCTTTGTCCAAACCACCATCTGAACTTATTTCATTACATGTTATTCTAGCTCGTCTAGATATCTGAATTATGGTGTAATTATAGTCCTTAATTTATTGACATTGAGTATATGTTATGTTGTACATTGCTATGCTCTTTTTAATAGCTACTCTAATCGTGCTACTGGACATGTCATATCTGCAGATTGATTATGAGTACACTTTGTCAACTGCAGCCTGGAAACCTCTGTATCGTGATGGTACAGAGAATTTTCAATCAAATATCTCTATCATTTTGCAGTGGTCTCCATATTCAACTGAAGCAGAGCTTCTGAAGCAAGTATGCTCATACAGATTCTGTGATGCCTTCTTTGTTTTTGTAGCTTGTTTGGTTTCCTAAAAAGATGTTCAAGGGAAAGGAGGGAAGATAATCTAAGGGAAGAGAAACAAACCATGAAAACTTAACTTTTCATTAATTGCGTAATTTCAATTAGATGAAATCAAGATGAACCCTTTCACTGGGAGCTTTTTAAAAGAAACTGAAATAAATTTATGTTGTTGGCCTTCTTTAAGTTAAAATTATGTATATCCTACAGGCTGTGTGTTTATCAGGCAGTGTTTGTTCATCTATACTTAATGCTAGGTGCAAATCTAATATTTTGGCCAGATATGCCACTTGTAATGTTCGTTTAAGCTCTTTGCTGGCTCATTAAAATATTACAAGATAGGAAAGTAAAAGACTTGTATTTGTGCTAGGATATCTCAGTTGGAAGGATTGAGGCAATATGTTAATTTTCTATTCCATTTGATATACTTTGTAGTATTTTGAAGGTAAGTCCTATATATAGGGGTTGATTGGTCATTGGTATGAGAAAGTACATGCAATAAGCTAACACCATTATGTAACAGTGCTTCAAATGAGCTACACAAAAGTGACAGTGATATACACCATAATGGTGTTCTATGTGGGAGACACTTCATGAACTTCGAAGGGGAGTTACTGATGGTAACATTTTGGATGGGGTATACTAATATGGTTAATTCATAATATGGTTGGGGGAATTTATCTATGTTAAATGGAGTTTGTTATTGTCCTTGTAATTTTATAATTGGTCTTCAATCTTGTACTCAATCTCTTAATAGTTGGATGAAACTCAATGGCTAACTTTGCTAACAAATCAATTTTCATGGATGACATCTATATGGGCCTAAATGAATCATGAATGAACTGTGTATGTCTTCTCCAGGTCAAATGGAAACCATGTCTCACCAGCAGCATAATATTTACCCACAACGTGATAGCCACTATAACAATGGATTTTATTTTGAGGACCAAGAATGCTTTTTTCTGCAAGCTTATGCACAATTTTTGGTTAATCACATTACAGGGGATGGAAGAGATTGACATGCTTTTTCTATCTTTTCTCTGTTTTTAGGGTTGCTGTTTCTATTGTTGAATGTTATTACTTGCTCAAACTATCTAGTTCTCTACCTCTCTTATATGCTTCATTTGTTATTGAATTGATGGCAGTTTGTTGACATTGGATCTCATGGTACCAAAGTTATCATCTATAATTTGTGGTTTGCTGATGACGGGAAGCTGGAATTGGATTTCGATAGTGACCCTGAGGTTGACTCTTTATTCCCTTCTTTTGATTAGGACTAAATTCTGCTCACTCCATTTCCAAACAAATGTCATTTATGATTAATGCCTAAGATCAAAGATTTGGTTTTATATTGCATTGGTATGGCCTAAGGCTAAATTATACGTAATTTGCATCAAAAGTTAAGGAAAGAAAAGCAGTACCAGCAAACAATTTTAAGTGGAGGGGGCATTTTTTTTTGTGGATTATGAATTGACTGTTAACATCATAGGATATCCGCCTGAAAGGTTCAAACAATGCTCGGAAAAATGCAAAAACGTTGCCAACAGAAGAGCACATTGCCAACCAATATCATTATTCTCTCCGGGTCAGTCTGAATATAATATGGATTTTATGAGTCAGAAAAAATTATGCTTACAACTTAAAGTCTTCTTTGCAGGTATACATGTCCATATTGTATTTGCAGCTCCCCCAAAATTTTAGTATGATATTGCGTGGAAAAGTGGTTGAGCATCATAGTATAGCACGCGATCTAAAATTCCCAGAATTCATTGTGTACAGACCTCATACTAAGGAGGTAAACTCATTTGCTTTTCTGTTTATATTATTCTTGGTATGTAAGCATGCTCTCTCACTGCTAGTTGATATTAGAGTAAATCATCTTCTATCATATTGATTTTTGTTACTTCTTGCATTTGAACTTCCTGCATTATTTGGTGGCTTTTTTGGTTGGTGTTAGTTGATGATTTTCTGTAATATCTTAGACATTGGGGTAATGTTGGCGTTGATGAACATGTAGAAATAAATTGCTCTTGTCTTTCTTCCTGACATCGTCAGTGACCCTGCATGTGCAGCATAACACATCATGGGTTGATGCCTGAAGTAGTATAAAGAAACATATGTATTTAAGTCCCTCCTGTTGGAATGTTTTTTGTTTTCTGAGTTTCCAACACTGTCATCATTATCAGTTGCAAACCTTATGTCCACATGATTATAATACAATTAAATATGATTCTGACTGAAATTCACAGGGTGATATTTTAACAACAATAGGCTTTCTGAAGGAAGTTCATGATGTCAATATCCATGGTTTCAATGTCTGCCATAAGAACCGCCTTATACTGGTAAGTTGTAAACCGCCTTTAAGAGGTGTTTTTTTTTTTTTTTTTTATTTTTTTTTTTTTTTTTTTTTTGTATGCACCAATGCACCAATACCATGTGCAAGAGCGTTTGCAATCCTATTCCAAGATGTGGCAAGTAAGGTCAGGGGTCCCTTTCTGTAGAATGCTCTTGATCCCTAGAATATAGCTTAAGCATTCCTCTGTCAATAGACTATATTATTACAATTGACAAAGTATAGGTCGGAAACTCTTTAGCTCTTTAAATTAGTGGCTCATGCTGGACAATTATCCCAATGGCATGTTGATGGACTCCATTTTCCTTGTGAAGCATTCATATCCTTCCTGAACTTTTAGTTCTGAAGAACTTACCTTTATATTACTGTGAATGAAATGTTTTCCTGTCTCGAAATTGAATTGTGTTCCCTACTGCCAAGGAAGTTTTAATATGAAGAATCACATGTATCTAAAACTGCACCATTATATCCTCCAAAAAAGAAAAAAGCAACTTCAGAGGTTGAAGAGAAGTGTTTCCTTTTATTTTTTATTTTTATTTTTTCTGTGTGTGTCTTAAAAATTACTTGTAGCATTTTTTTTTTTTGGTCAATTGATGATAGCATATCTAATTTGTATTTCTTCTTTGCAGCCATTTTGGGAAGTTGCCCCTTATAGCAAGAATAGAGGAAGAGGCGTTGTTGGTACTTTCTTTGGAGCACATACTTAGTGTAATGGTAATACGTAATGTTCAATGCATGGGATTTTGATTGTTAAAATGTTCTGTAGGGGTCTTGGAAGCAAACTTTGCTGAGCCTATTCATAACAAACAAGATTTTGAGAGGACTTCCATCTTCCAAAGGCTTGAAACACGCTTGAAGAACATGGCATGGGAATACTGGTGGGTAGTTAGTTGTTTATCCCTGGTTTATGTGCTAATGAAATTGGTGGCATTGCATAATATCTTATGTTTCCTTTTCGTTTTACTATTTGCACTTGTGCATTTTCCCATAGACTTTTGTCTCCAGGCTTTTAGTGTGGGTTTCTTTGATCTTGCTTCAGAAATTGCCCTTGAATTTTTGTTATAAGCTGTTGACAAATTGTTGCTAATTGATGCATGTTCTTGAATAATTTGTAGGGATAATCACTGTGGACTTATAGGATATCATGTCAATCACAGTAAGAAACCCGCTGTGTCATCACTGCAAACGCCATATGATCTTCCTAGAAGTGCTAGGTTCGAACCTGTAGTATTGGATAATAGTACAATGTCAGATTCAGCCAATGATGATGATCCTGGTCTTGGTGTACTCGTTGGATCTGTATCTCAAAGAAAAGGCCAACACCAAGGTAAATACTTTTTGACAGATGGATCAGATTTGTTTTTAATGCCAACATGTTTAGTACTACGTATATCATTTTCCCCATGTTCATGCCAAGCAGATTCTACAGGGACCAAAAATCCCATCTCGTCTGCTCTTACAAGTACACAGATTAGCTTAACACCTGAGGCTACTAACATGGAGAACTTCACCAATGTCCAGGTTATGTCAGATAATGGCCAAAACTCATTTAATTAGTTGCTCTGGCTAGAATTCAAGGCTTTGTGCTTTTATCTTTCAGTTATGTGATCATCTTAAGTTTCTTAACTGAACCTGTAAATAATTGTATTATATAGCATGCTGGATACCCTTTTTCTTTGGAAATCTCACTAAGCACTCTCATCTCATGTTTCCTTGTGTTTTTCCGTGTTTGATTGTTTACAGCGATTAATCTTGTCAGTAGGGGTGGTCATCCTCTGTTTGACATGGCACCTTTAGACAAATGGGAAGAAAAGGATACAAGGGAATGGAGGGTAGCTAACTTTGATAGTATGGTTATCCATGTTTCTGACCAACTCACCTTTCTTGCAGGAATTGCAGCTTTGCACTTTTGGAGCAAATGAGCAGAGAAAACAGGAAGCTGTGTTGATGATACAGGAGCATAAGGAACTTCGGTTAAAGTAAGTTGTTTAGAAATCAAAATAATCATAAAACCATGGAGGTATGTATGATGGTGCAGTTTACAGAACTCAGAGGAATAGGAGTTTCTTCTTGTCTTCTTCACACTTTTAGTAGTCTTAAATCTGTTGTCATTCCCTAATTTATCTTCTGATTTGGTTGGTTTACATTTCAGATGCTTAGATTTTGCGAATAGAGAGAAAGAGCTTATTCAGAAGGTATAAGTATCGTCTCCCATGTGCATGGGTTTACCACAACTTTAGTGAACATGAACATTATCTGTACTTGCAAATTATTTTTGATAAAACCACTATTGTTAAAATATTTACTTAAATCATGCAGGTTTCACTGCTTAAAAAGGAGCTTGAAGAAGAAAAAAACAGATATGGCAGGATGTTGAGCGAACTGCCAAAGCTTAGAACTACTCTCTAGCAGAAAGTATGTACACATTCGGTGCTTTATTTTGTTTTTGAATTGCTAAGACTAATCTTTCTTTTATCTTAATCCTATACATAAGAATACAGAGAATATCACCCTAAAATAGTACACTTGTGTGATGAGTTTCCCATCACAGGTAATTGCAAAACCAGTAAATTTTATGACCCCTTTTTTTTCTTCAATACTGTCACTAGTTAAACATGTTCATTATGCTTACAAAGGTTTTGAATTCCCTTCGCAGGTAACATCCGAACGATGCTGGTTAGCTTATGCATGTTGCTGGAGCTAGGCATTTTTTGAAGTACACTTCAGACTTTCAGAGTAGTTATATTACTTATATAGTTATATGTGCTGTTCACAGCGTACAGTATGGTCTGGTTTCCCATTTTTCTGCCTGGGTAGTCATTTTTGTGACTGGTGGAAGGCCTTTTTTTCTCTGTTAGGACCTTAAGGTTTTGCACTTTTGGTTAATTTGGCTTTTCATATGAACTAGGAAAATCTCTATATTTTGTGCTTATTGAGTTATTTAGAAAAAAAAAAACTTTAAACATATAGATTTATTGTAATTTGGTTGGTGGTATAGCTGGTAGGGAAAATGCAAGAATTGGTCAGTATTAGCAGGAGATAATGGAACAATTGTGTAGCTTTGTCTGACGTGGAAAACATGGAAAGAAATTAGACTCCAACCCATATGTTTGGAATGGATTGGTTTACGCCTTTACGGCACAAGTTGAATTAGTAATGTGACAACTAAATTTGGATGGATAAAACAAATTGTATATACTCTCTCATATAAAAATAAATGTTGTTTTTAACTTGTAAGCCAAATTTAAATTTACTAATAATATGAAATGACTAAATTGTGTTTTGATTAATATATATAGATAACCATGAGGTCTTGCAACTCATATGATTTATAACAAGAAAGTATATAGAGTTGAAGAATATTTTTCGTTCTTAAATACTTGCAACACTTGTATTTGCGTTAGGAAGATTATGAATTGTATATAGAAATTAAATGAATATACTAATGAGCAAAAAAAGTTAATGGGGATTACTTTTGATAGTTTATGTGATTCTATAAAAGATAGTGCAAGTGAAATTAATGAGAGTGAAACAATTAAAAGAAAGTGCAAATAGAGTTTATAGAAGACGATTATGATGATATAATGAAGTGTTGCAAATATTTGAAAATATAATTAGAGATATTCATGTTGAATACACATGATGTGCGAATGACTTCCATCCGAATGCTCTAAAAATATAGATGAGTATGGCATAGCGGCCATATTCTTGCACAATGCACATATTAAGGTATGATAAGTACATATAATGGTGTTCTTTTTTTGCTCTTTCTAAGTTGTAAAATTTTGGAATTTTTACAAGTTTTTCAATCCCTTTATTTTGTTTTTAGTTCGGACAACATGAACATGTGTATTAATTTTTTTTTTTCAAAAATTTTCTATTAATTTTATTTACTGCCTCCATTTCTTATTATGTGTAACAAAGGGTATTATTTGTGAGATATAAAATATTTCTTTGTTGCACATAATAAGAAACGGAGGTAGTATTATGGATTTATATTATAAATATATAATGGTATATAATTATTTTATCTTCACTCTTTTAAACAAATTACTACTCTTTACGATCTGTTCTTTCACGCTTTTCCCACTTGAAATTACTTGAAGAGAGAACATTTGACCATATGTGATTTGATAATCATCTCAAGTAAGTTTGAAAATTAAAATATTATATTTTTATAATTTTTATCTATGTACCCCCTTCGTCCCCCTTTTTTACATTCATATATCTAAAATTACACGGGAATTAAGGAACTTGGAATAAAACAAAGAACAATAAAACAAAGTACAAAGGGAATTACAAGACATTAATTGATGTCTTTGAATAAAACAAAGATTGAATAATATTTAATGATGCACATGTCATCAATCCTTTGAAAAAAAAAACCAATAACTTTTTTTGGTGAAAAATAAAAGGACCAATCATATTCATATAAAGTGATGCACATAAATTCTTAATTTTTTAAAGGCATTAATAAGAGTGAAAAAATAAAGAAAGCGTTAATTACAAAACAGAAAAATAGGGATAATTTGGGATATTTGGTAAAAATTTACTTACTAAAAAAGGTATGTAGGAATGTAATTTTGAAATACCTAAAAAGAAAAGCATGAATGTAAATAAGGGACGGAGGAAGTACAATTAAAGATATTTGTGGTAAAAAAAATATGCAGTAAAAATTGGTCAAATGGAACAAACATTAAAGAAGGAAAGTAGTATAAATTTTTTTGACAAATGTGAAAGAACATACAAGGATGTATTTTATTAGCAATTTAGCACCCTGCAAATTGTCTTGCCTTTTTTTTTCGAACTTAGAAAGAGCAAAAAAAGAACACTATTATATGTGACCTCTTTTTCTATTTCCTTTATTCACCATTTTCCCAATAAGTCTAGCATAGGCACCTTTTATTTTCCTTAGATTTTATTTTGTAGGATTTTTCTTTCTCTTTTTTTAATAAAATGAGCATTTATTTTCTTGCATATGATCATCGCATTGCATTGCTAAAAAAACGCCGAGCTAAGCACAAGGTATACCTAGGATTTGAGGCACCTCTTGTAGCATATCATATCAAGTTACTAATGCTTGTATTTTGTTATTAGAAAGAGATACGAGGCAACACAATATGTAATCTAATCATTTCTTTATCATTCTAAAAAAAACATGTTTATATTATCTTAATTCCTAGTATCATGTTAGGATGTTATTTATTGCTTTATAGTATCATGTTTAGATTGCTTCCTATTCTTTCTACGGAAATTTCACCAAATGTCCCTGAGTTTTTTTTTTATTCACCAAATACCCATCAAAACTTTCAAATTCACTGTATAACTCTGAATTTAATAAAATGTCACCACATGCCCAAATGACTAACGGACGTTAACTCCGTTAGTCATTAGAGTTAAGTATGCCACGTGGCATCATCTTATTGGTTGTCTTTTCAATTAATAATAGTTTAAAATATTTATTTATTATTTGAATTAAAAAAATAAAACAACCTCCACCCCTCCACAACGTAACCCAGCCCCAACAACCACCCTACTTCCACCGCCACCACCCAAGTCTCCGCCAGCAGCCTGTCCCCGCCGCACCGGCGACCCATCCTGAACCACAGCGTCGTTGACCCATCGCAGGCAACCCGCACCGCCGACGCTAGGGGTGAGCAAAAAATCTGGGTACCCGGTTCCGGAACCGGTTTGGAACCGCCGGGTCCAGATCTGGAACTGGTTGAACTGGTTCCGGGTCCGGGTCCAAAAATAAGGACCCGGTTACAACCAGTTCCAGTTCTGGGTCCCAAATTATTGTACCCGGTGGGTACCCGGTTAAGGGTTAGAATTAGCTTCTTTTTTTTTTAAACTTCAATACTCTTATTACTATGCAGCCCAAGTAAAAGATAGACCCAATATAAAACCCTTTTTTTTATTATGAACCCTAAAATAAGGGTAAATTCAAGTTTCTCTCTGAGATAAATCTGTGAATATATCTCCTCTCACAATCTAATCATTTTATTTTATTTTTTAAATGATAAAAGTAAAATAATAAAGAGGCACAGAAATTCATGCATAAAGTTGTGAGAGGAGATAAACTAAAATTGTTAATCCCTGAGATTAACTGGGCTCCCTCCTAAAATAATTCACTTTCACTTTCACTCTCTTAGCCTCCCCTTCATGTTTCTCTCTCCTAAAACTCTCTGAGTCTCCGACAAAACCTTTCTTTCACTATCATCTCTCAACTCTCAAAAACTCTAATATTTCACATCCATTAATAGAGAAAGGAAAAGATGGAGTATTTCTCGAGCAATTTGTAGGTTGAAGATGAAGACTTTGTAGTTACTAGTTGTATTTTATCAAATTTTGCTTTGAATTCGTGTGGTTTGTTAGATCTACATTTATCTATTGTATCCTTTGTATTTTATGCTCAATTCTCAACATTTAAATGTAATAATTTAATTCTTTTTAATTTTTTTTTTTCTGTTTTTTCATGTTAATTTTGCATATCAGCTTTTCATAAATTCGTTCAAAAATTCATGAAAAAATAACCGGGTACTCACCGGTTCCGGGTCCAGTTCCGATAATATAGGACCCGGTTATACCAGTACCAGTTTCAGTTCCATTTTTTTCGGACCCGGTACTAACCGGTTCCGGGTCTACTAATTCTGACCGGGTACTCGGTGTTGCTCACCCCTAGCCGACGCAACCCAGCCACCCTACCACCGATCCGCAAAACTCCCTTTCTCCCTCGAAAATTCCTCTCCTTCCCACCAATGTCGTCCAAACCCCTCTTCCTGCACCGGCGAACAATGGTCGACCTTCAACCTTCCATCTCCACCCCTTGAGCCACCACGTCGGAACCCTAAAATAGAAAAACCTAAAATCGAAATCTAAGCTAGGGTTGCGATTTTGGGGTTTTACGATTTCGAGGTATTGGATTTCGGCTAATTTGGGTGGCAGCGACGTAGGTGAATGAGTTTGGGTTGCCGACGAAGGGGTTTGTGTTGTCGGCGAAGGGTTTTGGGGTGGTTGCTGGTTTCGACGAAGGTGGAAACGTGTGGAAGGTTTTAGGCAATGGAGATGGGGTATGGTGGTTCACGGGAAGGGGAAGGGGAAGGGAGGCACCTGCGCGTAGCTCACTATCTGGGGGGCGGTGTTGGCGTTGGGCGCGGTGGGGAGAAGAGCCCAGGTACCGGCGGCGGAGGGTGAGCTGGGTGGAAGGTGGCTGGAGGTGGTTTTTTTGTTTTTTTTTTTAAAAAAATTTAAGTTTTTTTTTGTTAAATTTTAAGTTTTATTGTTAAATAATTAATAAAAATAATTTTAAATAACCAATACAGTGCCGCCACGTGGCATAATTAACCCTGATGACAAACGGAATTAACTGCCATTAGTCATTAAGGGCATGTCATGATATTTTTGTAAAACTTAAGTGTATTTGGTGAATTTAAAAGTTTTGATGGGTATTTGGTGAATAAAAAAAAAACTCAGGGGCATTTGATGAAAACCCTTAAGTTTTTTATGTTTGGTGAATAAAAAAAAAAAAAACTCAGGGGCATTTGATGGGTATTTGGTGAATAAAAAAAACTCAGGGGCATTTGATGGGTATTTGGTGAATAAAAAAAAACTCATGGGTATTTGGTGAATAAAATATCATGTTAGTACCATGTTAGGGTTAAAGCTTTGATATTTAATGTTTAATGACATACTACGATTTATTATTAATCATGTTAGTATCATGTCTAGGATTTTGCTATTAATATTAGCATGCTTTGATGAAATTATTCTTGTATCAAATTATATAATTTTATGTAATTTGTTAATTTACGAATTGTTTCACGTAAGTTTGGGATGACTTGAATTATTCCCTACACCAAAAGATGTCAGTGTGTTATCAAAAAAAAAATGTCAGTCATCCTGATCAACCAACTTAGATGCCAGAATGTAAACATCATTATCACTTTCACCATAACCTTGATTTCACGATAATTGTTTTCACCATCATCATTATTTTTCTTAGCTGCTGAATATCCTTGGTATAACGTTTGTATCTTCATTTTGCATTGAAACAAAAAAGTGACAAAACTTATTGACTTTGATATTATGTGCAGAATGGCCAAGTGGTCGATTTTCAATTAACCCTGAAGGACG